AGCTGGCTGCCTCTTCTGGTTGTAGCACAGTACAGTACCTAGTCCAGTGGTCCCTTGGTTCTCAAACTTAATCGGTTCTGGAAATCTGTTCCAAAACCAAAGCGTTCCAAAACCAAGGTGTGCTTTCCCCTAGAAAGTAATACAAAATGGATTAATCCAGTGGTGTCCAAATTTTTTACAAAGAGGGCCAGATTTGATTATGTGAAGGGCCACAAGGGCCAGCCAAAGGTTTTTTACCTTTTTTTAGGATTGAGGTTTTTTCAGGATTTTACCCCAGGAAATAAACTGCTACAGGGGCTGGATTAAATCCAAAACGGACTTTGGACATTACTTTCTAACGAGACCATTGATCCATAAAATGAAAGCAATAAGGAATGTACTGCAGTCAGACGATCAATCAATCAATCAGTAGCTGAACTGAGTTCCACACAGTCACAAAAACATAACAAAAAAGAGCCACAAAAATGCAAAATAAATAGCAAAAAAAGACAGACCTCAGCGTAACACTCAAAACGGAAGTGTGGCACTCAAATCAGAGCACATTTGACTTCCGAAAAAAGTTCACAAACCGGAACACTTACTTCTGGGTTTGCAGTGCTTGAGTTCCAAGTTGTTTGCAGTGTTTGAGTACCAAGGCATCAAGATGTTTGAGAACCACTTTAATCTTATATTTCTCACAAATAAAAACACACCGACTTGCCGTCCTTTGCCATCTTTTTGGGATGGCATCCCGCTCTCTGCTGGCTTTCGGCGCACGTTTGGAGCCAAGTCCAAGTAGAACAACCTGCGATTTCTAGTTCTGAAGCCTTGCTGTTCATCCACAAATCTTCCTTCGTTCCCCTTTCTCAGGATGAAGACTTGAAATGGGTTGAAGAAAACATCCCGTCTTCCATGGCTGACGTGTAAGTCTTTGGCTTCCACCCCCTCAAATGCTTGTCTGTGGGCTGTCAGCTGATTTATTGTTCAGCTGTCTAGCATTTAATCAAATAAGCAAGTCAGTGGTTTGGAAATACATTTTGTGCAAACGTTTTGCAAAGATAGCACTTTGAGGATCCTGCAGTAAAGGGGGCATTCACAACCTCCTATTATTATTATTATTATTATTATTATTATTATTATTATTTATTTTAATTTTTTTTGAAGATTTTGCAGTAAGGGGGGCATTCACAATCTATTATTATTATTATTATTATTATTATTATTATTATTATTTTGAGGATTCTACAGTAAAGGGGGCATTCACAATATATTATTATTATTATTATTATTATTATTATTATTATTATTATTTTGAGGATTCTGCAGTAAAGGGGCATTCACAATATATTATTATTATTATTATTATTAAAATTTATTAGTCCCTTTTTTTGCCACAGCAACTCAGAAGCCTCATTAGACAGCAGCTGGGTGGCCATTTGTGAATGATTCCTCATCAGTGATTCCTGCATTGCCGGGGGTTGGACTAGATATCCCTTGGGGTTCCCTTCCAACTCTACAGCTCTGTGATTCTAGGCAGGCCCAAGCTGACTTAATCCGCTCCCGAGTTTGACTCTCCAGTGAAAGACCTCCGTTTTAATTGCTCTGATTTTATCAGTTGATACCTGCAGCCCCTGTCTAGCAATATTACAAAAATTTCACATTAATAATCCTCCTTTTCCCTCTTCCAGCGTGCTCCCTCCTTTGTTAGATTCTGACGAGGTAAGCCAAGTTCAGTTTTATTTATGCGTTTTGGCCTGATGGAGCGGGGCCCTTGCTATGTTTCATGCAATAGGCACACTGTGTCGGCATTCCTGGCCAAGCCATTGAGACTGCGACCCAGAACTGGATAAACCACCGCATTTTTCACCCCATAAGATGCACCTAGTTTTTAGTGGAGTAAAACAAGAAAAAAATATTCTGAACGAAACAGCGGATGTACGATTTTTGTGGTTCATGCTGTGGCCACAGACATGTGATTTGACGGTGTGTTTGGGATAGCCCAGTGCAAAAATCCTGAGAATCCATGTGGATCCGTGCTTTGTAACCACGTTTTTGCGCCATTGCATCCCCACAAAACAGCGGCTGCATGATTTTTTGGGTGCATGCTGTGGCCACAGACATGCTATGTGATCTGATGGTGAATTTGGGGTGACCCAATGCAAAACCCATGAGGATCCATGGGCTTTTACCTCCCCCCTCCCAGGCAGCCTCCTTTATCACTAGCGTCCTTTATCTCTCTCCACGGTTGGCAAAGGCTTCGTTTCAAACCCCTTCCCTCTTTCTTAAAAAAAAAAAAAAGTGTGTTGTGCTTTTTGCCCCTGGGCAATACGGCTCCAGGGATCACGCATTCGCTCCATAAGACGCACAGACATTTCCCCTTACTTTTTAGGAGGAAAAAAGTGTGTCTTATAGGGCGAAAAATATGGTATGTCCACTGAATACCCTTTATCTACTTAATCATAAAACAACGTAAGGCCTATGCGTCAATTCCCTTTTTCCCACCCAGCATCTCCCAGACTGTTCCTCTAATTTGCTCCTGGGCAGTGGCTGGTTTTAATGAACAAATACGCCCACAAAATTCAAGTTACATGGTTTTCCCAATCCCTCCCTATAGCGAATAATTTGCCAGGCCCGCCTGTGAGGGCCATTGGCCGAGCTTCTGTGAGGTCACAGCAGTTAGAACTTTTTACAACCATCACGACAGAACTGCAAAGGAGCTCCTGTTCTTATCTGAAACATACTGTATTAAAGCTTTTGTAAAAAGTGGGTTTTCCCTTGTCCTCCCTCTCTCCACCCCCCCCCTCAAAAAACAGGAAATAGTGACCACGAAATTTGAAATGTCCAAAATGGAATGAAGTCTGGATCCAGCCGAGCCGCTCAGCCGCACTCTTTTCCTGGTGGATTTCGGAACGGACGAAGAGTCGCCGATGGTCGTCCTTTTCCCTTTTTTCCTTTTTACACATGCACATATATAATATATATACATATATATATATATTTGTATATGGTCAAAATATTATTTTATTACTTTTTGGTGTTTCTCTAACTATGGAGCTCCGAGGCTTTTGGGGGTTTGTTTGTTTTTTGGCCAGGCGAGGACCTTACGCCTGACCCCACCAGTTGGGGGGCAGGCATGCAGCCGAGATCACCAGCGCCCCCCGCTGGAGAGGAGGGGGATTGCGGGACAGTCAGACCGGCGTTGCTTTCTTGTCGACTTCTTTCCCTGTTTTGGAGCAGGCCTTCTCTGATGAGGAAATGCGAGGGGGACCCTTTGTAGCGCCATTTTGTGTCCTTTGCCGTTGGCCTCGGGGTACTTGTACAGTCGGGTCTCCTGACGCTGGCTTGGGACCTGAGTCGCTTGTGGGGACGGGGTGCAAAATTCTGGGGTAGGGAATGTGCACAAACCCAAGGTTTGTACAGCTTCGAAGCTGCTCCTCTGACCGCATGGAAGCGCTCTGCCTAAGGGGAGGCATAAAATGGGCAGTCCTCTCTTTTTGGAGGAATCCTTAGGGCAGGCACCCCTAACCTGTGGCCCTCCAGATGCTTTGGGACTACAACTCCCATAATCCCTAGCTAACAGGACCAGTGGTCAGGGAGGATGGGAATTGTAGTCCAAAACACCTGGAGGGCCGAAGGTTGTGGGTGCCTGCTTTAGGGGGACAGCGGCTGGTTTTTTGCGGAGGAGACGCAGGCAAGGGGCACGCCCCACTCCGCAATGAAAAGAGGGAGCAGGTTGGAAAGTGTGACTTTTATGGCCAAGGAGAGCATTGGGGCAGATCTATATGGCAGGCAGATCTATAGGGCAGGCAGGTTTGTTGATCTCTGGAATCAAGTTTCCCGCAGCAGCTAGCTGTGTTGATCCGCAGGAAACTGTATGCAAAAAAAGCCCCCGATTGGTTTATTTTGGGGGGCATAAGGGAAACTGAGGATGAAGGCACTCAAAAGTGTCCTTTGGGCAATAGCAGGCAGCAAGCACCCTTTCCTTCCGTGTTGGATCGGAAGAAGGATCGCAACCACCCCCGTCCTCCCCCCCCCCACACCTTTATTCCTAGGCCAGCCTTCTCCCTCCCCTCAATCTGATACCCTCCAGATGTTCGGGACTACAACTCCCATCAGCTGCAGCCAGCACAGCTGTATATTGCAAAGCCTGACGGGAGTTGTAGGCAGAAACATTTTGCAGCCACCTGGCTGGGGAAGGCTGCCCTGGGAGATCCTTCCTGGACCACTTGAGATATATATATATGTTGCTTCCTGCCTTGATTCCGCATTCAAAAGATGCTTTTTCTAAAAATAAAATATAGAATTCCACCCGGAGCGGTGTACAGACTTATCCCCTTGGGAAGCTTGCTCTTCTGAACAGCTTTTTTCACGTTCCCAAAACTTCAGCCGGACTTTCTGATGTGACGCTTTCAAGGATACGCAGGGAGGGAACGTCGGATTTCTTCTCAAATAAACCCTTTTATTTATTTTTGAAATTGTACATACATCTTTGGGGAGGGAAAGCTGTGTGTGTTTTTATGCAGCCCTATTAAAAAAAAAGAGGAAGAAAAAGTTCACCCCCTAGAGTGTGTGTGTGTGTGTTTGCTGCGTTCCCCCACGGGTTGGGGAGAAGGGGCAGAGGTTCACCGGGAGAGCAGCTGCTTTGAGTGCAGAAGGCACCAGGGTTTTGGCACACAGCGCCTCTAAATTTGAAAAGTCTCAGGTGAGAGGACAGGCGGTCCTGGGCTCAACAGAGAGACCAGTACCACATTCTGGACTCCCCACCCCCCCAAAAAAATATGAGTCACAACATATACCCAGTTCTGGTTGAGGGCAACTGTTGCTCAGTGGTTAGAGCATCTGCTTTGCATGCAGGTCCAATCCCCTTTAGCATCTCCCCCTCCTGAAACCCTGGAGAGCTGCTGCCAACCAGTGCAGTCTGCATTGAGCTGGGTGGACCAATGGTCTGACTCAGTAGAAGCTTCCTATGTTCCTAAAACCAGCCCTGAAAGAGGGCGAGGTACAAACGAGCAGGCGGAAACTTCATTGGAACAGGTTTAATTGTATTTTTGACACGTCAAACCTCACCAGTCCTCCGCTCCTGTTCCTCTTGCCCACAGGCTCCGGAATAAAAGGGTCTTTTAAAAAATAAAAATGGGGGATGCCATAAGTTACTAAGGAATTAAGTGGGGAGGCTGGTGAAGGCAGGAGGGGAACTTAGGCGCAGGCCTGGCCCCTGAACCAAGCCTTTAAAGCATGCTCTGTCAACCTGGTGCCCCCCAAATGCCTTGGACTTCAACTCCCACCAGTGCCGGACAGGAGAGCTGAGGTGCATGAGAACATGGCTGGAGGCAGTACTTGAAAATATCTGGAGGGCACCAGGTTGGCGAAGCTTGCTTTCAAAGTTCTCTGCTCTCCCCAGGAACGGGGACCTCAAGGAACTTCTCTCCTGGACCCCAGCTCCCCTTGCTCCCGCTCGGCCGCCTTTGCCAGCTGCTCTGCTGCGGCGTCGATGGCAGCGCCCACAATCTCCACCGCAGCCTGGTAGAGCCGCTGCTTGTCGTCCTCCTCTCCCGGCTCTGCCGCGGTTTCCTCCGTGGGCGATGGCAGTTTCCGCCCGGAGCTCCCTCTCCTTTGGCAAACTTCCCTTCCTCCGTCCTCGGCAAGAGCCTGGCAGGGCCTTAATGGGGGTGGCCCCTCCTGAAGGCCTTGGCCTCCGGATGGAAAGGAGGGAGGTGGCTCCAGCAGGGTCAGCAGGGTCTGTGGGAAGTCAGGAGATGGCGCTCTTTCTTCCTCCACGATGTGGGCCTTGGGAGCGTCATAAGGGTCTGCTTCCAGAGGATCGCTTCTGCCAGGTGGCGAGGCTGGCGGAGGATCCAAGCCGCTGCTAAGATGCAGCACTTCCTGGTGGATGTGTTGGGTCTCTCTGCTGGCGCCTGCCACACGCCCATTCTCTCTGCTTTCGGGATTGCTTGTGGCGGAAACCTCCCTTCCCCGCTTTTCCTTTGGCACAAGCACTGGGCTTGCCAGCAACTCACTGTTTAGCCAGCCCAGATCTCTCGTCGCCATCAGCATGCCCTGCCCGCCTGGGTTTTCGGCGAGATCGGCGAGAGCCTGTTCCTCTCCGTCCGACGCCCCAGCCCAGTACCTGTAGTCTCCCAGCTCAGGGGCCTGGTCTGCGACGTCTTCCGCCTCTACTCCGTCCCCCCCAGGAAGGTGGCAAGTTCCTCTCCACTCGAAAACGCCCCTGAGGCCTCGACTCTCTTCCCGAAGCCGCCTTCCCTCGCTCAAGAAAGTGCAGAGCTCGTCCACTTCCCGTTCAGTCGCGGGGTCCGAAATATCGTCCTCTGCCCGCCCATGGATCTCCAGCCCACACCTGGAACTCAGGTGCTCGCCTTCATCCTCCTCTTGAGTTTCACCCATGTCGGATGCAAGAGTTTTGTCCTCCGTGGCCGAAAAACGGGGGGATCCGTCCACCCTGGCGATGGGCGAGGTTTCAGGCTCTGTAGCGAGGCGAATATCCCGTTCTTCCACCACCTTGGGACTTCTCTTGCTCTCTGGGAGAACCGACCTTTTCTTGGCTCTGGATCTCAGCATGGCCCTGAAAGCTCTCCATGGCTTCGTCACCCACCAGCCAACAAGCCTGTCCACCGGATCGGCCGCCGCCGTCTCTGCGATGGAGCTGGCCTCTGCTGGGATCGGGGCCTTAGCCCTGGGCTTCCACTTCAGAGGAGACTCCCCGTGTGGGTCGGCGGTTCTGCTGAGAGCGGCCACAGGCCCGCACCGGACTCTCGCCCTCTGGGCCGGTGATGCCTCTGGGCCGCTGGGCGTTTTCAGGCACAGGAGTTTCCTGAGGAGAGAGGTGCCTGTTTTCCCTCGCACAGATTCCTCGTCAGAGTCCGGCCCTTGGGCATCTTCCCGCGTGGCCGGCTTCCGGACGGCCTGGATGGGGCTCTCGTGAGTGGCCTCCATGCAGAGGCGGCTCTTGGGGGCCACCTGAGGCGGATTGGCGGCCCCTTTCCTCTTCAGCCAGAACGGGCACCTCCCCTTGAAGAAAGCCCTTCCGGAGGGATACTGTTCTCCCGCCTCAGGTTTGCTCACGGACCCCCCACCCCCTGGAGAAGGCCTTGAAATCAGGCTCTTTCTTGACGCTTCCCCTCCCAGCGAAGGGAATTTGTTGATATCATAAGATAAGGTAAGGTGGGCCTCTGTTATCCTCTCTAAGGAGGTCTGCATATTTTGTTCCTTGCCGGGAGCTCCGGTTTATTTTTGTCCCTTGCTCCCGGGATGGCTTTTTTTTTAAAAAAAAAAAATGATGCTGGTGGTGTTTCTAGCCCTCAGCGTTTCTCGGCTCGTTTGCCTCCATCTGTGGTCAGCCTCCTTCAAAACTTCATGGCTCTTAATCCAGGCTGGAGCTGGTATCGAAACTCACACATTTCTTCTTCAAATAACAGCTGCCAATAGGTTTTTTTGGGGCGGTGGGAAGGGGACAAGACGGGCGGGGGACAGCGTTCCTCCATCAGGTATTTCCCTGCCAAAATTTATATTACCCTCTGCAGTGTGTCCACAGGCTCTGCTGCTTCTCATGTGGATGCAGAAAAGGCTTGGAAGCACAAAGGGACATTCCTTTGCCAGCCTTCCTGCAGAACGACACAAAATAAACATGAACAAATAATTAGGAAATTTATACAGCCAGTTTTTGAGGAATGTGATCATTCTGGGGGATTGCTGCACATACCCTGAGTGGCGAGCCCACTGAGGATTCCCCTCAAAGCCCCCTTTTGGGGCAGAGAAACAGAAAGAGCCCGTTTCTAGTCCTGCCTGGAGATGTTGAACATGCTGCATGCACAGATGATGCTCAGCATCTATGCTAGGCTCCTAGAATTAGAGTTAATTCTCTATTAGGAAAAGCGTGATCTGCAAAGAAGTGTCAGGCCTGATGAGTGCAGCAACTCATCCCCCGCAGGTCTTGCCCCATGGATCAGTTGCCCTGTCTCCCCACAGCCATCTAAGTTCCCTCCGCTCCAGGGCTTTCCCCAAGCAATCAGAGACTGCGCCTGAGTGCAGCCAACCTCTCCTCTGCCTCTTTTCGTGCCTCTTCTGGTCCTGGGAGACCAGCCGGGAGGGGAGCTTGTTGCAGCAGGAGGGGGAGATCCCTGTGACTCTTCATCAGCCTGACCCATCTCTGCCTCTTGGCCCCCTCTCCTCTGCAGCCTCTGAGTCTGGACCGCTCTCTGCCACAGCCTCTTCCTGCTCACTAAGCCCTGTTGCCTCTCCAGCTCCCAACACCACTTCCTCCCCGTCTGCGCCCTCTGATCGCTCATCGCTGTCCCACCACCACCCCACCCTCGGCTATGGACCTTCTTCCCCTTGGGGGTTCCCCAGCCAGTTCTTCCCACCATTCCTCTGCATCCAACCAGGCCATGAGACCAATGTTTGAAGCCACTTGATTTCTTACGCCCAGGTGCCCCTCCACCTCTCTTCAGAAGCCACCCCCCTGCTAGGAATCCTGGTGTTGCTGCTCGAGACGAACAGGCCAAACCCCTCCTGCGTACATTTTGTTTTGCCTTGACGGCTGGACCTCGTTTTCCTTCTGCAAAGCCGGGAGCTGCGTCTATTTCTGGCCTTTTGCCGGCTCCCTCCACTGGCACAGAGCTTGTGGCCGTGAAACGTTCAGCAAAAACGTCTCTCCAGAATCCCAGCTGTTTTCCTAGTGAGCCGGAGAACATTGCTCAGCCATCCTTATGGCTCTGCTCATATTGAGGAAGGCTGAGGTCAGCAAGAGATTGAGCGAGGGAGGGAGGGAGGGAGCGGGGAAGAGACCTTGCATTTGTGCTCATTCTTGAAGGATTCGGGAGCAAGGATAGCCTGATTCGAGCCCTTGGAAACTAGCAAGCACACTTCTGAGCATGTGCAGAGAGTCATCTCTGCCTCGCCACTTTGCAAACACAAGCTGCCTCCAGGCATATTTTGTTGGAAGACAAGGTGCATGCAGAGCTCAGCTGGTTAGAGCGTGGTGCTGAGAACGCCAAAGTCGCAGGTTCGATTCCTGTATGAGACAACTGCATATTCCTGTACTGCAAGGGGTTGGTCTGGATGACCCTCAGGCCCCTTCCAACTCCACAATTATATATAAGGTTTTGAGCTCAAAAAATGCCCCCAAAAGGTGACTTCCAACAACACCAAGCAGGCAAATTGCTCCTGGTAGACCTTTTCACAGCCCTATTTATTTAATAAAATCATAGAATTGTAGAGTTGGAAGGGATCTCTATGGTCATCTAGTCCAACCCCTGACAAGGCAGGAATCTTTTGCCCAACGTAGGATTCGAATCCGCGATTAAGATTCTCATGCTCGACCGACGAATTAAAAACAATTTTTTTTTTGCTTCATTTCATAAAATGTATACAGCTCTTGATTGTAAAACACAAAAAACCTCAAAACAATATTATAAATACTAAGAATATTTTTTTCTGCGACTTTCAAACAGCCTCTAGGATAGCTCAGTCGGTAAAATATGGGACTCTTAATCTCAGGATCAGGGGGTTCAAGCCCCATGTTTGCCCGAAAGATTCCTGCAATAGACTAAAAACAGATTCACCAACCTGGAGACCTCCAGCTGTTTGGAACTACAAGTCCCATCAGCCCCAGAGTGCCCAAGAATGCCTAAGGCGGTGCCTGAGAATGGGGGGCTGGATGTGTGCGGGGAGGGCTGTGGGAATCTGGCACCTCGGTTTGCAACCTTCCTCCCACCCCCCGCCCAGTCCTTTAATCCTGGGGAGGAAGAGGGAGCACGGAGCGCGGCGGGGGGCGGGAGACAGAAGGCGGCGACCCCCCCCGAGCAGCTCCCGTCCTCTGTGGGTTGTAAGGCGGGGTGGGGGCACGAGTAAGCGTCCCCCCCCCGGCTTGACTCCTCCGCCTCCAACCATGCCATGGAAGTCCTTGCTTCCCAAGGACTTTGCAGCCCAGCAGGGCAGCTGTGTCCGTGCGCGCACAAGATGTGCGCAAAGATGCTGTAGCATCCTGGCCCTGCCTGCTGCTGTATAGGGACCCCCTCCTCCAGGGGTGACCTTCATCTCCCCACCCCCCCAGCTGGATCTACACCCCCTCCCACCCCCAGCTATCGCACTGCACCCCCTTTACCTGACTGATGCCCAGCTGATGCCCAGAGCATCCGTGCCAGCCTTGCAGCGGCGGCGGGAACAAAGGCGGGCGCAGCCAGCTCCGCTTTCTTCTCCTTCCCAGGAGCCCCTCCCTCTCCCCTCCGCACGTACCGGGGGGAGCCTCGTCGAGTACCGGGCTCCGCCACCGGCCCGAGGCTCTCTCTGCTCCGCGCCTGGCGGAGGAGCAGCCTCGGACGCCCACCACCCGTGGCAACATCTGGAGGGCGCGCACGGGAAGGCGCCCTTCACACGTTCCCGCGTGACACGCGGGCGGGATCCACGTGCCCAGACCCCGCCCGCCTGCTCTCTCCTTCGCGGCCTCTAGGAAGGGGCTAAGCGGCACGCAGGCACCCCCACCGATTTCCACAGCGACCTGGCTGCTGGTGGATTCACGCGTCTTGCAGGAACGTGGGAATGGAGGGGGTGGGGATTGGTAGGAGGAGACTCTCCTAAGGTGGGATGGAATGGAAGCCCAGCAAGCAAACACCAGGCCTCTTTTTCTCCTCTTTATTAGAAAACCTCTGATGCCAAATATATTAAATATATACATGCTCAGTTCTGGTGGCTCTGCGTCTCCGAAGGCAGGAGGTGTATCTTCTCTGGCCTTCTGCTGGGCACTGGCTTGTTCATGTTCAAGAAGAGTCTGTGGCAGCAAAATGTTCTGCAGAAAAGGCCCCCCGGAATTCCAGATGTTGCCACATCTAGCGAGGGAACGTGGCTGGGTGGAACACAGCAACCAAAGAGCAGAGGTTGCCAGAATTACCACCTAAGGTCCTGCGTTTCCAAATGCAGCCGCCTGCGATCTCCGGAACTCCTCGCCTCAGGGTGACGTACGCAGACGCACTGAACTTAATGGGGATGGCTAACCGAGGTTCCTTGACTTCTGTGACTCTGTGCTGAGTGGAAGAAAGGCGGTGCGCACATCATACATTTAAAGCACACCCAAACACAGGAATCCTGGGTATAGCCGTTTGTCAAGGGTGCTGGGAACTGTAGTTCTGTGAGATGCATACTACAGTTCCCCGGATTCTTGGAGGAAGGGAATGTGCCACAAACGTATGGGGCATGCGTTGTTGGGTACAAATTCCTTCTTTTTTAAATGAATGGAGGAGGATAGGCCTAACAGTGAATATTTGTGTTAACAACTAATAATTGAACACTTTGGGGGGGGGTGTTCTCTCTCCTTTTCACCAGGTGCCCATCTCTGAGCAGATGCAGCCAGGCACTGCACCGCAGGAACAGATTCTGCAACCCGCTGGAGGAAGAGCCTGCGGAACTCCCAGATACAACTTTCCTCTCTCCACGCATTATAAAGAGTCCGCGCCGCACCAGCACTCCCTGCCTTCTACGTGGGTGGTGGCCCACTGTAGGTGAGCATGAGGTGGAAGGATCTGGCGTAGCGGTTTTGCTGGAGGCAGGAGAGCTCCGACGAGAGCTCCGAGGGGTACAGAGGGAAGGGGCTGGCCAGGAACAGCAGGAACAGCAGGAACAGCAGGAGGATGGCGCTGAGGAGCATCACCATCCTGTTCCATATGGCGGGGGGTCTGGGGGGCTTCTGGGTTCGGAGGCAGGAGATGATGGAAGGCTCTTGTAGGCTGGATCTGGAAGGAGAAGCAAATGGTTCGGATTCGTAAATCTGGTTGTTGGGACACTTCTTTGAATAATAATAATAATAATAATAATAATAATAATAATAATAATAATTTATTTATATTCCGCCCTCCCAGCCAAAGCCGGGCTCAGAGTAGCTAACAGTAAAATAATACAGCATTCTTTATGGACTTAGGTAAAGGGACCCCTGACCGTTAAGTCCAGTCGCGGATGACTCTGGGGTTGTGGCGCTCTATAGGCTGAGGGAGCTGGCGTTTGTCCGCAGAAAGCTTCCGGGTCATGTGGCCAGCATAACTAAGCTGCTTCTGGTGAACCAGAACAGTGGACAGAAATGCCGTTTACCTTCCCTCCGCAGTGGTACCTATTTATCTACTTGCACTTGACATGCTTTCGAACTGCTAGGTGGGCAGGAGCAGGGACCGAGCAACGGGAGCTCATCCCGTTGCGGGGATTCAAACCCCCGACATTCTGATCGGCAAGCCCTAAGCTCAGTGGTTTGACCACAGCGCCACCCGAGTCCCTACATTACATTATTGTTATTGTATATTAAAGGTAAAGGTGAAGGGACCCCTGACCATTAGGGCCAGTCACGGACGACCCTAGGGTTGTGGCGCTCATCTCGCTTTATTGGCCGAGGGAGCCGGCGTACAGCTTCCGGGTCATGTGGCCAGCATGACTAAGCTGCTTCTGGCGAACCAGAGCAGCGCATGGAAATACTGATAACCTTCCCACCAGAGTGGTACCTGTTTATCTACTTGCACTGGTATGCTTTCAAGCTGCTAGGTTGGCAGGAGCTGGGAGCAAGCAACAGGAGCTCATCCCGTCGCGGGGATTCGAACCACCAGCCTTCTGATCAGGAAGCCCAAGAGGCTCAGTGGTTTAGACCACAGTGCCACTCACATCTTTATGGACTTACAGGACCTCAAAAGGTCGCTTCCACAGCAGTGTCAGAGGTCTCCTCCCACAGCCCTCTGTGGCCTCTCAGGGGTGGAGCCATCAGAATCATAGCAGATTTGGCTCCAAGGCCGAACAGCTGCCCAGAGATGTCTTTGTCCAATTGGAAGGAAGCTGGCTTACCCCTGCTCAATGGTGATTGCGATTTCTGCTGGCCGGGAGTTGAGGTGCTCCTTCTTGCAGATCTATGAAAACAGGCACAGAGAGTGAAGAGGAAAAGCAGGCAATAAACAAATAGAAAATTAGTTTTTGTTGGTGGCGAGAGAGATTGGCGTCCATGGTTGCTTTGCCTTCATTTACAGTGGTGCCTTGGTTCTCAAACTTAATCCGTTCCAGAAGTCCGTTCCAAAACCAAGGTGTGCTTTCCCATAGAAAGCGATGCAAAACAGATTAATCCATTCCAGGCTTTTTTTTAAAAAACAACAACTTCTAAAACAGCAATTTAACATGGATTGTACTATCTAATGAGACCATTGATCCATAAAATGAAAGCAATAAACAATATACTGCAGTCACACAATCAATCAATCAGCAGCTGAACTGGGTTACACATAGTCACAAAAACAACAAAAAAAGAGCCACAAAAATGCAAAATGAATAGCAAAAAAACAGACAGACCTCCACGTAATATTCAAAAAAGGAAGTGTGGCACTCAAATTGGAAGCGTAACACTCAAAACAGAGCACGTTTCACTTCCGAAAAAGGTTCATTCTAGGGAGCCAGATCATTGGTCCATCTAGTTCAGTGTTGGCTACACTGGCTGGCAGCAGCAGGATTTATTGCCCAGGACTGGACCTGGGACCTTCCCCTGTTATTTGGAGCACCTGCTTGGCATGCAGAAGGCCTTGGGGTCCATCCCTGGCATCTCCAGGTAGGGCCAATATGTTGTTGTTGTTTAGTCGTTTAGTCGTGTCCGACTCTTCGTGACCCCCTGGACCAGAGCACGCCAGGCACTCCTGTCTTCCACCGCCTCCCGCAGTTTGGTCAAACTCATGCTGGTAGCTTCGAGAACACTGTCCCACCATCTCGTCCTCTGTCGTCCCCTTCTCCTTGCGCCCTCCATCTTCCCCAACATCAGGGTCTTTTCCAGGGAGTCTTCTCTTCTCATGAGGTGGCCAAAGTCTTGGAGCCTCAGCTTCAGGATCTGTCCTTCCAGGGAGCACTCAGGGCTGATTTCCTTCAGAATGGAGAGGTTGGATCTTCTTGCAGTCCATGGGACTCTCCAGAGTCTCCTCCAGCACCAGAATTCAAAAGCATCAATTCTTCGGCGATCAGCCTTCTTTACGGTCCAGCTCTCACTTCCATACATCACTACTGGGAAAACCATAGCTTTAGCTATACGGACCTTTGTTGGCAAGGTGATGTCTCTACTTTTTAAGATGTTGTCTAGATTTGCCATCGCCTTTCTCCCAAGGAGCAGGCGTCTTTTAATTTCGTGACTGCTGTCCCCATCTGCAGTGATCATGGAGCCCAAGAAAGTAAAATCTCTCACTGCCTCCATTTCTTCCCCTTCTATTTGCCAGGAGGTGATGGGACCAGTGGCCATGATCTTCGTTTTTTTGATGTTGAGCTTCAGACCATATTTTGCGCTCTCCTCTTTCACCCTCATTAAAAGGTTTTTTAATTCCTCCTCAAGATGGGAGGGCGAGGGCCAAGATGGGAAAGGCTAAAACCCTGGACAGCCACTGACCCTCAGAGTACACTAATATATCTCAAACCTGAGTCCCCAGTTGTTGTTGGACTACAACTCCCATCATCCCTAGCTAGTGGGATGAGTGGTCAGGGATGATGGGAGTGTCGACATGCAGAGGGGCCGGGAGGCCAGCTGGCAAGCCCAGCTCGGACGTCTCCTTCCATCGGCCCGTACTCTGATGTAAATCAGCGACCCAAACTTCAAAAGCCAGGGCACGCAATTAGCAGAGTGAGGCCACTGGGTCCATCACCTCCTGGCAAATAGAAGGGGAAGAAATGGAGGCAGTGAGAGATTTTACTTTCTTGGGCTCCATGATCACTGCAGATGTTGACAGCAGTCACAAAATTAAAAGATGCCTGCTTCTTGGGAGAAGAGCAATGACAAACCTAGACAGCATCTTAAAAAGCAGAGACATCCCCTTGCCGACTAAGGTCCGTATAGTAAAAGCTATGGTTTTCCCAGTAGTGATGTATGGAAGCGAGACCATAAAAAAGGCTGATCGCCGAAGAATGGATGCTTTTGAATTATGGTGCTGGAGGAGACTCTTGAGAGTCCCATGGACTGCAAGAAGATCAAACCTCTCCATTCTGAAGGAAATCAGCCCTGAGTGCTCACTGGAAGGACAGATCCTGAAGCTGAGGCTCCAAGACTTTGGCCACCTCAGGAGAAGAGAAGACTCCCTGGAAAAGACCCTGATGTTGGGAAAGATGGAGGGCACAAGGAGAAGGGGACGACGGAGGACGAGATGGCGGGACAGTGTTCTCAAAGCTACGAACATGAGGGAGGCAGTGGAAGACAGGAGTGCCTGGCGTGCTCTGGTCCAGGGGGTCACGAAGAGTCGGACACGACTAAACAACAGCAACAACTGCGCACACAGAAGTAGGCATGAGGCGTAAGTCATGCTACAGCTACAGATTTATTGAACATAAATCAGAACAAAGAAACATGTCATCTCTCTCTCATGTCATCTCGGAGAGAACAGCAAAAGCAAAAGCTAAACACAAAACCGAAGTTCCCAGCATACAGTGCTGGAATGTAAACAGACATGCAACATGCAACCATTTCATGTCTCTTCCTTAAGGTGGAACGGAATTCTCACCAGGGAGTAGTGGACTCGAGTTTGAGAAACACTGGTGTGCACCATCTTTCCTCGACCTGGTGCCCCCCCTCCAGATGTTTTGGACTACAACTCCCATCAGCCCATAGCCCAGTTACGGGAGTTGCCGTCCCAAGAGTTTGGAGGGCGCCAGGTTGGAGGAGCCTGGTGCAGAGAAGGCACAGGAGATTCCTGCCCCCAATATGTACGTTCTCTACAACCCGAGATGTTCTCATCCTGCTCCATCAGAAGAACTTACTTGTTCCACCTCCAACTTCCCTCCCATCTTCTCCCGGCAGCTCTGGCCCAGCCAAGTCTCAATCCGTTCGGGGTCAAATCCCATTGGTTCTGCTTGGCGGGGTCTCCCTTTCTCTGGTGGCCCATTTTGGGGGTGCTGACGTCCCTGGAGCTCCCACGAGTGTGACGTTCCTACCAGAGAAAGCAGCAAACATCAGATCCTGTCCCTAAAGTGGAACTCTAGTTTCCAGATTAGATGGTCACAGAGCGCTGGCAAACAAGAAGGAAACGGACATTTGTTTCTCATTTGCTTGCGGGCAGGTTATACGGCATTGAGCATCAATCCTGAGTTGCTTGTATGGTGGTTATAGGTCTTCCGTTAACCCATGGGTAGGCAAACTAAGGCCCGGGGGCCGGATGCGGCCCAATCGCCTTCTCAATCCGACCTGCGGGTGGTGCAGGAATCAGTGTGTTTTTACATGAGTAGAATGTGTCCTTTTATTTAAAACGCACCTCTGGGTTATTTGTGGGGCATAGGAATTCATTCATTTTTTCCCTTCAAGCCCCCCACAAGGTCTGAGGGCCCCTGCTGAAAAATTTTGCTGACCCCTGGACTTTAACCAATCATTTATCCACACTTTTAGCACATTTTCCCCATCACTTTCCTAACTGCGTAAATTAATAACAACAACAATAAATTATACTCCGACTTTTCCCCTGACAGGATTCAAGTCAGCTTAGAGTTAAAAACAAGAACCACTAAAAACACAGTAAAAACAATAATTAAGAAACAATTGTGGTCGTTTTCACACCAGAGTGCTTTCATATACTATAAGTGGGCAAAAATCTAAACTTCCAGTACGTCATTGACTCAGTCTCGCCAAATGCTGGCAACCTGGAGGAAGCCGCCTGTGCCAGACTTTACACATCCACTGAAAACTTTTCTATTCTGCCAAGTCTGTGCTGGCAATTAAGAGCACATCTTTCAAAATAATCATGTGGTTTCTGATTGTGACTTTCCATATGGTTTTTCCAATTTGTATGGTTTTATGTCCTCTTGTTGTAAACTCTTTTGATTTTGTTTTAATGAAATAACAGCATGAAAATGTTTTTACAAATAAGTTCCAGGCACACCCAAAGGGACGATTCAGCTTATTAAACCAGCATCTCCTCTAAAAAGACGCTGGGAGATCAAATGCAAGGACTTACCAGAACTGCACCTTTTTATTTCCTGGTCTGTGAAGGAGGAACTGAATTGATCCCACTCCACTTGGAAGCCCTTCTGCACCTATAAGAAAGGAGGCGAAAGATGGGGGCAGTTATGAAACCACAAGGAAAACTATTACCGGTAAATTGGCAAGAAGAAGGGCAAGATTTTGGGGTGGGGGAATCGGCCATTCTGAAAACCAGATGGGGTAGGGAGGAGGGGTTACGTGGCATGGGGTGAACATGGTTAATCTGTGGAACTCTCTCCCACTGGAGACAGGGATGGCCACGAGTTTAGATGGCTTTAAAAGACAATTGGGCAAATTCGTGGAGGAGAAGTCTTATCAATGGCCACTAGCCAGGATGGCTATTGCTCTCAATCCACATTCAGAGGCAGATTCTGGGTACCAGTTTCTGGAAACCACCAGAGGGGAGAGTTGCTCTCGCACTCAGGTCCCGCTTGCGGGTTTCCCAGAAGAGACATCTGGTTGGCCCTTATGGCCTTCCCCAGCTTGGCACCCTCTAGATGTTTTGGACTCCCATCAGCCCCAGCTACGAGGCAGTAACTGGCCCAAGGTCACCAGGTGAGCTTGGTGACTGAGTGGGGATTCGAACCCTGCTCTCCCAGGTCCTAGTCCACACATGGCCACTGTGAGAAGAGGGTGCTGGACTAGATCTAGCAGGCCAGCTTAAAACATCCTTTTAGGCAGAAAAAGTGAAGGCTCCATATTTTAGGCAGAAATGTGAAGCCTCCATATTCCTGCTCTCTCCTCCTACCAAGCCCTGGGATTAAGACCTCTTCCACCCACCCCAGCCATTCCCAAATGCTTACAGAAAAGTCTTCTGGGCTGCTGCATCTCAAAGGCAAGGAACGGGATGCACAAACAGAAGTCCTGCACTTCCGGCGAGGTTCTTCCCACTGGCCCAGACCTGCAGGAAACAAAACAGGGGAAAGGAATCCAGCTGCTGCCCAATCTATCTGTGACCACTTCAGAATATCTGCTTCTGTTTTCTTTAAAATGTCAAGCTTCCAGCCCTTATGAGCTTTCCCCAGCTTGGCACCCTCCAGATGTTTTGGGACTACAACTCCCATCATCCCTAGCTAACAGGGCCAGTGGTCAGGGATGATGGGAATTGTAGCTCTGAAACAGCTGGAGGGCCAAGATTGGCCATGCCTGTCCTAGCCCAACAGCCTAATCACACTGCCTCTTCTGCGGTGAAAGACTCAGAGCTGAAGGTGCTGTTTGATGGCTGTAAAAGGTAAAGGGACCCCTGACTGTTAGGTCCAGTCGTGACCGACTCTGGGGCTGCGGCGCTCATCTCGCTTTACTGGCTGAGGGAGCTGGCGTACAGCTTCCGGGTCATGGGGCCAGCATGACTAAGCTGCTTCTGGCGCAACCAGAGCAGCTCACGGAAATGCCGTTTTCCTTCCCGCCGGAGCGGTACCTATTTATCTACTTGCACTTTGACGCCCGTCGCGGGGATTCGAACCGCCGACCTTCTGATCGGCAAGCCCTAGGCTCTGTGGTTTAGACCACAGCGCCACTCCTGTCCCTGTTTGATGGCTGTAGGTGCTCTGAAATTCTGAAACGAATGATGGGGGTGGAGACGATGGTGATGATGATGATGATGATGATGATGATGATGATAACAACAACAAATTATTTCTTATACCCCTCCCATCTACCTGGGTTGCCCTGGACACTCTGGGAGGCATCCAACAAAAATACAGCATCAAAAATTAAAAGCTTCCAATGACAGGGCTGCCTTCAGATATATTCTAAAAGTTGTGTAGTTCTTTATCTCCTTGATATCTGAAGGGAAGGAGTTCCACAGGGCAGGTGCCACCACTGAGAAGGCCCTCTGCCTGGTTCCCTGTAACCTCACTTCTCACAATGAGGAAACCACCAGAAGGCCCTCGGAGCTGGACCTCAGTGTCCGGGCTGAACGATGGGGGTGGAGACTCTCCTTCAGGTCTACTGGACGGAGGCTGTTCAGGGCTTTAAAGCTCAACACTTTGAATTGTGCTCGGAAACGTACTGGGAGCCAATGTAGGTCTTTCAAGACTGGTGTTATATGGTCTTGACTGCTGCTCTCAGTCACCAGTTTAGCTGCCGCATTCTGGATTAGTTGCAGTTTCTGGGTCACCTTCAAAGGTAGCCTCACGTAGAGCGCACGGCAGTAGTCCAAGCGGGAGATAACCAGAGCGTGCACCACTCGGTGAGACAGTCTGCAGGCAGCGAGGGTCTCATCCTGCGTACCAGATGGGCCCTTGTTCCTGTGTCATGATTCAACCCAGCTCCATACCCCCAAGGCGGTGGGCCCTCCCTCCCTCCCAGGCCACGCCTACCTGTGATGGCGCTGGAGTATGAGGAATCCTCTTCGTCATGCGATGTAGATCCCCCTATATCCACAGAAGGATCCCACTCTAGATCCACGTTTGCCTCTGGCTGCTGGCGGTGCAGCGAGGGGTTCTTTGGGGTCGACTGGCGCATGGAGGCAGCAGGAGGCTGGGGTGGTCCAGCGCCATCATCGCCTGCCCACTCCAGGGATTCTTCTGTGAGGGACTCAGACTCCAAATCACTGTCTCGGTCCGACAACCACTCGTCCTCAAAGACCTGGGGGCAAGGTAATATGTTCAGGAGAGAAAGAGGGAGATCTGCAGACATGGAAGAGTTATCATCCACTTAAAGAAATATCAGACAGTAAACTGACTGCACCTTCAATGCCCATTTGCAACACATCCTTTCCCTAGAGGAATTCTGAGTGCTGTTTTCCCCTCACAGAGTTACAATTCCCAGCTTAGCCTAGGATTCTTTGAGGGGAAGAACGAGCTTTGCATGTGCTTTCAAGATATAGTGCCGTGGGTTCCCAAAAAGATGTCCAAGATTGAACCTGGCAATATGCTCTGCAAACATTCTCTGCCCCTGAGCAACACCCTTCCCTTGGAAGGGGCTGGATTCTGCACCCTCGTAGGGGTTTCTGTGCTTCTGTTGTGCAAATCGTTATGATTCTTTATTGTCTTTGTCCCATACAGAACAAGGAAATTGAAAAAAATCTACACCAGACATTCAGAAACCAACAAGCCTGCTATCCCAGCTATCCTGCTATCCCAACCTGGTTAGCCCCCTAAAAACTCTGATACCCCATAATTAAATACAATATACTCCCACAGAGACTACCTTACACAGCGTTTAAACTCAAAATCACATTTGGGTAGAAACTGTTTCTCAGGCGGCTAATCCTAGTCTTTATAACCCTGTACCTTCTTCCAGAAGGCAGAAGCTGAAAGAGATCATTTCCGGGGTGCGCACTATCCTGCGCTATCTCTGCAGCTTTCTTAAGGCACCTGGAAGCGTAGATTTGATCCAAGGTGGGAAGAGTGCACCCAATTATTCTCTCCGCAGTCTTTACAACCCTGGACAGAATTGTTTTTTCCCTGGCCGTGCAGCTCCCAAACCACACACACAGACCGTAAGTTAATACACTCTCCACAGTACAATGGTAAAATGGCATCAACAGGTCCTTTGAGAGATGGTTTTTCCGGAGGATTCAAACATGCAACTCATCATTTGATGGACATAGCCTGCTGGATCCGGCCAATGGCCCATCTAGTCCAGCAGCCTGTTCTCAGAGTGGCCAACCAGATGCCCATTATGGGAAACTTGCAAGCAGGACACGGGCACAAGAGCAACTCTCCCTTCCTGTAGTTTCCTGTAGCTGGTATTCAGAAGAATGGCTGCCTCCAACTGTGCAGGAAGGGCATAAAAATCATGGCTAGCAGCCCACTCCTCCCTGAATTTGTCTAATCCTCTTTTAAAGCCACCGAAGTGGTTGGCCATGGCTGCTTCCTGTGGGAGGGAGTTCCGCAGATTAACCCTGCACTTTGTAAACGAACTCTTTTATTTTATTTATTCAACCCCATTGATGTCCATGAATTCTCACCTAATGCAAGAGGGAGAAAACCTTTACTACATCCACTTCCTCCATGCCCTGCAAAATTTTATAAACTGTCATGTCACCTCCTGCCTTTTCTGAAAACTAGAGAAAACCTGCAGCTACCGGGCGATGAATATATCTACGTGGGGCTCTGCATGGGGCTCCCTTTGAAGGTGACCCAGAAACTACAACTAATCCAGAATGCGGCAGCTGGACTGGGCACTGGGAGCGGCCGCCGAGACCACATAACACCAGTCCTGAAAGACTTACATTGGCTCCCAGGACGTTTCTGAGCACAATTCAAAGTGTTGGTGCTGACCTTTAAAGTCCTATACAGCCTCAGTCCAGTATACCCAAAGGAGCGTCTCTACCCCCATTGTTCAGCCCGGACACTGAGGTCCAGCGCCGAGGGCTTTCTGACGGTTCCCTCCCTGCGAGAAGCCAAGTTATAGAGAACCAAACAGAGGGCCTTCTCGGTGGTGGCGCCCGCCCTGTGGAACACCCTCCCACCAGATGGCAAAGAGAACAACAACTACCAGACTTTTAGAAGACGTCTGAAGGCAGCCCTGTTTAGGGAAGCTTTTAATGTTTGATGTATTACCGCATTTTAATATTTGGTTGGAAGCTGCCCAGAGTGGCTGGGGAAGCCCAGCCAGATGGTTGGGGTATAAATAATAAATTATTATTATTATTATTATTATTATTATTATTATTATTATTATTATTATATACGTGTGAGCTTAACCTAATCCAAATTGCGGCTCACCTACTCCAATGCCTTGATTGGCATATCGGATTGCCTCTCCCTCTTCCTGAGCAAGGGAGACCCCCGGTACTCACCAGCCGCATGCTGACCAGTCGCCCCTGGAAGCGGAAGACTCTGCGGAAGACCTCCTGGCAGAAGCAGCTCAGGTCCTGCAACTCCTCCTCCAAGACCTCCGCGTCCTCAGGCTGGCTCTTCTGGATCAGAGCTTCCCCGTGCACCAGCAGGTGGTCAACGCGGTCTGCATTGGCCTGCACGTCCTGCTGGAATGCCTGGACATCAAGAAAGAGAGGCAAAGGGCTTATCCCTCAGCTGGTTTTGGACTACAATTCCCATCACCCTCCCTAGCTAGTAGGACCAGTGGTCAGGGATGATAGGAGGCAGTGACTGCCATCAACCTGGATGGCTTTAGATGTGTATTTCGATCTGTTTTTCGTTTACTGCCGATTTTAATTTTTTAAAAATACAGTATTTTAATTGCTTTTTTCTTTTTTTCTTTTTTATATGTTTTAATTAATTTTTTAACATATCAGTTCCACAGTCATACAACATAACTTCTCATCTTATACAATATTTTTAGACTTCCGTCAACACCTCTGATGATTTTCCGTTCTTTATCACTTATTATGAATTTCTTAATTTCATATTACCTTTAATTGTCCTTAACTAATAATTCTCATTATCTTTTTTGCAATCTTTCAAATAATTCACCTTACAAAACTTCTTGCAAACCTACTAGTGTAATCTGTTCATCACAATTGCTTTTCAAATAGTCCGTAAATTTACTCCAGTCTTCTGAGAATCTCTGGTCCCGCAGGTATCAAATCCTTCCTGTTAATTTATCTAATTCTGCATAGTCCATCAATTTCATCCTCCATTCTTCTTTCGTCGGTAATTCTTCTTGCTGTTTTCAACTGTTTTTTACTGATAATTCTATGGGTTTTTTTCCTATTTGTAAACTGCTTTACTTTTTAAAGAAATCAAGCAAAATTTATGTCTTTTATGTTGTTTATGTTTGTTATAAATTTGAAAAACCAATAAAAAAAATTGGGGGGAAAAAGAAATCAAGGAAAATATACATTTTTATGCAGTGTTGTTTTCTGGGGGTATTCAAAGGTATGCAGTACTGACACCTTCTCCCCCAAAAATGTTAAAATTGTGGCACTTCCTGTAACAACTTCATGGCGAGTAAGGTAAAGGTAAAGGGACCCCTGACCATTAGGTCCAGTCGTGGCCGACTCTGGGATTGCAGCGCTCATCTCGCTTTACTGGCCGAGGGAGCCGACGTCCAGCTTCCGGGTTATGTGGCCAGCATGACTAAGCCACTTCTGGCGAACCAGAGCAGCACATGGAAACGCCATTTACCTTCCCGCCGGAGCAGTACCTATTTATCTACTTGCACTTTGACGTGCTTTTGAACTGCTAAGTTGTCAGGAGCTGGGACCGAACAACTGGAGCTCACCCAGTCACGGGGATTCGAACTGCCAACCTTCTGATCGGCAAGTCCTAGGCTCTGTGGTTTAACCCACAGCGCCACCCGCGTCCCATGGCGAGTACCAGCCCTTAAAAAAACAAACTCTGAAATTATTATGAAACGAGATAAATCTCTGAGCTTTTGCTGGACACTATCCATGCATGGATTATTATTATTTTTTGCAAGAACATTGAGGTTTCCAGAAATGTTTTCCTCAGCCAATGTCCACCTGCTCAAGATGCCAGGTCCTGAGCTGAGATACCAGACTCCAGAAGCGTTTGGTGAATCCCTGGAGAAACGTGTAGCCTTGTAGGAAAACTGCAAGAGTGCAAATTCTTGACCCCCTCCCATGGCCCCTTCCTCAACTTTTTCCCTACCTGCAGCTGTATCATTTTCTCCAGCGACGTCCCTCCGGAGAAGTGCTCCACGTCGGTGAGTCGGAGGTCCAGCTCCACCAGCCACACCCGGATGGTCTCTTTCTCCAGCTCAAACTTTTCCCACTGGTTCACAAAATGCTGGCAGGGGGAAGGAAGGGAAAGAGCCTATCAAACACCGCCCTTTATTCACAGAGCTAAGAGATACCTGGACAATATTGTAGGAGGAACATCTGCCCTGAAGCAGCTATTCAAAAATGGCCTAGGTTATCCCTGTGGAATCGTATGATGCGTGATCCACAGCACTGGGTAATAATAATAATAATAATAATAATAATAATAATAATAATAATAAATTTTATTTATACCCCGCCCTCTGGGCTCTGGGCGGCTAATACCAGTAAAATTACAATATAAACATAATGGGGGACGATACGCAATTTAAAATACAGGTTTAAATGCCACGTAAAATGCAGCCTCATTTTAATAGTAGCCCATAGATCAAAACCATAAAGGGAGGGAAACAGAAGGGTCAGACTGAGTCCAAACCAAATGCCAGGAGGAACAGCTCTGTCTTGCAGGCCCTGCAGAAAGATGTCAAGTCCCGCAGGGCCCTAGTCTCTTGTGACAGAGCGTTCCACCAGATCGGGGCCAGTACTGAAAAGTCCCTGGCCCTAGTTGAGACCAGTCTAACCTCCTTGAGGTTTGGGACCTCCAAAGTGTTGTCATTTGTGGACCGTAAGGTCCTCCATGGGGTATACCAGGAGAGGCGGTCCCGTAGGTATGGGGGTCCTAGGCTGCATCTGTGGCCGCCTTTGCAGAGCCACAGTCCCAGGGTTTGAATGTGGCCCTTGAGACCTCTCTATGTGGCCCCCAGGACCCTTCCCAAGACACACCCCTCATTGGTCCCATTTTCCTTGGGTGGAATAATATATCCTTGAGCTCTGGCAACGGAGGGAGGAGAGAGACAGGTGTTTGTGAATGTGCATAGGAGAGCCATAGCTCAGCAGTCGGGTGTCTGCCTTGTAAGCGGAAGGTTCAGTCCGTCTCCAGACAGGGCTGCCTAAAATCCTGCAGAGCCGCTGCCAGTCAGTGTACACAGTACTGAGTTAGATGGAGCAAAGATCTGACAGCTTCCTGTGTTCCTGAACCAGCCCAGTGTATAAAGTTAAAATTCAGGTTCACTGCTCCACAGACCACTGGCATGCGGCCCTCGAAAGGTTATTGTTATGTACTAAGTTGAATAGGATCCAGAAGGCAGCAATCTGATTGGTCCTAGAAAAATAGGATCCAGAAGGCAGCAGTCTGATTGGTCTGCAGGAGCCACCCAATCCAACTCCAGGTGGAAGTGAATCCGCAACCTGATTGGCCTACAGGAGAATCCCTGAATTAGCCAATCACGTGGGGCCCATTGTGTAAATAATGCATATATAGCAGACATTCTGAGGGAACTCCCATTCCTCCTCACCACTATGAGCTCAATAAAGAGCATGAAATCCGCTCTCGACTCAGAGTATATTTCAGTTATCCCGGAGGGAATGTGGACCTCAAGGTGACTGTGGACCTCCAAGGTCCAGCGCCCACCAGGACCCACCTTCAGCCTCTTGCAAATGGCAGCTGTCCGAGCCTGCAGGTCGTCCCAGCGCTGGTTGACCTCTTGCACCGTGGGCCGGAGCGGTGGGCCGATGGCCCCGCTCCTCACCAGCTGATGGTACCGCCTGTTTAAGGATTCCAGAGGAAGCAACTTGTCTGAAACTTGTCTTTGTAGCACCTGAAAGGGAGCCATGCAAAATGCCAGTGGGGATGTTGCAGGAATTTATGCATAGGTTGGGGGGGGGTTGCCCCTCCAGCAGATATCATGCGCATGCAGCCCACTACCAAAATCAGCACAGTCGCTTTTGTGACTTTTGTGCTTTGTCCCCACAAAACACTTCATCACACTTTCTTCCTATCTATTCAAAGGGCCTTTGCTGCACGATACCAAATGTGAGAATTCACTGATCAATGTCTCTATGTACTGGCTCACTGGGAAAACTTCAGAAATTCCTATAGACCTGTGAGCTCAGCTCCTCAGCAGCCCCTCTGCCTGAGTGATAATTCTTGGCATCCTGATACCCGAGTGCCAGACAGGTAGCCATTCCAGAAACAACAAACTCAGATGGAGACGAAAGGGTGTGATGAACTTAGCTGGGAAACAGGGAAATGTAAATATCTCTTTTGTTCCACTTGATGGGTGTTTGGTGGAGGGCAAGGGGAACCATGGGGCAGGGTCCAGGATGCTCAGATTACGGCCACCAGACCTCCCCTTTCATGATGTAACTGTGATGTATGAGTGATGTAGTTTGGGGGAGGGGGTAACATGGGGATTAGCAGCTAATAAAAATTTGGGGGTTCTTTTGTTCGGGGCTTCCATCTTGTTCCACCTGGTGGCAGGTGGGAGTCCTGTCGCGACAGTCTTCAATCAAGACCAAGCCTACTGGCTGCTGTTTTGCTCTGGTCTTCCTGGCTGGGGTCCTTGTTTTTTGTCCAAGGGAAGCCTAAGATTTCTCCGTTAACAGGGAGCATTGAGACTAGAGCAGGCAAAATTATTTGCCCCCACCTCCCTACAAAGTGGTCCAAGGCTGCTTGCAAACAAATACCGTATTTTTCGCCCTATAGAACGCACTTTCCCCCCTCCCAAAATGAAGGGGAAATGTGTGTGCGTCCTATGGGGCGAATACAGGCTTTCGCCGAAGCCTGGAGAGCGAGAGGGGTCGGTGTGCACGCAACTCCGCCATCGCTCTCGGACCCGTTCTGGGGGCTGGGGTCGGGGGAAGCTCAGGCTTCCCCCACCCCCAGCCCCGCAAGGTCCGGGAGCGATGGCGAGGTTGCGCAACCTCACCTTCGCTCCCGGTCCGCCAGCCCTGAGGCTAAAAACGAAGCCAGGACAGCGAGCGGGATCCATCCCGCTCGCTGTCCTGGCTTCTTTGCTCTTTGGGGCTGGGGGGCGGAAATAAAACTTTTTTCCTTTATTCCCCCCCCCCCCGCAAAAAAATAATTGCGTCCTATGGGCCGTGCGCCCTATAGGGTGAAAAATACGGTAAATGGGTGATAAAATGTTATTAATGTAAGGTTACCAGGTGTCCCTGTTTCCTGGGGACAGTCCCCGGATTTACAAATCAGTCCCCTGCCAAAATCCATTGAAGTTGAAAAGCGTCTCGGGATTCATTGAAAAAAATCTGGTAACCTTATATTAATGATTCATGAAGTTTTTGTGTGGATTCACCCAGAAGTCGGTTCTGCCTCTTTTCTGTGTGATGCCATGATCTTTTTAAAAAACTGCCTTTTAATGATATTTTAAAGTGCATTTTCCTGTCAAAATCATTTCCTTCAAAATACCCATTTCTAAATGTGTTCTCTCTGCAATATATTTTGATATGTTGTTGGGCTATGTCAGTGGTTCCTTAAGTGGACAGACCCACTGCTTGGGGGGCAGTAGGATTACCTAGGGGGCGGCAGAGGGGTGCCGAAGGTGTATATGGTCACCAGACTTTGAAAAGCTGGCATCGCTGGATCAAGTCCATCCATTCTGTAGACTTAAACTAAATTGTTTTAACTGGGTTTTGATTAAATATGCAATTAATTGTTAACTGTTTTGAATTATCGCATTATTACTTTCCTTAGTGGGCTGTGCAAACTGCTATTCCTGAATAATGCTTTTCAAAGGCTAGGGCAGGGGGCACTGAGAACCAAGCAGGCAGTGGCCTGAAAAACTTTGGGAACCACAGGATTGTGGCCAACTTTATAAGATTCAAATTTGGCTGCCCACTAAGAAAGTGGTGTTGGGGGATGAGTGTTCAGACCCCTTACTTGTGGGGTGCCTCAGGGTTCCGTCCTCTCCCCCATGCTTTTTAATATCTATATGAAGCCACTGGGAGAGATCATCAGGGGGTTTGGGCTGGGTGTCCATCAATATGCGGATGATACCCAGCTCTACCTCTCTTTCAAATCAGAGCCAGTGAAGGCGGTGAAGGTCCTGTGTGAGTGCCTGGAGGCGGTTGGAGGATGGATGGCGGCTAACGGATTGAGGTTGAATCCTGACAAGACAGAAAGACTGTTTTGGGGGGACAGGAGGCGGGTTGGTGTGGAGGATTCCCTGGTCCTGAATGGGGTAACTGTGCCCCTGAAGGACCAGGTGCGCAGCCTGGGAGTCATTCTGGACTCACAGCTGTCCATGGAGGCGCAGGTCAATTCTGTGTCCAGGGTAGCTGTTTATCAGCTCCATCTGGTACGCAGGTTGAGACCCTATCTGCCTGTGGACTGTCTGGCCAGAATGGTGCATGCTCTAGTTATCTCCCGCTTGGACTACTGCAATGCGCTCTACGTGGGTCTACCTTTGAAGGTGACCCGGAAACTACAACTAATCCAGAATCTGGCAGGTAGACTGGTGACTGGGAGTGGCCACCAAGACCACATAACACCGGTCCTGAGAGATCTGCATTGGCTCACAGTGTGTTTCCGAGCACAATTCAAAGCATTATACCTGAAGGAGCGTCTCCATCACCATTGTTCAGCCCGGACACTGAGGTCCAGCTCTGAGGACCTGCCTTCTGGCGGTTCCCTCCCTGCGAGAAGCCAAGTTACAGGGAACCAGGCAGAGGGCCTTCTCGGTGGTGGCGCCTGCCCTGTGGAACACCCTCCCATCATATGTCAAAGAGATAAACAACTACTTGCCATTTAGAAGACATCTCAAGGCAGCCCTGTTCAGGGAAGTTTTTAATATTTAATGCTGTATTGTTTTTAACACTCGATTGGGAGCCACCCAGAGTGGCTGGGGAAACTCAGCCAGATGGGTGGGGTATAAATAATAAGTTATTATTATTACCATTATTATTATTATTATTATTAATGTCCTTGTCTGACAGCTGTGCATCCTCCCTTCCCCTGACATTTACTCACCGTGAAGCAGGTGCGAGGGAACCGTAGGCCCTCCAAATATTGCCTGAGCTACAACTCCCAAGAACCCCAGCACGTATGGCCAGGGCTGGAGAACAGTTGCAGTTCAACTGTGAAACCTGAGGGTGGGGGCTGTACTTATTCCAGATCTCTGGGTTCTGTGATGAAAGCCATTGTGATGTAGTGCTTGACTAGCACCTTGGAAACGAGGGTTGAAATCCTCACATGGCCATGAAGCTTAGCTCACCGCTGGTGACCTTGGGCTACTCGCTGCCTCTCAGCTAGAATCATAGAATTGTAGAGTTGGAAGGGACCCCCAAAGGCCATCTAGTCCAACCCCCTGAAACGCAGGCATCTTGCCCACAGCCATCCCTGGCTGGGTTTGAACCACCAACCTTCTGGTTACACACACTGACCCACTGAGCCACAGTGAACTGACTTAATGTTGTGGAGATGAAATGAGGAGGGTGGGCGCCTTGGAGAAAAAGGCAGGATATAAAACAAATAAGTAAATAATGGGTGCTTTATAAATTACCTATACTGAGCAAACAGAAAGAGGGGGAGAGACGTGTAACCCAGAAGCAGCAGAAGTCACAGCGCCTGCAACATTTCCGTGCAAATTGTGTTCGTCATAAGTGATGCTGCAATGTCAATTAACGCACCACTGAAAAATTAAGCGAGTCCCAGAACCGTCTCCATTTTAGCAATTCAACCTGCTGGCTGGCAGTCCAGATGCCTTGCTTTGAGCGCTATGAATTTCTGAGCGAGCCATTCTCATCTTTCCGTTCCTCTCTCTCGTGCAGAAACACGCACACAAGGTGACCTGGATTGCTGCGGCTTCAAAAGTTGTTAATTCACACAAAAGTGTCGGTGGGGAAGAGAACAAAGGCGCATTCTCTCTCCCGCTGGCTCCCCTCGGAAGGGTGGCCCATCCTTCCTAAATGCCTCATTTGTTCGCTCATTTGTTATTTTTGGCCCCTCGCTGCTCCTTTAAGATAAAAGGGCTGGCAAATCCTAAGCTATCAAATGCGTACCTGGCAAGGAAGGCTCTGTAACTGCAGCTTCAGGGCTGCGTAAGACACAGAGCGCACTTAAAACACACAGATTCCCCTGAATAATACCAGGAACTGCAATTCACAGTGCTAAAATTCCCAACATTCGTTGGGGGGAAGCAGTGTGCTTTAATATGCAAAAGCCTTTGACTGTGTCGACCACAACAAACTATGGCAAGTTCTCAAAGAAATGGGAGTGCCTGATCACCTCATCTGTCTCCTGAGAAATCTCTACGTGGGACAAGAAGCTACAGTTAGAACTGGATATGGAACAACTGAGTGGTTCAAAATGGGGAAAGGAGTACGACAAGGCTGTATATTCTCTCCCTGCTTATTTAACTTATATGCAGAATACATCATGCGAAAGGCTGGGCTGGATGAATCCCAAACCGGAATTAAGATTGCCGGAAGAAATATCAACAACCTCAGATATGCAGATGACACAACCTTGATGGCAGAAAGTGAGGAGGAATTAAAGAACCTTTTAATGAGGGTGAAAGAGGAGAGCGCAAAAGTGAAGAGGAATTAAAGAACCTCTTAATGAGGGTGAAAGAGGGGAGCACTGTTATGTACTGAAATTCTCACCATGGGCCAGCAGGGGGATACTGTAGATAGTTATGCAAATAAGGGATCAAAAGTGACGTTCAGTGATTGGATAGTTTTAGAAAGTTGCTACAGTAACGTACTGGAGCTCTATATAAGCAGGCTGACTGAACCCTTCAGTTCAGTTCTGTCCAGGCCTGTGAATAAACAAGAGCTGTTTGAAGAATCGCTGTGTCGTCTGATATGTTCACCCACAACTTAACAAAATATGGTCTGAAGCTCAACATCAAAAAACGAAGATCATGGCCACTGGGCCCATCACCTCCTGGCAAATAGAAGGGGAAGAAATGGAGGCAGTGAGAGATTTGACTTTCTTGGGCTCCATGATCACTGCAGATGGGGACAGCAGTCACGAAATTAAAAGACGCCTGCTTCTTGGGAGAAGAGCAATGACAAATCTAGACAGCATCTTAAAAAGCAGAGACATTACCTTGCCAACAAAAGTTCGTATAGTTCAAGCTATGGTTTTCCCAGTGGTGATGTACAGTGGCGTAGCGTGGGGGGTGCAGGGGGGCCGGCCGCACCGGGCGCAACATCTGGGGGGGCACGCTCACCGCCTCCGGAGTTGCCGAAGAGCCTCGGGCGCAGGCTGTAGCAGAGCCCCATGTCTCGCGGAACCGACGAGCTGGCAGCGGCTCTCAGCGCTTGCCGCGGTCCCCGCGCGTCAGGGCCGCGGAGGGCGCACCAGGCAGCCCCTCCTCACAGCCCCGCCGCCGCCGCTGCTGCTGCAGCTGCTGGGCCATGTTGCATTTTCCTCGCCTCTCTGCCCTCCTCCTCCTCCGGGCAAGCGGCGTTGTTTGGGCGGCAGCGCCAGCGGCAACTCGCCTCAGATCACCTGACACAGACTCGCCGCCGCCATGGCTACCTTACCGTAAATACCCCAGCCCAGGCAGCAGCAAGAAGAAGCTGGCAGCGGCGGCAGGTTAGGGGTTAGGGGGCGCAAATTACTTGCCTTGCCCCGGGTTAGGGGGCGCAAATTACTTGCCTTGCCCCGGGTTAAGGGGCACAAATTACTTGCCTTGCCCCGGGTGCTGACAACCCACGCTATGCCGCTGGTGATGTATGGAAGTGAGAGCTGGACCATAAAGAAGGCTGATCACCGAAGAATTGATGCTTTTGAATTCTGGTGCTGGAGAAGACTCTTGAGAGTCCCATGGACTGCAAGAAGATCCAACCTCTCCATTCTGAAGGAAATCAGCCCTGAGTGCTCACTGGAAGGACAGATCCTGAAGCTGAGGCTCCAAGACTTTGGCCACCTCATGAGAAGAGAAGACTCCCTGGAAAAGACCCTGATGTTGGGAAAGATGGATGGCGCAAGGAGAAGGGGACGACAGAGGACGAGAAGGTGGGACAGTGTTCTCAAAGCTACCAGCATGAGGGAGGCAGTGGAAGACAGGAGTGCCTGGCGTGCTCTGGTCCAGGGGGTCACGAAGAGTCGGACACGACTAAATGACTAAACAACAATAAAATTCCCAGTGTTCTTTGGGGGGAAGCAGTGTGCTTTAAAGGGCATGGTGTGTATGCAAAGCAAGGGCCAGACAACCCGGCCCTCAGGAGGTCCCTCCTTACCTTGAACCTTTGCAGCTCTTTCTTGGAATTGGCATAGGACACCTGAGAGGAGTTTGGGGAGGCAGCCATCAGTTCGGCAGCCCACAACCAGTCCTGGAAGCGGAATAGCAAGTCTTGGAAGGCTTTCTGGAGTTGCCATGCCTGCTCCTCTCTGGAAAGGGGAGAGGAATCGATCCGTCAATGCACAAAACCAAGGCAGACTCTGGGAAGAAGGACTACCCCACCAACCACCTGCCAGAACTCCCATCTTGAATTTAAAAACATTTATACAGGGCGAGTCTTTTAAAAGAGACTCACCCTGTATATTCTGTATCCATGGGGCCTCTTTTAAAGGACTCACCCAGTAAATAGCTTATATTTTTTAAAAATAAGGGATCGAAAGTGACGTTCAGTGATTGGATAGTTTTAGAAAGTTGCTGCAGTAACGTTGTACTGGAGCTCTATATAAGCAGGCTGACTGAGCCCTTCAGTTCAGTTCTGTTCTGGCCTCTGAATAAACAAGAGCTGTTTGAAGAATCGCTGTGTCGTCTGATATGTTCACCCACAACTTAACAGTATCATTGTGCTTTGAATGTGCACTGTGCAGGTGGCCTGTATTTTTTTATTATCTCAAAACTCCATTTTGCATTTCACACTCCATCCTTGATACACTTTACGATACGGTGGTACAGAAATACTGGTCTGCCCCGCAGAGGACCTTAAGGTCCATGAATAACCATAGTTTAGAGGTCCCGGGCCCTAAGGAAGTCAGACTATCCTCCACCAGGGCCAGGGCCTTCTCTGTGGTGGCTCCGACCTGGTGGAATGCTCTGTCCCATGAGACCAGGGCCCTGCAGGATTTAACCTCCTTCCGCAGGGCCTGTAAGACAGAGCTATTCCGCCTGGCTTTCAATTTGAACTTAGCCTGATCTTTTATTCCCCTTCCTCCCCTTTTTATGAAGATCCCCCGCTCTGAGACCCCACAGCTAATTCTCCCCTGTTCTCCTTGCTGGCCCAAATAGGACTAACTTAGCCAGCTAGCCCTGGTGATCATCTAATGTTTATTGGACGGATTTCCCCTCTAAATTGATTTTTGAATTTTGAATTTATTGTTATTCACATTTCATGCTGTTTTTTGTTGCATCAATTAAGTGTTTTAAATTTGTTGTTCCCCACCCTAAGCCCGGTTTTCTGAACCAGGAAGGGCGGGGTATAAATAAAAAAAAATATTATTATAAATAAATAAATGTTAAGGTTGCTCACAGGTGGGCAAGGAAACCTCTTCTGAGGGGCTCTGGGTCTTCACCCAAAGGCCTAGCCTAGTGCGCTAACCAAAAACCGGGAGATTTTTTCCAGAGCTCACCTGATGCGTTTCTCCACGGATACTGTGGAAAGGTCGCAAGCAGCCATCTCTGGCACCGGCTGCTCTCCATGGAGCGTGGCACATCCGTGGCAATCCCCAAGGGGCATTTCCTGCCTCCAGCCAATTCTCTGCATCCTCAGCCCAGAGTTTTGGTGTGATGGCTTCAGCTGACTACCTCTGTGGCGGAGGATGTGTCAGCCTCGTCCGAGAGTTTGCAGACAGCGCGGGAAACAATGAATGCCACATGGCGGCCCCTTCAGTTCGTGGAGCGAGTTCAGGATCTGCCCGCCAACTCTGTCTGCGAAGGAGCACAGTTAAATTTTAGAGAAGGAAAGGAAAAGAGAGAAATTAGCTATTGCAGATCTCGAGGAAGGGGCAACATCAATGTCTATCTGAAGAAAAGACAAAGGGGTCTAATCCAATTTCTGACAGGCTTAGCCCAGGGGTGGGGAAGCTGTGAGAATGGACTCTGGGTTCGTGCAGAGTGCATTTACCTAAGCGTCACCACGCTAAGAAATAAAAACACTGAGGGCGAGGGCAAAGACCTATTTATTGCAGAGAAATAAAATCCAGACACTGCAAAGAGTAACCTTCCTCATCCAAGTTTCCGCCTCCTTTTAGTTTATTGCTTAGGTAGCCAAGTTCATAACGACATATCTGCTTCTAAGCAAATAAAAGGATCTAGGAGTCTTGGTTGACCACAAACTTGACATGAGCCAAGAGTGTGACACGGCAGCTAAAAAAGCCAATGCAATTCTGGGCTGCATCAATAGGAGTATAGCATCTAGATCAAGGGAAGTAATAGTGCCACTGTATTCTGCTCTGGTCAGACCTCACCTGGAGTACTGTGTCCAGTTCTGGGCACCACAGTTCAAGAAGGACACTGACAAACTGGAACGTGTCCAGAGGAGGGCAACCAAAATGGTCAAAGGCCTGGAAACGATGCCTTATGAGGAACGGCTAAGGGAGCTGGGCATGTTTAGCCTGGAGAAGAGGAGGTTAAGGGGTGATATGATAGCCATGTTCAAATATATAAAAGGATGTCACATAGAGGAGGGAGAAAGGTTGTTTTCTGCTGCTCCAGAGAAGCGGACACGGAGCAATGGATCCAAACTACAAGAAAGAAGATTCCACCTAAACATTAGGAAGAACTTCCTGACAGTAAGAGCTGTTCGACAGTGGAATTTGCTGCCAAGGAGTGTGGAGGAGTCTCCTTCTTTGGAGGTCTTTAAGCAGAGGCTTGACAACCATATGTCAGGAGTGCTCTGATGGTGTTTCCTGCTTGGCAGGGGGTTGGACTCGATGGCCCTTGTGGTCTCTTCCAACTCTATGATTCTAGGATTCTAAACACAGGAAGGTTTACTGCCCAGGGAACCCATTAATTTGTATTATCTTGAAGTCTGCTGAGAATTTTCCGCATCACCCACTGTGCAGCATCAGTGATATAAAAGGAGATCAGTAACAGAGGCTCATGTAGTCCAGATTGGAAAATTTTCAGATGAGATTGATGGAAGTGAAAAAATTGTATAAGATGTTAAAATATGTTTAATTACTGTTGAAAACGATATGTTGAAAATTAACAAAAAAATTATATATATATATATATATAAGAACTAGATGATTCTAGTCCCTTCCAACTCTATGATTCTCCACTCCACCCCCACTATGATCATTTTGGTCGCCCTTTTCTGAGCCTTTGCCAACTAGACAATATCCCTTTGAGCAGAACTCTGCAAAGCACAGCAAAAATGGCAGTCAAGGCAGGAAGAAGAGCAGAAAAAGAAATGTCAGGTTTAGCAAGAAAGCCGCAAAGCCAGATTCCACACACACACACACACACTTCTTCTGTGGTGGTTTTTACAATTAACAAATACTGCTCTGAGGTGCTGGATTGAGGGCGGGAGGGATGGCATTTCAAACTGGCATCCAAGGAAGAAAGAAAGAAAGAAAGAAAGAAAGAAAGAAAGAAAGAAAGAAAGAAAGAAAGAAAAGGACTCAGTCCTTTTGTTAGAAGGAAAAGACCAAGTGGGTTTTGTTGCAAAGGAAGCAATTTAGCCAAGATTCGCAAGAGGCAGGAAAATGACTGTCCGAGCAGAGGCTGTTAAAAGAAAAGAAAAGAAAAGGAGGGGGAACGATAGAAGCATAGAATTGGGGAGTTGAAAAGGGAACCCAAATGGTTATTTGGTCCAACGCCCTGCAGTGCAGGAATCACAGCTGAAGAACCCCTGACAGATGGCCTAGCCAGGATTTTTGTTTGGGGGGGGGCAGGCCTTGTGTTAGCAGAACGTTTCCAAGCACAATTCAAAGTGTTGGCACTGACCTTTAAAGCCCTAAACAGCCTCAGCCCAGTATCCCTGAAGGAGCATCTCCACCCCCATCGTTCAGCCCGGACAATAAGGTCCAGCCCTGAGGGCCTTCTGGCAGTTCCCTCACTGTGAGAAGCCAAGTTACACGGAACCAGACAAAGGGCCTTCTTGGTGGTGGCACCCGCCCTGTGGAACGCCCTCCCACCAGATGTCAAAGAGATAAACAACTACCTGACATTTAGAAGACATCTGAAGGCAGCCCTGTTTAGGGAAGCTTTTAATGTTTAATAGGTTATTGTATTTTAATATTCTGTTGGAAGCCGCCCGGAGTGGCTGGGGAAACCCAGCCAGATGGGCAGGGTATAATTTATTTTTATTATTATGAACCGTAAATGGGAATGCCTTCCCCCTAATCCTTAGTGAGAAAGAAAGGAAAAAGATACTTTGCCCGTTCTCAAGGGTACTTTTGTCCTTATGATTAGCCCTGGAAGAAAAGAATTAACGCCTAACAAAAATTAAGCTCCACCTGGCTCTCTTTTCCTCCCAAAAGGCTCCAGGAACGGTTGGGAACAATGCCAGCCTCCTTCCCTTTTATGCTCAGGCCAGAAGATGCCCCCCCTCTCTGTGCCCTGCCTTATCAGCCCTTGTGACTTTTTCAAATATTGCAAATATTCTCACTGCAGCTAAAACAAACACCGTGTTTCCCTGATGGCCCTTGCAGAATTATTGCGGCACCAAAGCAAGCACAGCGGCAGCTTCCCTTGGGTCGTCTGCGGCATCCCCTGCCAATAGACTTGGCAAACACGTATTGGTGTACGCAGAGGTTTGTTTGGCTTCTCTTTTGGCATGTAGCTGAGGGTATGCACCTTGCAAACGGGCTGGCCAGGGCGCTCCAGCCAGGGATCTGTTATCCAGAGTTTGTGGGGTGCAACAGTAAACAGGACAGTGGCTCTAAGCGTACACAGAGTTCAGTCTCTTTCCCGCACAGGTGTCCATGCCTGCCTGGGATCAGGGAGCACAGAATCCGTGCCAAAAGCTGTGGTCTCTAGGTAGATCGGAGGCATCTGGTTTTCCAGAATTGAGCATCCAAGCTACTGAAGGTGCCAGAGGAAATATATGGTTTGATTAGCCAGAGTGAGAAACAGGCATTCCTCAAAGTTGAAACGGCACCACAGACACACAGGACACTCTTTTCAAATATAGGGCTTTGGTCCAGCTAGCTTAGTGTTGTCTACACTGACCGCAAGCAGCTCTTCAGGGTTTCAGAGTGTCTCTGGACAATGTTTTGCTGTGGGACCATGGTTCTTCTGCATGAAAACTTTTGCACATGGTGCTGTTGCCGTCAAAATGCCAGCCTGCATTCCTCATCCACCTTTAATCTTGATGCAACCTTTCTGGTGAAAATCCACTCCTATAAAAATAAACCTCTTGCCAAAATGACTTTGCAAACTATCCCTGGTAACTGTGTTATGTCGATCGCATAATTTAGCAGCAAGAGAGAGTGTGCCACACCTGCAGGATTGCTGTCTGCGATTTCACATAAGTCAAACAGCCACCAAGAAGTCCAACAAACATATTGTTCTAGCATATTGCAGTGACATTTTGATTTCCCAAGATGGAACAGGTTGTGTCTCTCTGCCTCATGCCATCATTGTAGTTTTCCAAACTGGTCCCAGTCCCCTCACTAGGCACAGTAGTTAGATACACCCCCAATATTTGCATGTTTTCAAATGGCAGAAATTGATCAAAGGTTTGGGTTTTGTCTGTTTCTCCAGACCTACACAAACCTCCAGGACTATGGCTCAGCTTTAGAAACTGCTTTCAGGAACGCCAGCATGCCAATACCTGAGATTGTGAGATACCCCACAAGCATGCACAGAGTGCGATTCATTTGCCATTGAGTAAACACTGCCTCTCTATAATTATCTGGCATTTTGAGAAGCGTGCTCCCCCCCCAAAAAAAAATAAACTGAAGGAACTGCAAGAAGCAAATAATTTAATACCCAAAATTTAATAAAACACAAATTGCTGCTCCTTTATTATTTTCATTGCCTATTTACTCTTAATGCACTGAAACCAAAACAGCCCCAAATGTGCTCTTAAGGTGCCATCCTACTAGCCTAATTTGGACTCCTTAATAAACTGCATTTCACATCATCCAATCCAGCAATTTAGGCTGCAATCCTCACCCCGCTTCCCTGAGAGGTGAGAGCAAGCTGCCTTGAATTCAACAGGATTTCCTTCCTAGTAGACGCGGCTGGGCTTGCACTGTAAGACTGCAGTCTGACATCATGCAAACCGAGACTGAAACGCTGCCAAGTTTTATGGCACTTCACTCTCACCCTGACAGCAATTTAAGGAGCAGGTAGAAGGTTTCACTTCACGCCGGGGGCCAATAAGCCTCAACCTGGAAAGCTGGCACGGGCAGGTGGCGACTTACCTGAACTGCCTTTCTAAAGAGTCACGCAAAGCAGCCCAGCTTCGTGTGGATCAGCGATCCCCGCCAGATCGAAACCCCGTGTCTGCGGGAAGCTTGGAGGTTGCATCGACAGCCTGACCTTTTGCATTTCTCCCGCGCGCCTGTCAATCATTAAACAGGTGTCCTAGCGTGGTTGCCACATCACCCACAGCGGGGAGCGCGCAAGAGGCGCAGCTGACTCCATCCTCTCCTCTGCAGGGCGCGCACACCTTGATGGATGGAGACTTGGAAGCGACGCGTGGAGAAAGGGGATGGACTTTGCAAGCGAAGGGTTGAAAAGGGCAACCCCAAAAACGTCTGCCCCAGACCTCTGCCGCTCCTCCTCCTACTTCCGCCCTCCCTCCTCAACAGGTGAGCTGTGTTCTCTCTGCAGATACCTGCACAAAGAGAAACCAGGAGCAGGGAGGGTTGCCAGGTAATTTGATTCTCCAACGGTAACACGGGTGTGTGGGGAGGGAGCCCAACCCATCGGTGCACTCCCTCGGACAAGCCAGGTGCTTCTTCTCCCTTTGCAACGAACAAAAAATAAAGCACACACTCTGCACCGTGCAAGCAAGGGCTGCAGTGACCAAGGAAGAGGCGAGAGGGAGGGAATAAAGTACATCTTCACGCAGCAATAAGGAGAAATGGTGGCGTTCTCTCCCCACTCATGTGAATGGCTGTACAAAGAAGATTAGGCAAATCTGTGGAGGAGGAAGCTATCAATGAGTGCCAAGGGACCTGCCTAAGCTAGATGGCTTTCAGGCAAAATTTCTAAGATCTCTGCTGCAGGTACCCAACTGTGCCCCCAACTCCATGTGTCTGTTAGAAGCTGGTGAAAGCCTAACAACTTTGGTTGGCCCTCACGGCCCTTCACTTCATCAAATCTGGCCCTCTTTGAAAAAAGAGAGGCTTACAATTTGGACAAAAAAATTGGCTTCCAGGTGGAAAAATCAAAGTTGGAAACAGAATTGTGAGATCCCAATACTAAGATACTTTCAAGAATGTATAACTTGCTGTTAAAATGGAATACTCAGGATGAGACGGTTAAATCAGCTATGATTAAATGGGCACAGGATCTTGGACATAACATTATGTTTGCTGACTGGGAACAGTTGTGGACCACAGGTATGAAATTTACAAAAAGTTTGGACACCACTGTGCAGCATTGCGCATTAAATGCATGGCGTTAAAAGTGGCTTGGGACTGGAAGGGAAGAAAGCAGAGAGGCCAACCTCAGGTGCAGCCAGAGCCAATGACATCCCATCTTCCTCCTTGCTGCCGAGTTGTACCAGGGCAACCCTGAGGAGGAAGTTCACAGCCAGTGCCACCCCCTGGACTTGAAGGCAGGCAGGTGGGGACCAGGGCTGGGTGAGCTGGGGTGGAGCAGTGCCAAATTTCCTCCGAAGGACCAGCCTCCACTGACAACAGTACAATTAAGTCACAACAGCAGAAACACGCAATAAAAGATTGGGCAACCGAGGCCAGTAAATGCTTGTTAGAATAAAAATGTTTTTAAGGTGCTAGCAAAGGCAGAATACTGAGGGTGGCCATTGGATCTTTGCCACCAGCACCATCATTCCCAACAAAACCTTGTGCTGATAAATAGGCACCTTTTCGTTTGTGTACATTTTAAAGGCCTCCTAGTCTAGCGCACTTTAACCCACAGCCCAGATGCAGAAGGCAACGAAGTCATAGGCGCACCATGGCTCCTTGTTTTACCAGACAGGATAAGCCGCATGAACAGTATGCCATAAACTTAATCAAGTGGAATAATCAGCGTCGTAAAGTTATGAACCAGGATGGAACTGGCTGTTTCCATTTCTTGATAGCAAACAACACCAGACCGTAGGATATCAGAAGGAAGTGACCTGAAAATGGGCATTTTCTGCTGTTGCCCCTGCACTGTGGAATGTCCTTTTCTCTACCACATTTGAAGCATCACTCAACAATTGCATCAGACCTCTTGTAAAGACAGCGTATATTTTGCCCAGGCTTTCCCTGATGCATAATATTGAACCCTGTTATTAGTGAATTCCTGTTTTTATGCTGTAACTGTTTAAAACACTGTTTCATTGTCCATGTGTTCTCTTTTTTGCATATAGTTTTGAGATTTCAAAATATTAAGCAGCTTAGAAATGTGTTTAATTAGTAAACAGGCTCTCTCAGCAGCCCACTCTGTTTATTCCCACAAAACTTTGCACAGTTGCCTCAAATGCTGTTGCATCTGCTGCAGATTTTGCAATGGCCTCGTTGTGTCCCATTCACATTACAAGATGCTTTGAATCTGGACAGCTTTGTTTTGAATGCAAGGCAACAGTCCATACAGAAATATATGTATTTTTAATTCATTGTATGTTGAAAAACGCCCCATATTTTAAGCCTTTGAAGTTCTCTGGTTTCCTACGTGCACAAAAATGTACAACTGCAGAAGCCCTACTGGTTCTTCTCCCCTCAAGACAAGCCCCAGAAGCAAGGGGCTGGTGGCCATTGGAGCTGGTAGGGCAGAAGCCAGGGAGACGGACAGTAGGGGGAGCCAGAGTCAATGACAGGCAGAGCCAACTCCTTCTAGGCTTGGCCCCATCCTCCTCCCTGCTCAGTTCTACAAGGGCAACACTGAGGCTAAGGAAGAAGAATCTGATAGGCATTGCTCCCATGGACTGGACGCAAGAAATAAGTGAGGCAGGTGGGGCCTGGTGGAGGGCAAGCTGAGGTTCCTGGGGCCCAATCCATCCCCATGGACCTGCTTCCTTTTCTTATGGGTTCCCTATCAGAATCCTTTGAGAAGGGGTTTTGGTGTGGGTTGCCACAAACGAAGACGAGGCCAGCAGCTCAGCCTTGGCCAAATAACATTGAAAGCCCATAATATTCAGGTGACGTCCTTCCGATCGCTGTTTCATGGGCCCAACAAACATGTCCAACCTAAACCTCTTTTATTACAGTATTTCTATTGATTGCAGCTGGCCAAACTGCAGCCCCGACACATTCACGGTCCTGGCAATGGAAGGTATTAACGTCTGATGATTCTCTGTGTTTTTATATTATGCTGGAATGGCTGGGGCAACAAAGTCAGATGGGCGGGGTGTAAGTAATAAATTATTATTATTATGGAAGGCTTTGAAACGCTTGACTCTCCTAGCTTGCTAGGCTGGTACAATAATATTTACCCATAACTGGACAAAAAATTACCCATAACATACGCCTATTAAAAGGGAATTTCTTATTTGGTGGAACTTTATTTTGTATTCCAGTGCATCAGACATACAGTTCTCTAGGTCAGCAGTATATCTGGATGTTGTAAGATTTCCTCCTTTGTCTCACTGTAGATGGACTTTCTCTTTTCTTCTACTGTTGTATCTCAGTAACCTCTGCACCCCATAGCTATCTTTAAATCTGACTTCACATTTATTTTTCGCCACTGACTGCGATGTGCTGAAGTCAGCCTTGCAAACGATGCTTTGACATGCCCTGACGGAAGACTGGAAATGTACCCTGGGATTCAGGGCATCTTTGGAGTGCTAAGTTCAGGCACAATAGTGTGGATTTAGTCTTTGGGGCAAAACACGAGGAGCTCATTTGATCTCAAAGGTTTTCAGAACCACAAGGGTTTTGCAAGAACCACACACAAAACCTTTATGACGTTAGCACATGCCCGACAGGTCATTTATTTGAATGTCCCAGCTTCAAAGCTAGCACTTCCTCATAAAATATTTCCAAGAGTGGAAATATGCCTTACTTGAAATGGTCTTTTGAGCCAGAACTAGCATGGATAAGGAGCAATGTAGGGCAACATGTTAAAACCAGGAGATGGAAACCTATCCAATAGCCCAGATTTCCAGTTCTACAGGCCAGGCACTGGACTTCTGTCCTGTATGGCAGGGCCAAGATAGGAGATCTCCCTCACTGCTTGCTTGTAAGTCACCTGACACCACAATGTTTGCACCCTTGCGGTTTGCAATCAGACCATGAAAGCAAAAAGACCCTTTGCAAGCCCTCACTATGACATGATCCTTGTGGGCTTGCGAAGTGCAGGGCTTTGCAGGCCCTGACAATCAGTTGACCATCAGTGCCTGCAAACTCCCTTGTGGCATCCATCAGCATCTTTATCTATAGGACAGGTGGGCATGGTTTGGAAGAAGCTTTTAATGTTTAATAGGTTATTGTATTTTAGTGTATGGTTGGAAGCCGCCCAGAGTGGCTGGGGAAACCCAGCCAGATGGGTGGGGTATAAATAAATATTATTATTATTGTGGGCCAAACAGGGAGGTCTGGAGGCATACGAACATGCCCACAGAGCAAGCCAGAGGCTCTCTGCCATGGCTATGTGGGCATGTGAGTCAAATCCAGGCATCCAGTCTCCTGCTAGCAAAGTCAGACATGGTTCTTTGCTGGGAAGAGAATGAGGATGGCCTGATTTTCTGGCTTTGCTGGAAGGACAAGCATCTATTCCATCTGCCAGGCCACATGGCACGCTGCGTGTTATAGAACATGTTACGCACCAGAGCGCAGCCTCGTCCTCTCCTTTGCCTCCAGGGCTTACTATTCTCGTCTCTCTCTTCACTCCCTGCCCCCCGCCCCCGCTTAATAGCTCATGCAAATTTGCAGTCTACAGCGGCTGCTCTTTCTCTCCTGCAATTCACAGTCTTTCTCTGTGTTAAGATTCACTCTCTCAAACATCAGAAGAGGAGGTCAAGCATGGACTGCAACACTTCAGACTACAAGGAGGAATACTCCTCCATGCTAAAAAAGCAAAGAACCACCACAAACTCTCTGTACGCAGAAACATTCCCTGCATCCCAGAGAGAGAGAGAGAGAGAGAGAGAGAGAGAGAGAGAGAGAGAGAGGGTCTAGGCTAGAACCCTTCTCCCTGAGATGCTGGCTCTCTGCATGCAGGGAGCTGCTTGTGGACAGAAAAGCATTCCAGTGCGTGGGCCACCACAAAGCAAAACGGTCACTTCCGTCTGCCCAGGAAAATAGAGGTTTTCAGCACTTTGGGGACATGACGGATGGTGAGCGACACCCGTGTGCCCCGCTGCAACGTGTCCCCAAGTTCGGCGTCACACATGCCTGCGTTGGCCACTTTCTCTGTGACAGTGTCCTCAGCAACCGGGCAGATGCCGTGAAGGTAGTGGCAGTACATGTCCTCCCGCAAGACCAAGAGGCTACGGGGCTTCAGGAGCAAGGACAAGAAGTGGCGCTGATCTTCAGTCTGAGGGATGGGCCCCTGGAAAGGGAAACAAAAACCCTTAGCTGTGACGTTTCTAGAAGATGTGCGCAGCCTGAGAGCAATACATTTTGGCATGCAGTCAGAAATGGAAGTGTGCTTTTTATAGCAGTGCTCATCAAATTATTGTGCCACACAACTCCATCCCCTAGATTCGCCGCTTGGGGGATCCCCACACATATCCCGATATATCTGTTGCTTCTACTGCTAAATGGTACCCAAATTCCATGCACCCACATTTCCAAAATATGCCCAAGCAAAGTATGTAGCACTGCAATTGCCTGGTGACACCTGTAAGTGGGTTCTGACTGTCCTCTTTACATGATGTAAGCACAGCTAGGATCAGGGCAACAGCAGCTACCTAGAGAAGCGGAGAAAGATGAAATATTTTGGGGGGGGAAGTGGGGAAACAGGCAGATAATTTGCATGGTTAACGTGGCAAGAAGGCTATCAATGGAGGATCAAACAGCCATAGGTTATTGACAGGGCATCTATTTTGCATGCAGAAGGCCAGATCTCCAGGTTAAGGCTGGGAGACTCTCTTTCCTTGAACCCCTAGAGAGCTGCTGCCAGTCAGTGCAGACTGCACTGAATTAGATGGATGAATGACCTGGCTTGGTAATGAGGCACCTTCCTATGTTCCTCTAAATGGCAATTATTACTGGGCCTCCCTTGAACTCCTGATCCTCACCTCCAGCAGAAACTGAGCTGCCCATCTCTGAGTGGCAGTGCCAACCAACACTCCCCACAGCTTTGGCCAGAACCAAGCAGCTCAAATGGGACTGGACTACTTGAAAATGATTTACAGATGGCATTTAACTCTGAGTAGGTTTGCTAAGATGTATAGGACTGAATCAGGTAAGCGCTGGAGATGCAATGAGGTTGAGAGTACATTCTTTCATAGGTGGTGGACCTGTAAAAGGGTAAAAGAGTACTGGGAAATAATTCACAATGAATTGAAAAAAATGTTTAAAAGTACTTTGCCAAAAAAAACCCAGAGTCCTTTTAGTTGGGGATAATTCAAACAGAAACTCCCAGGTGTCAAAAAAGGTTATTTATGTACGCCACTACTGCGGCCCGTGTTTTGTTAGCCCCAAAATGGAAAACGAGCGAGGTCCCAACTAACGAAGAATGTCAACTTAAGCTGATGGAATATGCGCAGCTTGTGGACTTAACATATAGAATAAGAGAACAAGAAGAACGTATGTTTAGAGAAGATTTGGAAATGTTTATTGACTATATGGGGAAAATTGTGTACACTTGAAAATGCTGGCAGAATTAACATAAATTCAACAGTGTAAATAAGTTTTGATGGATGTAATAATGGAATACTGAATGGTTTCGTTTATGTAAAATATGCAGGGATTCATGACTTGCAAAATGAACGATGGAAAGAGAAGAAGGGAAGTCATTGATATTTTAAGGATGTTTAAAGGAGCATTCTAAATTGTAAAACACAAAATTTAATTTAAAATATCTTTAAAAATAAAATAAAATAAAATGGGACTGGAGTAGAACGTCCTCTTGCCCAATATTATTTACCTCTCCGCCTTCCGATTGCTGCCTTCTGCTGATGGGATAGTAGAAGTCGAGGAGGGTGTGAGACCCCAGGTTGATGGTTGTGACGGTGGGGAAATAGAGGGGGCCGTCCTCGTGAGGCTACGGGAAAAACAGACCCAACGTCAGACAAGGGAAAGGAGATATTTGTGCCAGATTTACGTATAAGCTAAACAAGCTATAGCTTAGGGCCCCACTCTCTTGCGGCCCCCCCAAAAATTTAAAGGCAAAAAAATCCTGAATGTACATTTCCAAAATACAGTGGTACCTCGGGTTAAGTACTTAATTCATTCCGGAGGTCCGTTCTTAACCTGAAACTGTTCTTAACCTGAAGTGCCACTTTAGCTAATGGGGCCTCCTGCTGCCGCCACATGATTTCTGTTCTCATCCTGAAGCAAAGTTCTTAACCTGAAGCACTATTTCTGGGGTAGCAGAGTCTGTAACCTGAAGCGTATATAACCCAAGGTACCACTGTATAAGATAAAAAACAAATGAAATAAAACCTATGTACAGCAAGAGTGTTTTGTGTTGTGTTGGCTCCTATTTAAACAATTTATTCAACTAAAGCAATAACATTATAGCAATATGTATCCATGTTTGTTAACCGATGTAGTTAAACATTTTGGGTGTTTTTTAAAAAAAAACTTAGACTGAGTTTTAGGACACATGAAAAACTTTAAACAAATCCTTATTTCCTGATGAAAAGCCTTTGGACTATAACATAACTTAAATAGAAAACTATCTTTAGAAAGGTTTTTCCTCCAGAGGAATTTTATTTTTAAAAATCTGATTTAAATTTTAAAAAATCAAATTTTTCGTTTTTTAAAAAACTTCATTGCTTTTTATCCACCCTGCTACCATGTCACCTCTTATTTACCATTTTCTCTGAACTAAAAAGTCCCTTAACTGCCGCTTTTCCCCTCACAAGCACAGTTGCGCCATCCCTGGGGCCATTTTGTTTTCCCCATTTCTGAACCTTTCCCAACATTAGCGCCAGCCTTTTCTGAGGCGAGGCTGCCAGAAGAATGGCGCACGTTTTTTCCAGACATGCCACAGATTTGTATGAAGAGCCTTTAGGGAGATCTCGGCGGTTTTATCCCAGGCGCCATGTGTGAGGCAGCCGGTTACCATGATGCCCTCGCCAGGGTGGTACTCGTTGACCAGGACGTGGTTCGCCATTTTCCCTCCGAAAACGCCGAGGGAGGACACTTTGTCGGCACAGGCCTGGAGCCAGGCGGGCAGCTTCTCCAGAACCATCCCTTTGGGGTGAGGCAGCCCTCCTGAGGGGAAAAAAGAAGCATAAAATGCCACAGATTTAAAATACTGTCTACGGTTTCTTTTCATAGAATCCTAGAGTTGGAAGAGACCCCAAGGGCCATGGAGTCCAACCCCCTGCCAAGCAGGAAACACCATCAGAGCACTCCTGACATATGGTTGTCAAGCCTCTGCTTAAAGACCTCCAAAGAAGGAGACTCCACCACACTCCTTGGCAGCAGATTCCACTGTCAAACAGCTCTTACTGTCAGGAAGTTCTTCCTCATGTTTAGGTGGAATCTTCTTTCTTGTAGTTTGGATCCATTGCTCCGTGTCCGCTTCTCTGGAGCAGCAGAAAACAACCTTTCTCCCTCCTCTAAGTGACATCCTTTTATATATGTGAACATGGCTATCATATCACCCCTTAACCTCCTCTTCTCCAGGCTAAACATGCCCAGCTCCCTTAGCCGTTCCTCATAAGGCATCGTTTCCAGGCCTTTGACCATTTTGGTTGCCCTCCTCTGGACACATTCCAGTTTGTCAGTGTCCTTCTTGAACTGTGGTGCCCAGAACTGGGCACAGTACTCCAGGTGAGGTCTGGCCAGAGCAGAATACAGTGGCACTATTACTTCCCTTGATCTAGATGCTAGACTCCTATTGATGCAGCCCAGAATTGCATTGGCTTTTTTAGCTGCCGCGTCACACTGTTGGCTCATGTCAAGTTTGTGGTCAACCAAGACTCCTAGATCCTTTTCACATGGACTGCTCTCAAGCCAGCCTCTTTTGGTAGTCATACGTATCAAAGATCATCATACTCAAGATTAAATAAATATGGCCTCAGTCCTCCTCTCCCGGGGGGCTGTCTGTATGTATCTGTATTTTATTCTGAATCTATGTTACGGGTCTTTGGACCGCAATAAAGATTTATTATTAAACTAGGGCACAAGATTTAGGGCATCTGAAAGCAGCCCTGTTTGGGGAAGCTTTTAATGTTTGATGTATTACAGTATTTTAAAAAAATTTTGGAAACCGCCCAGAGTGGCTGGGGAAGCCCAGCCAGATGGGCGGGGTATAAATAAATTATTATTATTATTATTATTATTATTATTATTATTATTATTATTATTATTATATACAAATGGAGGATTGGGGGAAGCTGTGGAAAGTGAATTTAAAATTTGCTGATTGTAGAACTTTGAAAAGAGAATAATACGAATTATACAATGGTATATCACCCCGGCAAAAATGGCAAAAAACGTACAGAACAAACTCCGATAACTGTTGGAAGTGTAAAGAGAAAGAAGGTTTTACCATCTGTGGTGGGATTGTAAAATAATCAAAAGCTATTGGGAAATGATTTATAATGAAATGAAAATAATGTTTAAGACCTTTTTGAAAAGTCCAGAAGCTTTTTTTGTTAGGTATTATAGGCCATGAAATGGCAAAAGAGCGGAAGAAATTATTTATATATGCTACAACAGCGGCTAGGATATTACTATCCCCAAAATGGAAAGACGACAAGATACCAATGAAAAAAGAATAGCAAGAAAAGCTGGTGGAATACTCTGAAATGGCGAAGCTGACCGGGAAACTAAGAGACAAGGACAAAGAGACTTTAAAAAGGATTGGGAATAAAAAAAAAAAAGAATTGGGAATTGTTTCTGTTGTATCTACAGAAATATTGTAAAGAAATGGACTCACTAGCAGGATTTGAGTCAACACTTATGATTAAGAAAATAAATATAAAGTTAAGACGTTGTAACTGGGAAAATAATAAAATGTACTACGTGATTTGGGAAACCTGGTCCGAAAATGATAAGAATATAATATTTATGTAAAAGGTTACAAAATTAAGGTAGAATAAAACAGGCAGGAGAAACAAATATTGAAAGAACCAGAAGGGGAAGTTGAGGGAAGTCAGGGGAGGGGATTGGGACTCATATATGGGTTTTTTGTGATATTGATGATTGTGCGGTATATAAAATTGTAAAACTCAATAAAATTGTTTTAAAAATAAAATAAAATAAAATACTGTCTGTAACAGGGGTAGAGGGTGGTCACCTCAAGGTTTATGGCAGCCACACTCCAACAAACATGTCTCCTGACTCAAACCATGGTGATTTTCCACATGTTTCTTGTCAACTTTTCCCTTTTCCTGCGAGGAATCCTATTTGGAATAAGGGAATTTCCCTTAAAAAAAAGGGGAAAGTTGACAGCTATGTGAATTTCTTGAAAGTTTCCCTCAGAAACTGTTTACCTCACAACAGAGGTCAACAGTCCTTGCAGGCCGAGTCCCTCACAGGCCTGTGGAGATTTCCACCGTCAAGAGACGAGTTGGGCCAGGAAAGCAAATTTGTTTTGGCAGGCTTTTAAGCTTTCTCAAATAAAAAATATGCTGTTCCCTCAGCTTCACTGCAGTTAGTGACTGTGTGTGTGTTTTTAAAGCGTTTTAGCTGCCATTGGTTTAATTCAGTGGTGTTCAAACTTGTTTCAAAGAGGGCCAGATTTGATGAAGTGAAGGGCTGTGAGGGCCAACCAAAGTTGTTGATCTTTTTAAAGGATTAAAGTTATTGAGCTTTTTTGGGGATTGAAGTTGTTGATTTTTATTTTTTTTAGGATTTTACCCTAGGAAATAAACTGCCATTGGGGCTGAAACGGACTTTGGACATATTTTTGTGTGTGTTCTAGTCCAGATTTAGGCACTCCCAAAAGGGCGGATTTGATTTAAATCAAATCGATTTAAATCACCAGTCAGTAAGACTTGATTTAAATCACTAGCAAGTAAGACTTGATTTAAATCTTTCTTTCTTTTTTACAGAAAGGTTCAGCCTTGCCAGCATCCTCTTAATATTTACAACCAGACAAAGCTTTCATTTTTGGAATCATAAATTTTCAGAGTAGTTTTTACAGTTATATCAAAAATCACTGATTTGGTTATACTGTCAGAAATACAGACAGATAATTATGAAATTGTTGTTTATATTTGGACAACTTTTCTGCCCCCCTTTATTGGAAGGAGACAATTTAAACAATTTATTTAACTAAAACAATAACAAATGTATCCATGTTTGTTAACTGATGAGGTTAAACAATTTTAAAAAAAAACCAACAAACCAACCTTAAACTGCTTTTTAACACACGTGAAAAACTTTAAAGAAATCCTTATTTCCTGATGAATAGCCTTTGGACTATAATGTAACTTAAATAGAAAACTATATTTAGAAAGTTTCCTCCAGAAGCATTTTATCTTAAAAATCTGATTTAAATAAAAAAATCCAATTTAAGTAAAAAAAATAAATCGATTTTTTTAATTTTTAAAATGATTGATTTTTATCCACCCTGACTCCCAACTGGGTGAATGAACAAACAAATCCAGCTTTCTCAAAAAAATAATATTTATATCCTGTTCTTTTGTCAAGAAAGTCAGCATGAGGTGGGGGGTTCCTCATTTTTCCCTTGGCAAAATGCTGTTTTATAAGCTTCACAGCAAACAGGGGATGCACCGCTCCAATTCCACATTTAATGCTCTTAACCGCTAAACTAGCTTTCGGTGTGAGGAGAGGCCTATACAGTGGGACCTCAGTTGTCAAATGTAATCCGTTCCGGAAGACCATTTGACTTCCGAAAATGTTTCAATAACCGAGGCACAGAGATTAGGGGCAGATGTGTAGCAAAATAGCCGCCTGAGCCCAGTGGTGTCGCGGGGGGGGGGGGCAGTGCGCCCCGGGTGCCATGTCTGGGGGGGGGGTGACAGGAAGGCACCCTGCGGGGATCCCGGCACTGGCTGCAAACCGCTATGTACAGTGCATGTGCGGCGTCACACGCATGTGCTGTACGTAGCGACGCCGCACATGCACTGTATGTTTGCCACCAGCGCCGCTCAAGTGCCGAAAGGACGGGGTGGGATCCCTCCGTTGCCGCTGCAGCCGCATGTAGAGGATTCTCCGTTCGGCTGTAGCGGTGATGGAGGAATCCCGGCACCGTCCCTATGGTGCTGGAGAGGTGGCGGTAAACCGCTATGTACAGCGCATGTGCGGCGTTGCACACATGCGCTGTATGTGACGACGTCGTACATGCGCTGTACATAGTGGTTTGTGCCGTTCAAGTGTTGTACACACAGGGGTGTGATCCCTCCCATCGCCGCTACAGCCGCATGTAGAGGATGCTCCATTCGCGGCTGTAGCAGCGATGGAGGGATCCCGGCACCGTCCATACGGCGCTGGAGCAGTGGCACCAGCAAACCACTATGTGCAGCACATGTGCATCGCATGTGAGCCCTACGTAGCAATGCTCCGCCCCGCATGTCACGACGCCTTTGTTCACCCCTGCCTGAGCCTCCTTCATGCTGTTGAAGAAAACTGACCCCACTGTACATTGGCCTTCTGAGCCTCCTTGTGTGTGCTATAGGAGTGAATGGGGATCCACACGATTAAAGGGCGCAGTGAGGTTCCCCTCCAGCGTCCGCACGCAACATTTACCCCAGTTCTGCAGCCTCCTCCCCGACAGCTGAGTCCACTTGGGCTTGGGAGCATCATAAACCTGCAGGCAGGGGAAAAGAAAGCAAAATATTCACATGGAAACTGCAGGCATCAGAAGAAGTACCCAGAAAATGTTTTAAAAGACATTTGTGAAAAAAGCCAGAGGCATTTCCGTTAGGTATAGTAGGGAATGAGAGCCCAAAGAGAGATATATAAAAGGGTTTATGTATGCGACAACAGCAGCAAGAACTCTTTTAGCCCCAAAATGGAAGCAACGGGATATCTCATTGCTGGAAGAGTGGCAGGCAAAGGTGATGGACTTTGTGGACTTGGCAAGGCTGACCGGGAAAATCGGAAACCAGCGCAATCCAGCTTTCCAAAAAGACTGGAGTAAATTTGTACAATATCTGAAGGACAATCGCAAACAATTAACAACACTAGCAGGGTTGTCAACATGCAATGCTAAGGATCTGTACCTTTTTATATTTATTTTAAAAATTGTGATTAACGGAAGGAGTGAAACATAAATAGGAAAATGTATAAAATGCTACGAGGTGATAACGAATTATGGAAACCATGAGACGAGAGGGAGGGAAGTCGAAGCTCGACTGAGCAAATATGTAATGAGCACAATAAGGATTTGTTTAAATGTGATAAAATGGAAACTTTTGGAAACTGGAATGGAAAATGGAAAAATGGAAATTAATATTTATTAATATTAAAAACAAAACAGAAGTACCCAGGGGCAGCTCAGCCTTCTTCCAACGCATTGGATAGATTCCCCCAGATAGGAACATTTAAGTTCTCTTCTTTTTTTGTATATAATTTTTATTAAATTTAAAATACTCATTTTACATCCTTAAGATATCAATGACTCCCTTTCTTCTCTTTCCATGGCTCATTTTACATCTCATAGATCCCAGCGTATTTTACAAAAACCATACCATTCAGTATTCCATTACTGCATCCATCAAAAATTATCTACGCGGTTGAATTTATCTTAATGCTGCCAGCGTTTTCAGCTGTACACCATTATTTCCCGTATATTCAATAAACGTTTCCCAATCTTCTCTAAATGCATGTTCTTCTTGTTCTCTTGTTCTATATGTTAAGTCTGCAAGTTGGAACATTTGTCTTCTCCATCACAACATTGTCAAGAACGACAGGGAGGCGTGGAAAGTGAATTCTGCCTATTGTAATGTTGCACCAGAAATTATTGCTGGTGATCTAAGGCTGGAAATCAGTCATAATAATAATAATTTATTACTTATACCCCACCCATCTGGCCAGGTCTCCCCAGCCACTCTGGGAGGCTCCCAACAGAATATTAAAAACACGACAAAACATCAAACATTAAAAACTTCCCTAAACAGTCATTATAGAGAGAGAGAGAGAGAGAAAGAAGGAGGGAAAGAGAAAGAGAGAAAGGAGGAAGAGAACTGAGCTCTGTGTATATCATTGGAAATGCCATGCGCAACCTGATAGCTGTTCCTGGCAAATTTGATATTGATAGCTGTTAAGAGTATACTATACGGCTGCTTTAACTGCTATACCACTTGATGTTTGCTGCCTCGGGGAGGAAAATGTGCAATACAAATTTAACAACAACAACAACAGAAGCAGATTTTTAAAAAGATTAGCTCAGAAGGACATGATTAAAAAGATTAACTCGGAAGGACAACACAAGATGGACCTTGGCAGTTCGCCCAGCTTTTGGGCCACCCAGAGGCATCTGGCTGGTCATCACTGAAGACATTCTGGGGTGAGGAACCCCTGGTTTGCAGGCCAATTTTGGCTCAGCAGGCTGTTTTTCTCCAAAGCACGGGCACATCAGTTGGCATCACCATTGACACCAGCTGATGTACTGGCGGCACAGACCTGTTCCCAGTACAAAACAGGATTGCACAGCCTAAACAGCAGGATTTGATCTCTGCTCATCAGCCTTTGCGAGTCTCCCTTGAAGATCACACTGAAAGGGATTTTGTCAAATTTAGCCCCTGGGGCAGATCCTGATATGGATGTGGGCCATTGAGGTCAAAAGGTTCCCCCCCCCCCGGTTCGAATTCAACAAGACAGTTCTTAAAACACCGCACAAAGGGGAACATAAATGTGCGCGCACCTGTTGCAAAAGGTACGCCTCCTCTGCCTCTGTGATGAAATCTGGAACATAGTAAGCGGCTGGTGGAGACTGCATACAAAAGAGAAAATGTGATAAGTACAAAAATGAAGATCTAAGGAAAATACTCTCCTCCCTAAAAAACCCCCTAGCCACTGCAATGTGATTGTGGGAACTTTGCATGCTCCTCCTCAGTCAGAATCATGGCTCTCTGTATGAAAAATGAATAATATCTATAAAATGAAGATTTCCCCTCTGTACAAAATATCAGGCATTTAATATTTGGTGGTATTGAGAATGTTGCTCATTAGCCAGGCCTTTGGCTAATCAAGCAACTGTTGATAATGTTGGCTAATTAAAGAACCGACGGACTTTTAAACTGGGGGGGTGGTATTGTTTGGTTTGTTACTACGGTATGTATTTTCGCATTTTTAATATTGCAAACCACCTTGTGGATGAAGGGCGGTATAGAAATTTAATAAAGAAGGAAAAAAAGAGGAAGGGATCAAATTCTGGGGTTGTTTTTGTCTGTTTCCCCATCTCTGGGATAATTATTCTGTTTCTTCTCTGTAGCCGCCACCCCAGTCTATACTGGTCATAGACATGTGCAGCACATTTCATTAGTGTGCACACAGGTTTGTTTTTAAAATGGCAAACATTTATTGAATATGTACTCATACTCAGTCATAAAGGATATCATTTTCATTCATCAAACTAATCAAATTAAAACCTGACTTAGTTTTTTTTTTAATTAGCAAACAACGCTTTACTTAAAAAAATACAAAATTGAAAAAATGAGATGCAAAACAGGCGCATGATCTTTATTGTAGAGTTTGAAGGCACCCCTGAGGGTCATCTAGTCCAACCCGCGGCAATCTTTAACCATCTTTAATCTTTATCTTTACTATTATCTTCAACCAGATAACAAGCAGCCTCAGAATGACCAAAATGTGTCAAGTTTCTTTCATCTTCCTGTCCTAGAGAATGAGACGTCGCTCACCAGGTGTGAGCAGAAAGGTGTGACGTCCCCTGTGACTTAACTATGGCTTGATATGTAGCATTAAAAGTAGGTTGTGCTCATCTCCTTCCTGGGAAAACCTTCAGCACCTCTAGACAAATCCATGACTGCTCCATTTCCAGCTTAATTCACTTCTCTCTCTCTCTCTCTCTCTCTCTCTCTCTCTCTCTCTCTCTGTGTGTGTGTGTGTGTACAAGTGTACTCCTATCACTGAACATAATACAGTGGTACCTTGGTTCTCAAACAACTTGGAACCCAAACACTGCAAACCCAGAAGTAAGTATTCTGGTTTGCAAACCATTTTCGGAAGCTGAAAGTGCTCCGTTTTGAGTATTATGCTTCCAATTTGAGTGCCATACAGTGGTACCTCGCAAGACGAATGCCTCGCAAGACGGAAAACTCGCAAGACGAAAGGGTTTTTTGTTTTTTGAGCTGCTTCGCAGACGATTTTCCCTATGGGCTTGCTTCGCAAGATGGAAACGTCTTGCAAGCTTGTTTCCTTTTTCTTAACACCGTTAATACAGTTGCGACTTGACTTCGAGGAGCAACTCATAGCACGCGATGTGGTAGCCTTTTTTGAGGTTTTTGAAGACTTTGGTGATTTTTGAAGCTTTTCCAAAACTTTTCCGACACCGTGCTTCGCAACGAAAAAATCGCAACGACAAAACTCGCGGAACGAATTAATTTCGTCTTGCGAGGCACCACTGTACTTCTGTTTTGAGTGTTTTGCTGAGGTCTGTCTGTTTTTGCGATTTATTTTGGGTTTTTATTTTTGTGGATTTTTTTGTGACTGTGTGGAACCTAGTTCAGCTACTTATTGATTGATTGATTGATTGATTGACTGATCAATCAATCAATCAATCAATCAATCGTATGACTGCAGTACATTGTTTATTGCCTTCATTTTATGGACCCATGGTCTCGTTAGATACTAAAATTCATGTTAAATTGCTGTTTTAGGGGTTGTTTTAAAAAGTCTGGAACAGATTAGTCCATTTTGCAGTACTTTCTGTGGGAAAGCACGCCTCGGTTTTGGAACGTTTGGGTTTTGGAACGGACTTGCGGAACGGATTAAGTCTGAGAACCAAGGGACCACTGTACAAAGCTTCCTATTCAATAACGAAGACATTCCAGCAACCCTCTAGGAAAATGCATCCCTCCCACAAGACAGTACCTGCGTCACACGAAACGGCTCCAGAGCCATGATCCCATCAGAAGTCGCCGACATCTCAGAACAGAGAGCTTTCTTCGTTTCTTCTCACTCCATCACAAATCCCTGAGCCTCACCAAAAAGGGTGAACTCCCTGTCGCTCACCTGGGAAAGACAAAAGCAGCAGCACATCAGACGTGGGAAATGACCTACTTTCAAGAAAGGCCTTTTCCAACTGGAGACATTTGCTCACATCCGCCCTTGTTACTCTTACCTCCCCCAGCCTCTTATATCCCCCCTTCCCCTTTATCCGCTGCTTCTCTGAATTGCTTAGTTTGGAAGCTCCTTGGGGCAGCAACCTCTCTGTGGCTTTGCTTCACCTTGACTTATAATTGCCACTTTATCCTGAGACTTTTAAACAGTGCTTTAAAGGACTTTTGCATATCTCCCTCCTCCCCAAACCCCCCAAAAATTAGACATGCTTTTTACAACAGTTTTAACGCCTTGGTTGAATTTTTGCATATTATTTTTTCATCTGCACATGGCCTTGAAAACTGATGTTAGAAAGGCGGCAAGGGAATTCTTTGAAAAAAACGACGAAGCACCATGTCCCTTGTGGTTGTTGTGTAGATACTACCTGGAGTAAAAGCTAAACCTGCTGAATTTCTGCCTGCCATGCAGCTGGTTGTTGTTGTTGTTTAGTCGTTTAGTCGTGTCCGCCTCTTCGTGACCCCCTGGACCAGAGCACGCCAGGCACTCCTGTCTTCCACTGCCTCCCACAGTTTGCTCAAACTCATGCTGGTAGCTTCGAGAACACTGTCCCACCATCTCATCCTCTGTCGTCCCCTTCTCCTTGCGCCCTCCATCTTTCCCAACATCAGGGTCTTTTCCAGGGAGTCTTCTCTTCTCATGAGGTGGCCAAAGTCTTGGAGCCCCAGCTTCAGGATCTGTCCTTCCAGTGAGCACTCAGGGCTGATTTCCTTCAGAATGGAGAGGTTGGATCTTCTTGCAGTCCATGGGACTCTCAAGAGTCTCCTCCAGCACCAGAATTCAAAAGCATCCATTCTTCGGCGATCAGCCTTCTTTATGGTCCAGCTCTCACTTCCATACATCACTACTGGGAAAACCATGGCTTTAACTATACGGACCTTTGTTGGCAAGGTGACGTCTCTACTTCTCAAGATGCTGTCTAGGCCTGTCATTGCTTTTCTCCCAAGAAGCAGGCGTCTTTTAATTTCGTGACTGCTGTCACCATCTGCAGTGATCATGGAGCCCAAGAAAGTGAAATCTCTCACTGCCTCCATTTCTTCCCCTTCTATTTGCCAGGAGGTGATGGGACCAGTGGCCACGATCTTCGGTTTTTTTGATGTTGAGCTTCAGACCATATTTTGCACTCTCCTCTTTCACCCTCATTAAAAGCTCCGGCCATGCAGCTGGACATTCTTGCAAATGGGAATAAGGGGTGCAACGGAAGCCCCCCCATTCCAACTGAGCCAAGCCTCGCCAGGACGCCTAAGCCCTCTAGCAGGGCTCCCAAGGGCAGGAAAAGGAACCCAGGAGTCCTGAGCCGCCCCTCCCCATTGCAAACTCCCCCCGCCCTTTAGCTCCACGGATACTCACTCATTCCAGCAGACAGCAAGGGCACATTTCCGGGTAGCTCGTTGACTGACAGCCACATCCATCCAATGAAAGAAAGCGGGGAAAGCCTCCAGCGGGAAGGATCAGTAAACAGCTGAGCTTTGTAGGTCCCGCCTTCCTTCAGTCTAGTGAACCAATCAATTGTCCTGCGGGCTGGTCAAAATGAGTCTTTGGTGGGGGGGGGCGTGGGTGTTCTTGAAGAGCAAAGGACGCTGGGAGCCAGGACTCCTGGGTTCCTTTAAAGGTCTGGTGTAAGGAGAAGGGGCTGGACTCCTGGGTTATTTTGATTGTCTGGGGGAAAGAAAGGGGCCAGGACTCCTGGGTTCCTTTGGGGGTCTGGAGGAAGGAGACGGGCCAGGACTCCTGGGTTCCCTGGAGGAAGGAGAGGGGCCAGGACTCCTGGGTCCCTTTGGGGGTGTGGGAGAAGGATGTCTTGCCATGAGGTTTTCTTGGAGAAAGTGAGTGGACTCTAACCCTGCTCTGAGCAAGCCCTGTTGGAAAGGCACCCCCTCATTTCTTTCTGAAGCTGTATAATGCTTTGTTCAGTAAACGTTTCCTTCTGGGCTCCATCTGCTTTGTTCAAGTGCCTTTGCTACGCCCTTGCTCTTAATTCCAGTGTGGTGTAGTGGTTAGTGTCGGATTAAGATCTAGGAAACCAGAGTCCAAATCCCCATTCATCCATATGGGTGATTCTCTGGGTGACCTTGGGAGAATCACTGTCTCTCAGCCTAACCTACCTTGCAGGGTGGTTGTGAGAGAAAAATGGGGAGAACTATGCGTGTCACCTGGAGGTCCTAGGAGGGAAGGGGGGTTCTAAATGTGGTACAATAAGCAATACATTTGGGGAACGCGTTTTGAACTGCGGCTTTTTGCTGTATTTCTGGAGTGAGCTCTTGTTTGTGGGTAGCTAGACTACATCTCCCATCATCCCTGACCATTGGTGCTAATGTGAACTGGAGTCTACAGATCTGGAGGCTGCCAGCTTGGCTGTTGATGAGCAGGATCAGCTTTTCTTGACCTTGGGTACCCAGATGTTGGACTACAGTTCCCCTCATCCCTAGGCGTGTCCAGGGCAGCTGTCTACCAGCTCCATCTGGTACGCAGGATGAGACCCTCCCTGTCCTCCGACTGTCTGGCCAGAGTGGTGCATGCTCTGGTTATCTCCCGCTTGGACTACTGCCATGCGCTCTACGTGGGGCTTCCTTTGAAGGTGACCCGGAAACTACAACTAATCCAGAATGCGGCAGCTAGACTGGGGACTGGGAGCGGCCGCCAAGACCACATAACACCAGTCCTGAAAGACCTACATTGGCTCCTAGGACGTTTCCAGGCATAATTCAAAGTGTTGGTGCTGACCTTTAAAGCCCTAAACGGCCTCAAAGGCCCAGTATCCCTGAAGGAGTGTCTCCACCCCCATCGTTCTGCCCGGACACTGAGGTCCAGATCCGAGGGCCTTCTGGTGGTTCCCTCATTGCAGGAAGCAAAGCTATAGGGAACCAGGCAGAGGGCCTTCTCGGTGGTGGCGCCTGCCCTGTGGAACGCCCTCCCACCAGATGTCAAAGAGAAAAACAACCACCAGACTTTTAGAAGACATCTGAAGGCAGCCCTGTTTAGGGAAGCTTTTAATGTTTAATTGACTATTGTATTTTAATATTCTGTTAGAAGCCACCCAGAGTGCCTGGGGAAACTCAGCCAGATGGGTGGGGTATAAATAGTAAATAATAATAATAATAATAATAATAATAATAATAATTAATAATAATAATTATAGCTAGCAAGATAAGGGATGAAGGGAGTTGTAGTCCAACACCTTTGGGCCAAAGGCTAAGAAAGGCTGAGCTAGATTATTCCCCGAATCCATCTCAGAGAGAGAGAGAGAGAGCAGAAAGGAAGACCTCTGCACACCATGCACATAGAAACACTTTTTATTAATTTGTTAATAACAGATAAGCAATAGCATAGTGATATTTTCGTCATGCTAAGGCCCCTGCCCCCCGCTTTTTTCCTTCTTCCAGTGTGCCTGGGCGGACGAGGGGGTCAGGGAGGACAGAAATCATGCAAGATTCAACAGAGAGCTCAGCAGAGGGCACGGCAAGCCATCTCACTCGACAGTTTACAAAGTTATTTGTTTCGTTTAAAAAATAAAGAATATACATGTAGGCAGAAAGAACACAATCCAGTGTGGTTTCTACATAAAAAGGAAGGGAATCTCACAGGAAGCCACGGGGAAGGCCTGTGACTGAGATCCGGTGTAACGCCAGTGGCAAGTTGTCATTGCTATGTTTGGGGAAGACTACGCAATCCCGACTGCGATTTCTACAGCGGGAGAGTTACTACCCCCGGTTCCGACAAGGGAGGTGGATGGACACACGCCTAGGTTATTTCCCCTAGTGGCCAAACGCAAAGCTGAAATCAACTGAAAGGTTTATTTATTGCTGGTCAGTGAAGGGTTGCAGAGTGATAAGGAAGTTACAAGGACAAGTGAAGGATGAGGAGGTCGTGTATTTACAGCTGAGAGATGGCAAGCTGATGGCCAAAGGATGACGCAAGATTGGGGGTACCTTGGCATCTCGAAACAAAAGAGAAAATGGGGGGGGGATTTAGCATGGAGGGAAAGGTGAAAGACAAGAGGCGTGGACTGCAATCTTGGCCTACCAGTCTTTCTTCAAGACCCCAAATGTTTCTCCAGGTTTGAGTCTTTATGCTGGAATGCAAACATCCTCTCCGGACGTGGCTGTCCAAGCAGCCCTAATTCAACAGGTGCGGCGTTATCATCACTGGGAGCCTGGTCTCCCCCCCAAAAAAGGGGCTGCACCTGTTGCATTTCTGCACAGGCTGAAGGCAGAAAACTTCTGAATGTGGCATTCGTAGTCATCTTCCCAAAGCCCTTTGGCCTGTTTTTTTCTCAGGATTGCTTTCCGCAGTCTCCAAACGAACCTTGCAGGTGTGATAAGGAAGGAAACGGGAGCCCATGCAGAGAGATGAGCGAGGAAGGAATTTGCTCAGGAGGTGGGGAAAGGAGGCCTTGCCCTTACTCCTCTCCAAGCTGAGAGGAAGAACGGGAATCTCAGCTCCGTCTGGGATGAAATTATGCACACTGCTTTGTTTTCTAACTGCGTGCTCTCTGACTCTGGGTTTGCAGCCACAATCTCAAAACGTTTAAAGCGCTGATGCAGAGATTCCTCTACCAAAACTTCCAAAGGGTGGCTGGATTTGAAGATTTTGCTTTCCCACTTTTAACACTCGTCCTGATTCCTGATCAGTTCTGCTGATAACTGCAGCAATATTCGAACCCAGGAACTCTCCACCTTGCCAGCTTCAGGAACTGCTCCGATAGGCCGATACCATGTGCTCTCTTGCTGTCCCAATATTTCGATTAAACCCTTTCCAAGTGAGCTAAAATGTAGGGACCTCTGAGCAAAAGCCGTATGTTTAAAAATGTTAACTGGGATGGATTATAATAGCTAACATGCTGCAGCTAATGAACGCTGGAGTTGAAGTAACAGTGAGTTATAGCAGCTTTTGCAAACCTGGGTCCCTCCAGATGTTTTGGGAGGCAGCTTCCATCGGCGCAACAAAAACATCTGGAAGGCACCAGGCTGGCAAAAGGAAAGTTATAATATTTCTTTATTCTCTCCCACCCCACCCCCCATTTTTTTAATAGGAAAAAGTGACTTCTGGAAATATATGCTCAATATACACACAGAGATACACATACTACAAACCATCACAGGCTGTCACTGGGTGGTTTCCTCTTCGCTGTAGGCTAACTCACACGAATGCTAAGCACAGCTGCTAACACACACTACGTTTTAGATGAGACTTGCATCTGCACCCCACAGGTCGCTATTCTTCAACTGCAAAGAAAGCTAATTTGTCCGAGGAGTCAGCGTGCTCAGATGCTACAAGTCAGGACCCTGGAAACTGTGGACTTTATCTCCTGCTCCTGTCTGTGTGCAGGGGGTCAGCGAGAATGCCTTGCCTTCACTCACCAGACATTTTGGCCTACGACTCCCATCAGCCCCAGAGGGCTCAGCTGTGCTCCCATTGGCCACAGCAGTCCTACGGCCAGTGCTGGAGCCGATGGGAGTTGTAGTCCAAAGCATCTGGAAGGAGACGACTTGGAGAAGGCTTCATTGCTGTTTCGAGCTGCCATCCTGCACTGCTTCTGTGCCATTCTGAGGTCTTGGGAGGGCTTCCTCCTGTTTCCTGAGCCTCTTCGGTACCTCTTGATGAAGACGCTGCCCCAAGAGAGAAGGGGCCCTTTGGGTAAAGGTGTAAAGGGGTGATATCCCCTCTCCCTGCTTGCTGGAAACCTCCCCGCTCTCATAAGGGCATCAGAAGCCCTGCTGGATCAAGCCAAAAGGGAGCCCGGGCGTCCTGGGTACCCCAGGGGCCAACCAGATTCCCTGACGTGAAGTCCATAAACAGGCCATGAACACAGCAACGCTCTTCCCCACCTGCAATTGCCAGCAACTGGGGTTCAAAGGCAGGTTTTTGCCTTTTGGGACTCATCAGCACTACCCGCCTGTCTGGGGGGCAGAGGGAAAGAAGCCAGTTGCTCTGTGGGGGCCACCAGAAATTGCTGGGGGAGGTGGATATTACCCGTAGGCCATGGGTTAGCCGCTCCTGCTCAGCACACTTACCTGCAAATAGTGAACTCAATGGGGCTTACTTCTGAGCAGCCCCTGAACAGGCCTGCACCGCAAGGGACCAGGCTGCCCAGGGCACCCTCTTTTTAGGGGAAAGCTAGAATGAGGAGAGGGCAGAACCGGAGCATAGCAGAGGGAAGACAACATTAATCTCGTCTCAGGCAAGAGGGTTCAGCTTCTACCAAGGCAATCTGCTCTGCACGTGTGATTTTCCAGCAGGCATAAGGAGAAATTCAGCGGGTTTGGGATCTTTTGCGACACGCACCAGGCGAGTGGGGAGGAAGGCAGAGATTTATCTCCTAGGGCTCTGTCCTCCATTTAAAGACGTCTGAGCCGACTAACTGCGTGAGCTTTTAGGTGCCAATTAATAGGCTGGAAAACGAAGAGGTGCCAGAAGAGACCTGCTTTAGCCGAAATCCCATGGGAGTGAGTGCCAGGAAACGGGGGACGGAAGGTATAAGTATAGCATTTCTCACAAACTACTAGAGGGGTGGTGTTAATATGTTTTAACAAGGCACTGGGGTTCACTAGAACGGCAATCAGGGGAGGAGAGATGAGGGCAAAAAATAACCGAAGAGCAGTCTTTGATTACTTGGAGAGCGAAGAAACAGCAGAGGAAAAGGGAAGAGGGAGCCGCAGGTAGGTTTACGACTGCATTTCTGCACGGAGCATCCACGGAAACCAACAGCAGAAAAGTAACCTGCAGGAGACGAAGGGAAGGGGAGAGAGAGTTTGAAAAATGACTATTGATGAAGCTCTGGAGAAGGACAGGAAGCAGCAGAAGAGGAAACATGTTACATTATATGAACTGCCCTTTGATCTCTGGATGAAGGTTGGTATGGAAATATAATTAAGAAATAAATAAACCGGAAGTGAAAGGCTCCACTTCCTAGAACCACTGAACGATTTGCGGTTTCACCATGTGCATCTCAACGATCAACGCTCTGGATGTCCCTTAAACCAACCTTCTCCAACTTGTTGTATTCCAGATGTGCTGGGGGCCATGCTGGCTGGGGCTGGTGGGTTGTGGTTCCAAAACATCTGGAGGGTACGTCATGGTTGCAAGTCGCTTTGAGCTGCTTTGCGAAAGATGAAGCGACTAACAAATTTTATAAATAACAATAACAAATATTCAGGTTGGGGAAGGAGGGTTTAAATCAACCCCTCTCAATGTAATGCTTAGGCAATGTAATGCTTGGTAAGGCAAGGCCCAAGCCAGCTGTACTGTATATATATGCTAGGGTGGATTTGAAAGTCAGTTACGGATCCAGAAGACAAAATCCAGCTTCTGCTCTGAAGGCAATGGGATGGCTTTGAGCAAGTGTATTTGCAGAATTCATTTAAACCATGTTTATGTTCTCTGTACTCAGAGAAACTTGCAAAACAATTCATAGTTCAGATCATAAGACACAATATTGGGGAGGGGAGAGAGATGGGAGAGACCCAGAGAACAGGCAACAACATCCATCACTAAGTTACTGGGGCAGTTATGAAAATAAAGTACTAAAGGACTATGATTGTATAAATGAGTACAAGGGACTCTGCGGTTTGCACATTAGCCGTTCATCTCAATAAGGTTGCAATCATCCATTTTGTTTCCAACACTAACCACAGTTTATTGTTATGTCCAAAAAGGTGTAACTGTGTATAAATGCCAGCAATTGGGAAACACTGGCCTGTGAGCGCTCCAGTTGGAGAGCAGCCTTTACCAAAGGTGTCATGGGCTTTGAAGAAACTCGAACTCGGGTAAAGGTAAAGCTAAAGGGACCCCTGACCGTTAGGTCCAGTCATGGCCGACTCTGGGGTTGCGGCGCTCATCTCGCTTTACTGGCCGAGGGAGCCGGCGAACAGCTTCCGGGTCATGTGGCCAGCAGGACTAAGCCTCTTCTGGCGAACCAGAGCAGCGCACGGAAACGCTGTTTACCTTCCCACCGGAGCGGTACCTATTTATCTACTTGCACATTGATGTGCTTTTCGAACTGCTAGGTTGGCAGGAGCAGGGACCGAGCAACGGGCGCTCACCCCGTTACGGGGATTCGAACCGGCAAGTCCTAGGCTCTGTGGTTTAACCCACAGCGCCACTCGGGTGTACTCAAACTCAGGACGCAAGGGAGAAACGTGCTAAGAGGAAGGCACGCTTGGCAAACCCTCACCATGATCAACTCCCGCCTGGAAACCAATGTCCCCACTGTGGAAGGACGTGTGGATCCAGAACTGGCCTCCACAGTCACTTACGGACTCCTTGTTAAAACCGTGTTTATGGAAGACAATCTTACTCAGCTACAAGTGATCACCAAAGAAGAAGAAGGAAGAAGAAGCAGCAGCAGCAGCTATGTATTATTGAAACAACACTGGATCAAACCATGGTTTCTGAACCTGGCTTGTTTGCGGTTCATCGTTTACCCTCCCCTCCGTTTGTCCTTTCGAACCTTACAATAATTTGTGGTTAAGTGCGAATTAGGAAGTGGATGTTTCCAACTTCTTCCTTGTAGCAACAACTCCCACCATCCATGACCTCAGCTGGCTGGGGCTGATGGGAGTTCGAGTCCAACAACATCAGGAAGGCAACCAGTTACCCATCCCTGCTCTAGGTTAGGCCATGGACCTGCCCAAATCTGCTAGGCTTCACCCCAGACCTGCTCAAGCCCACCAAAATCCACCTCAGTTGCCAGGCTGAGTCGCAAAATCCTCAGTAGGCCTCACCCAATGGGTGCTCCAAACCGGTCCTTGGCTTCCCTCCTTGGTCCACTCAAGTTCCTCCCACTTACTTCGCTACTTAGAGTGGGAGGAGGACAGGAGTCTATGTAGGTCAGGCATGTCCAACCGGTCCATCGCGATCTACTGGTTGATCACGGGGTGTCCCTGGTCGATCACGTGACCCTGATTGACACCTTCCCAAAAAACTCAACAACTTTGGTCAATCCAATGGGTAGATCACTGTCAGTTTTTTAATGGTGGGAGTAGATCGCAGTCTCTTGGGAGCTGGACATGCCTGATGTTCTGTGAATTGAAGAGATTTCAAAGGGAGGCAAACATAGGTTGTCCTTACCTAGAGATGGAGTTTTCCGATGTGATATCTTTTGGGGTTCTGACTGCTGTGAAGTTGCGCTTTGGCTGTGAGACTGCAGGAGAGGGAAAAGGAAGAGGTGGTCCTTTTAAGAACGGAGAAAGGGTGGCAAAAATGTATAAAAGCGAAAAGAAAGAGTGTTGGAGATGTGAAACAGAAGGTTTCATATGTGGTGGGATTGTAAGAAGGTAAAATCCTACTGGGAAATGATATACAATGAATTGAAGAAAATGTTGAAAATAACTTTTGTAAAAAAACCAGAAGCCTTTTTATTGGGTTTTTTAGGCCAAGACATACCAAAAGAAAAGAGGACTTTATTTATGTATGCCACTACAGCAGCAAGAATGTTGATTGCACAAAATTGGAAGACTGGAGAAATACCAACTAAAGAACAATGGCAAGAGAAGTTGATGAACTATGCAGAACTGGCAAAAATGACAGAAAGACTAAGAGAATTCTGACCGTGAAAAGTTAAAGTGCGGGTTAAATTCACGACCTTACAAAAATGGGCTTTTGCGATATCACTGCTGAAACAGACATACGGTAAAACAGAACAGGTGTGAGTGCCGGCCGAATTTTAAGGGAGCAGCTTATATTTGGGTATTGTCTTTTCTTCTTTCCCTCCCTTGAATTTTAAAGGTGCGGCTTATATCCGGGTGCGGCTTATATCCGGGCCAATACGATATATGGGAAAACATCACCTGCTGAACTTGTCAGGCAGCATTAAAAAGCACAGGAGGCCGACAAAAGTGGGAAACAGATATTTGGAAACTTTGCATCTTTGCTCACGTGGGAGGAAACAAAACCCAGGGTGTACCTACTAGTGACTTGGTGGACTTTCTTTGCCGAAGTGCCATCCCCCTGGGAATCTTTGGGGCCTCCGATTCTGCAAAAGAGAGACGGCCACGATTAATCCACAGTCAAGAACAAGGCAAGCATAAAAACCAGATTAATTGCCAGGAGATCATAGAATTGTAGAATTGGAAGGAGACCCCCAAGGTCATCTAGTCCAACTCTCTGCAATGCAGGAACAACAAGCTAAATATTTTTTTAAAAAATATTTTTATTAAGTTTTCTTTCAAACAGTCGGAAATTTACAGAATAAAGAATAAAGAATGAAGATACAAGAAAGCAGAAATACATAAAAACCAACTTTCCAGAATATTTTTGCCATTCCAACCGGACTTCCCCACATCTTCCGAACCCTGCGTTCTTTGCAATTAAAACATCAGCAATTTGTTACCTTATTTCATATCTTACTGTATCTTTCGAATACTATGTTTCTAAATTCAAAATACTGTATCCCCGTTGTTTATACCTTAAAAATAAACTTAGTATATTTATTTCATGTTGTCCACCTCGTCTTTCTTATATCTTAGTTTCCAATTCACCTATTCAAGTTGCTGAAGCAAAAGTTTCCTAATCGTACACATTCTTAACATTCATACAACTTATATTGTTTTTGCAAATAGTCCTTAAATTTTTTCCAGTCCTCCTCCATTATTTCCTCTCCCAAATCTCGGATTCTGCCAGTCATTTCAGCCAATTCCATATAGTCCATCAACTGCGTCTGCCATTCCTCCAGCGTGGGTAAATCTGGTGTCTTCCAATACTTTGCGATGAGGATTCTTGCTGCTGTAGTAGCATACATAAACAGAGATCTATCCTTCTTTGACACCTTCTGGTCCACCATGCCCAGGAGGAAGGCCTCTGGTTTCTTGGGAAAGGTATATCTAAATACCTTTTTTAACTCATTGTAAATCACTTCCCAGAAGGCCTTCACTTTTGGGCAGGTCCACCAGAGATGAAAGAATGTCCCTTCCGCCTCTTTACATTTCCAACATTTGTTATCAGACAGGTGGTATATCTTAGCCAGCTTAACTGGAGTCATGTACCACCGGTATATCATTTTCATAATGTTTTCCTTCAAGGCATTACATGCCGTGAACTTCATTCCGGTGTTCCATAACCTTTCCCAGTCCTCAAACATAATGTTGTGCCCAATGTCCTGTGCCCACTTTATCATGGCGGATTTTACTGTCTCATCCTGTGTGTTCCATTTAAGCAGCAAGTTGTACATTCTCGAAAGTATCTTAGTTTTTGGTTCTAACAGTTCCGTCTCTAATTTCGATTTTTCCACCTGGAAGCCCACTTTTTTATCAATTTTAAAAACCTTTTGAATTTGAGCATAGTGTAGCCAGTCTCGCACCTTATTTTTTAATTTCTCCTGGCTCTGCAACCTCCAATTGTCTCCAGTTTTTTCAATTATTTCCCAATATTTCGGCCAATAGGCCTCCATATTGGGTCTTTTTCGGGCCTTGGCCTCCACCGGTGATAGCCACCTCGGGGTCTTGCCCTCTAGTAAGTCTTTGTATTTCATCCAGACCATAAATATTGCTCTTCTGACAATCAGGAACAACAAGCTAAATAATCCCTGACAGACGGCCACCCAATCTCTGTTTAAAAATCTGCAAGGGAGTCCACCACCTTCTGAGGGAGTCTGTTCCACTGTTGAACAGCTCCTGCCGTCAGAATTTTTTCCCTGATTTTTCGTCGTAATCTCCTTCCTTGTCATTTGAAGCCGCTGGTTTGCGTTCCACCCTCTGGAGGAGCAGAAAAGAAGCTTGCTCCATCTTCCTTTCAGATTTTTGAATATGGCTCTCATTTCTCCTCTTCTCCAGGCTAAACGTACCCAGCTCCTTCAACCGTTCCTCATCAGGCTTAGTTTTCAGGCTTTTGATCGTCTTGGTCACCCTCCTCTGCACACCTTCCAGCTTCTCAACATCCTTTTCAACATGCCCCCTTTGGAACTCTGATGTTTGTAGTAGTGGCTATGATTATTTTAAAATGTTCAGGGAGGCAGGAGAGGATATGTTGTTTATTAATATCCTTCCTAACCTGTGCTAGCAAGTTTCTTTACTTAGCAGAGTTTTACATTCCCCTTTTAAACGCCCAAGAGGTAGCTGGTTGCAGGCTCGTGTAAGCCTCTCACTATTAGGTTCCTGGTAAGTTCCCTTATATCCCTCTTAAAAGAATAAACACGCTACAATCTTGTGTAAAGTACAGTCACACCTTGGGTTACAGATGCTTCAGGTTGCATTTTTTTCGGGTTATGGACCACCGAAACCCAGAAGTACCGGAATGGGTTGCTTCCGGGTTTCAGTGGTTGTGCATGCACAGAAGCGCTAAATCACGCTTTGCGCATGCGCAGAAGTGCCGAATCGCAACCCATGTGTGCGCATATGCGCCGCTGCAGGTTGCGAACGCTGCGGGTTGCAAAGGTGCATCCCGCACAGATCACGTTCGCAACCTGAGCGTCCACTGTATATAAAAGAAGTTTACTCACATTCAGTTCACAGTTGGATCCCTGAAGGCAGACTTAGTTACAAAGGATATACATGTGGATCTACCCCATATGTGGATAATCCCAGTGTCCTCTGTTGGCTGGAAGCCAACAGAGCATCTCTAGGTAAAAAGCTGCTCCAACGACAGAGGAAGTAAAAAACAGAGAGTGCTGGGTGCCTTGTCCCTTTAGTTACCTGGACAGCTAAGTCACGCCCACCTCTAGTCACATGCAAAGGAAGGATGTCCCAGCCAGGAAGAAACAGGAAGTTTTCCACTGGCTGGACCAAACATCCCCTTGCATGTCCACTCTAGGAAAACAAGGAATGTTTGTACTTGACTGCTGCTTATGTATCACATCCCACAATATAGGTAAAGGTAAAGGGACCCCTGACCATTAGGTCCAGTCGTGACCGACTCTGGGGTTGCAGCGCTCATCTCGCTTTATTGGCCGAGGGAGCTGGCGTACAGCTTCCGTGTCATGTGGCCAGCATGACTAAGCCGCTTCTGGCAAACCAGAGCAGCGCACGGAAATGCCGTTTACCTTCCCACTGGAGCGGTACCTATTTATCTACTTGCACTTTGACGTGCTTTCGAACTGCTAGGTGGGCAGGAGCAGGGACTGAGCAACGGGAGCTCACCCCGTCGCGGGGATTCGAACCGCTGACCTTCCGATCAGCAAGTCCTAGGCTCTGTGGTTTAACCCACAGCGCCACCCACGTCCCTTATCCCACAATATATACTGCCTAATTTTCAAGAAAAGACAGCAAATGAATCAGCATTTTATCTACAGAATATGCTCCCCAAATTAGAACAGGATCACTCTTAGCTATGTTAAAAACTATTTTAGCAGCTTGTTAAATCACGCGAAATATAAATCCCACACACCTCTGCACTCTGGAAGGCGGGGCAAAGACTCCATGCTTAGGGGCGCAGGTGAAATAGCGAACTCCAAAGACCGAGCCATCGTGTTTTCCTGTGGGCTTGTCAAGTTCAATGCCAAACCAGTAGCCTGGAGAGAAAGAGAGAGGGAAAGAAAAACATGAAAATTAGTCAGAAATGCAGATTTTTAAATTACTCTTGCTAATTCCAACAGGGACTAGGAATTTGTCTCACAGATTTCAAAGGGGACTCCCTTCCACATTAGTAACGTTGAGGACTACAACCTTAATCCCGCAGAATGCTTTGCAGTCGGTGTCCTCGTTTGCACTCTCCCAAAAGAACAACACATGAGGTAGACCACTGTTACTCCCATTGTCAGAGGGGTGAAACTGAGAGTGATCTGAGGCCATGCAGGGAGATCACAGCAGAGGCAGGACTTGAACTCAGAACCCTGAGCTCGGATCAGGACTCCTGGGGTTATTTTTTTCATGCTACCGATCCAAAGTCTGCACGTCGGTCTCAATGCTCTGCCCCACCCCCTAGACAGGATCTTAACCCTCCCATGGAAATGGCTTCCCAGATCACCAGCTCTTGGCTTACCTGGGGCAAAATCTGTCTTCCCGTAGAAACGAATGATGCCTTGCTTCTGACCTGCCACCAGGACGTGATCCCCAATCTCAATCTTCAGTCCTTCATGGTCCAGGCTGCCAACAGATAAGGACTTCTTCCGGAGAGCTGGACAGAGCAGACGGGAGGAAAGAAGCGAGATCCGGATGTTTTAGTTTGCTACATAACTTATTTATCTTGTTTTATTTATCAAATTTCTATCTCAATTAAAATAAAACGTATTTTAAACCATCCAAAAACATGGTGAACACCTGAAAACAATTGTGGTGGATTCCGACGACATATCCAGGTCTATAATTTTATTATGTCTGTTGTTTGTAAAACTATCTGTATTGAATCAGAGTTGGAAGTGTCAGGAGGTCCTACACACGAGTAGGAAGCCAGCAGAGACACATGCCCAACTGGCATGTTCTCTCCCTCCTGGTCGTTCTTTCAGGAGATTCAAAATCTTTCTCCAGTCCAAACATCACAGCGACGGATACCAAGAGCCATCAGCACACTTCAGGATCAGCAGAGTACAGGCAGTCAGCGTTCAGACTCAGTAGCGCAGCTTTTTGGCGAAACTACATTTATTTACATATACACACTTGGCGCATCGCAACTCCACTCCTTCCTCTTGCTCATCAGATAGCAAAGAGAGAGAACAAAAGGACAAAAACACAGCAATAAAAATATCCTGTTTCCGTCGCTTCCCACAATGTGGAATGAAAACATACACCGTCGTGGGATAAACACAATCCCGTGACTGCAACACGGGAAAAGAATCCTAACAGGAAGGGACCACAAGCGTCGTCTAGTCTGACGCCCTGAGACGCAGGAATCTCAACTAAAGCATCCACGACAGGGGGCCCTCCAACCTCTGTTTAAAAGGAGAGTCCACAATGAAAGAGAGTCCAGCTCACCTTTCTTGTCCTTGTCTTTTTCCTTCCGGCCCTTTGCGGTCATGCGGGAAAAGTCCATGCGGGGGGTTCGTGGGGTGGAGGTCACCGACGAAGGCGTCTGATCAGCGGCTTTGGTGATCTTGGACACAGAAGCAAACACTCCTGGGAAGGGCAAAGGGGAAGGAAAACCGGAAGCCCAAAGCTTACATGGCGGGTAAGAACTGTGCAAACAACAACATTTTATACACTGCCCATCTGGCTGGGTTTCCCCAGCCACTCTGGGCGGCTGCCAGCCGGATATTAAAAACACAATACAGCATTAAACATTAAAAGCTTCCCTAAACAGGGCTGCCTTCAGATGTCTTCTAAACCTCAGATAGTTGTTTATTCCTTTGACATCTGATGGGAGGGCGATCCACAAGGCGGGTGCCACTACCAAGAAGGCCCTCTGCCTGGTTCCATGTAACATGGCTTCTCGCAGTAAGGGAACTGCAAGAAGACTCTCGGAGCTGGACGTCAGTGTCTGGGCTGAACGATGGGGATGGAGACGCTCCTTCAGGTATACTGGACCGAGGCAGTTTAGGGCTTTCAAGGTCAGCACCAAGACTTTAATTGTGCTCAGAAACGTCCAATTAGAACCATTTAGTTTAATCAATTCAAAAAAACTTGCCAGCTTTTCAAAATGGCAGTCATTTATGTCAGGAGCTCAGCCTACACTCAAGTAGGACCCTGGCAGAGACACATGCCCGACTGGCATGTTCTCTCCCTCGTGGTCGATCGTTCGGGAGCTTCAAAAGCTTTCTTCTGCCCGAACATCACAGTGACCGATGCCAACCGACACTGACGCACTTAGGGATCCACAGAGTTTGCACGGCATTGTGTAACAGACCTCAGCAACTCAGCATTTTGGCTAATCAACTTTATTTACATTTAAACACACACGGAGCACTGCAACATGGCTCCTTCTCTCTCTCTAGCATCAGACAGCAAAGAAAAAAAGAACAAAGGACAATAATCCCACACAGTAACACAAACATCCTGTCTCCGTCACTTCCCACTCTGTGGAGTCAAAACATACACCCTCATGTGAAAGACAACAATCCCATGACTGCAATCATGGAGCAGGAATTCTAACAATTTATACTTCCAGCAACCCCCTGACACCCCCTTCTTAGCATCCCGCTAGGAAATCCCGCTCCCCCAGGGGGCAGAACCCCCCACTTTGGGAGCCCCTGGCCTAGAAGGCGTGTTCTGGGGGAAACCCAGGAGTTGCACTCTTCTACAGATTTGATATTTGTGTAGTTGACTTGGGCGGCTGCTGGATTTGATGGCAGAGGAGTGCCGGTGTCGAGCGGGCATAACCCCGCTTTAGATTACCGTGTTTCGGAGGGCAGATAAAGTAGCGGATTCCTCCCACGCTGCCGTCGTTCTTGCCGTCCGGCTCGTCCAGCTCCACGCCCACCCACTGGCCGCTGGCAAATTCCGTCGTGCCGCAGAAACGCAAGGTGCCCAACTGCGGGGAGGCAAGGCGAGATTGGGGAAACAAGACACAACAGAGGAAGTCACCTTATAAAAATGAATCCGACCACTGGCCCATCTAAATTAATATTGTTGGCACAGGCTGGCAGCAGCTTCCCATGCTTTTGAACTGTTGCGGAAATGACATGGGGGCACATCTGTAAAGTTGTTACAATGTTACAAGTATTATGCCTGAATATATCCCTTCGACTTGACAGCTCTGGGAAGATACCTATAAGTTTGTAGAAAATCCATACTTTAAGCGACTCTCCTCATTCCAGTGCCATTTTAATGCTGAAAAAAAGGTGAATTTGGGCTCCATCTCCGTCCATGAACCAAGAAGCAGGAAGTCACGCGGGCAGCAGGAACAGGGCACCCTGCCATAATTCCCCAAGCGTGAGAGCACAGACATGGCCCCCAACCCAGGGAGTGACCAAGGGGGCAACAATAGACAGTTGAGCAAGTCAGGTGTTCTGAAAGCCCATCTCCAGCCAAGTCCTGAGGGAAAGGAGATGTCAAGAGTTTCATTGTTCTTCCGGTGGTGGGTACTTAAGAGGTGTTGGGAAAGGTGTCTAATAAAGTGACCTAATGCTGAACTTGTGTAACCCTTGTGTAAAGATAAAGGGACCCCTGACCATTAGGTCCAGTCGCAGATGACTCTGGGGTTGTGGCGCTCATCTTACTTTACCGGCTGAGGGAGCTGACGTTTGTCCGCAGACAGTTTTTCTGGGTCATGTGGCCAGCATGGCTAAGCCGCTTCTGGCGAACCAGAGCAGCGCACAGAAACGCCGTTTACCTTCCCGCTGGAGCGGTACCTATTTATCTACTTGCACTTTGAGGTGCTTTCAAACTGCTAGGTTGGCAGGAGCAGGGACTGAGCAACGGGAGCTGGTTTAACCCACAGCGCCACCCGCATCCCTAGCCCTTGTGTACCCCTCCCTATTTGTGACATGCTGGTGATGTAGTGATGATGTATCCATGATATCCCTCAAAGTGTATTCTGGGGGAAAGAGGGAAGGTTTAAAAGAGGAGGTCACCTCATGCTCAGGGTTCTTACTCCTGTGGGAACTTGTTGCGCAACAATAAAGATCATGGTCTACTGACTGCTGTTTTGCTCCAAATTACTTGGCTGCAACTTCCTTCTTGGTTAGTCCACATGGACCTGCGGGGGACTTGCACCCCGACGAGCTGGGCTGTTGAGTAGGCTCTCACCCTAGAAATTTTCCTTAACACGAACAGTACAGTGGTACCTCAGGTTAAGTACTTAATTCGTTCTGGAGGTCTGTTTTTAACCTGAAACTGTTCTTAACCTGAAGCACCACTTTAGCTAATGGGGCCTCCCGCTGCCACCGCGCCGCCAGAGCACGATTTCTGTTCTCATCCTGAAGCAAAGTTCTTAACCTGAAGCACTATTTCTGGGTTAGCAGAGTCTGTAACCTGAAGCGTATGTAACGCGAGGTACCACTGTACAGCCATACCTCATGTTACGTCCGCTTCATGTTACGTTCTTTCAGGTTACGTCCCGTGCCGACCCAGAAGTACTGGAAAGGGTTACTGCCGGGTTTCGCCACTCGTGCATGCACAGAAGCGCAAAATGACATCGCGCACATGCGCAGAAGTGGCGAATCGCAACCTGCGCGTGATCAGACACGCCACTGCGGGTTGCGCTCTTTTCATGTTGCGAACGGTTGCACTCTTTTCATGTTGAATTAATGGGTCAACCCTGAGCAGGATTAGCATTGGACACAACCCATGAGATGTCACCACTGTGGGCTTTTCAGTCCTAGCCAAGAGACACTGGTGATGGGGGTCCCAAACCCACCTGCCACGATGAGGGACACCTTGGCCTTACCTTCAGCGCGTCCACCATGACCCGGTCGCCAAGCTTGAGGCCGAGGGAGATGAGCATGAGGTTGCCCGGGATGTTGTCGTAGTTGGGCAGGGTGACCTTGGGGAGGTTGCAGCTCAAGGGCACAGCGTCCAGCAGCAGCTGCTTCAGCTCCTTGGCGATCATGGCCGCCTCGGCTTTGTCCAAGGTCATGTCCATGGGGTCTGGGACCACGTCAGACGGCGCCTGACCTTTGCTGTTCTGTTGGGAGAGAGGATTGCGCAGGGAAGGCATTGAGCTGGAGGAGACGCCATGGGAGTCCGTGGGGGTGAGGGGGGAGGAATCCTCCACACCCCATGAACCGTAACCCCCAGACTATCAGATTTCAGTGAAAAGGGAGAGGAAGCTTCTAGCATTTATAGAACCTGAGATGGGAGGGCAAAATGTACAGGAATTGTTCTTATATTTGTGTCTGTGTTAAAGACTAGATTGCTCCTCCGGCCTTTCAGTCTCTCTCTCTCTCTCTCTCTCTCTCTCTCACACACACACACACACACACACACACACACACACACACCAACATTCCTCAAATGAAAATAGGGACACTTCTCACTCTCTTCCTTTCCCCAAAAGGACCCTCCTCAAACCGCCATTTTTTGTCCCTCCCTCCCACAGAGCATTTCCTATCAGCCGTCCACAGTGGGTGGGGAAACCCAGCCAGATGGGTGGGTAATAATAATAATAATAATAATAATAATAATAATAACAACAACAACAACAACAGAAGAGCAAGTGCCAGGGCGGCTGTCTACCAGCTCCATCTGGTACGTAGGCTGAGACCCTACCTGCCCGCGGACTGCCTCGCCAAAGTGGTGCATGCTCTGGTTGTCTCTCACTTGGACTACTGCAATGCGTTCTACATGGGGCGACCTTTGAAGGTGACCCGGAAACTGCAATTAATCCAGAATGCGGCAGCCAGACTGGGGACTGGGAGCGGCTGCCGAGACCACATAACACCGGTCTTGAAAGACCTACATTGGCTCCCAGTACGTTTCCAGGCGCAATTCAAAGTGTTGGTGCTGACCTTTAAAGCCCTAAACGGCCTCGGTCCAGTATATCTGAAGGAGCATCATCATCCCCATCGTTCGGTCCGGACACTGAGGTCCAGCTCAGAGGGCCTTCTGGCGGTTCCCTCGCTGCGAGAAGCCAAGTTACAGGGAACCAGGCAGAGGGCCTTCTCAGTGGTGGCACCCGCCCTGTGGAACGCCCTCCCACCAGATGTCAAGGAAATAAACAACTATCTGACTTTTAGAAGACATCTGAAGGCAGCCCTGTTTAGGGAAGTTTTTAATGTCTGACGCTGTATTGTTTTTAATATTCAGTTGGAAGCCGCCCAGAGTGGCTGTGGGGGCCCAGCCAGATGGGCGGGGTATAAATAATAAATAATAATATATTACTACCATCATCATCCTCAATACGTTTATCCACCCCAGCTTCCCTTTCTTACCCTGACGGCTGGGTTGGCACCATGTTCCAGGAGACATTTCACGGCCCCAAGGCACAGGTTGGAAGCAGCAATGTGGAGGGCTGTTCCGTGGTTGAAGTCGCTACACGTCGAATTCAGAACTGAAGGGGGAAGAATATATAGGGTTATATAAGAATATATAGCAGGTATTAGAACCAACTTGCCACTGTTAGCATTTCACACTTACTCGCAGCGATGAACCAAACCATGGTTTAGTGAGAATGGGCAAGCATGCAGGCAACCAGAGAGGAAACTGAGGCTGCTCCATCCCTCCTCCTTTCGCCATGTTACCCAGAACTAAGCCATGGTTTGCCTTAGTCACCTTCAAACCTAGGCTCATGGCTTGTCTCCCCCAAACAAACCACGAGCGGCAAAGCAGGAACAACTTTGGTTGCAGCTCATGGTTTGTTGGGGGAGACAAACCATAACTTAGCTCCAAGCAGCCTGGCAGCAGGGAGACCGGGAGAAGGGTGAAATAATCACTGTTGTTTGGCTTAGTATTATGTGCAAACCAGGCCACAGCATGCGAGGCTGTTTATGGGACAAGGTCAAAGGACGTGAAGGCCATGGGAAGCTACAGAAATTACAGAAGGGTTGGTCTTACAGCTAAAATGAGTTTTGTGTCACCTTAAAGACTAACCAGCAATGACAAGCCTAGACAGCATCTTAAAAAGCAGAGACATCACCTTGCCAACAAAGGTCCGTATAGTTAAAGCCATGGTTTTCCCAGTAGTGATGTATGGAAGTGAGAGCTGGACCATCAAGAAGGCTGATCGCCGAAGAATGGATGCTTTTGAATTCTGGTGCTGGAGGAGACTCTTGAGAGTCCCATGGACTGCAAGAAGATCCAACCTATCCATTCTTAGGGAAATCAGCCCTGAGTGCTCACTGGAAGGACAGATCCTGAAGCTGAGGCTCCAAGACTTTGGCCACCTCATGAGAAGAGAAGACTCCCTGGAAAAGACCCTGATACTGGGAAAGATGGAGGGCACAAGGAGAAGGGGACGACAGAGGACGAGATGGTGGGACAGTGTTCTGGAAGCTACCAGCGTGAGTTTGACCAAACTGCGGGAGGCAGTGGAAGACAGGAGTGCCTGGCGTGCTCTGGTCCAGGGGGTCACGAAGAGGCGGACACGACTAAACGATGAAACAACAAAAGACTAACCAATTTATTTTGGCATCAGCTTTCATGAACGACATCCTGCTTCATCAGATGTCTGAAGCAAGGTTCTGAAAATTATTTGTCTTTGCAGTCTGTTCCCCCAGCTTTGTGGTGCTGCCCTTGAAGACTGTTCAGAAACTACAACTGGCTCTGAACATTGCAAATGAATCACAAACTCGAGTGTGTCCTTATCTGAAAAATTCTTCTCCGACTTCCAATTTGTTCCCACCTGGGTCCAATTGAAGGTTTGGGATCCTGTGCTCTCTCGATTAAACACTGCCAGGATCCAGCTGCCAGGATCCTTGGCACAACCAATCTCCCACATCCAGACTGACAACTACATTTTTGCAAACATTTTGAAGCCCTGGCCATGCAGCTTCTTCCTTCTTCCTGCTTTATAGCAGGTGCAGTCAACGCGATACACTCCAGATCGTGGAATCGTAGAATTGTAGCATTGGAAGGGACCCCAAGGGTCATCTAGTCCAACCCCTGCAATGTTGTGGACTACAACTCCCATCATCCCTGATCACGGACCACGCTGGCAAGGGCTGACTTCCGCTGCTTTACAGGATTGCAGAGCTGAGTCTGCCCATTAAAAACACTTTTTAATAATAATGATAAAAAGGAACACAACAAACATTGGTGGATGGCTGGGAGTTCCTTACACAGTGCTGCGATTCTGGGTGAAGAAGGTTGCCTAGGAGTGCCAACCCTCAGGAGATGAAGAGGAAAAAGCAGCTGACTGGTTTTTGTTGTTGTTTTGTTGCAGCTGCTGCTGTGATGCTCAATATTATCAGTCAGAGCTTCTTAGGAAGGAAGCAAGGAATTAATCCAAGCCAACACCTCTGGCACTTTTGCAAACCTCTCCTTACAGAGGACTACTCATTATTTATTTTGTAAATTTTTTACTCCAATTGTGGGGCCAAAACAAAACAAAACAAAACCTCCAAGCCGTTCACAAAGCGAACAGAACAATAAAATAACAGGCAAAAACAAGTCAAAGCCTTCAAGGAATAAAGACTGGCGATAAACTAAAAAGCCATTAAAATGCACACCAACATTCTGTGTTATCTGGGTAGGCTCGCCTAAACAAAGTTTTGTGGGGTTTTTTAGCAGGTACTGAAAAGAATTTAGCGAAGGAGCCTTTGTGGTGTCAATTGGCAGGGAGTTCCAAAGGGCAGGTCTTACAAATGCGGAAGGGGTGTTATGTGATGCCGGTAACAGTGCCAGCTCTGCAGATCAGAGCAGTTGATGGGGCATATAACGGGTAAGGTGATCTCACAGGTAAACTGGCCCCAAGTTACTAAGGGCTTTGTGTTGTCAAGGTGAGCTCTGAGGTGTGGCGCAGGAGATACAGGAAGTCCCGCCCTCTTCTGGGCAGGCTCTGGCCCCCTCCTTCCAAACCCACCTTTTGGCTTGGAGGCCTTCAGCAGGATGCGGATGAGTTCCGGGACGTCAAAGTAAGCCGCGTAGTGCAGGGCGTTCATGTTGGTCCAACGGCTGCGCAGGGTCACATCCGCGCCCAAAGCCAAGAGCTGGTTGGAGAGGCGCACAGCAGCGGCTGGGTCACCTGGGAAGGAGGAGCACAGTGATAAACTGGATTACCCAACAGGCAGACTGAGCATAAGCGTACGGCACCAGCAGAGCAGGAGCACAAAAAATAATACATTTATTCAAAAAAGAATTTGACATTTTCTACTTAAACAAAAGTATGCAAGTAGTTGTTTAATTTCAGAATACATGTACGTTTTGTCTCATTTGGGGGGGTCTTTTTATGGTTTAGCATTGTTTTTATTTTGAATTATGAACCCGGGGGGTAGGGGCATCAATCTTTCCAGTGCTCAGGGCCTCTAAAAGTCTAAATCCGGCCCTGGATAAACCCAAAGCTTCTGTGATGTCAGAGGCAGCTCAGCCAATCACCACCAGAGACTTCTTCATCCATATTTTCAAACTCCTTAGTGCAGTGATGGCCAAACTTGACCCTCCAGCTGTTTTGGGACTACAACTCCCATCATCCCTAGCTAACAGGACCGGTGGTCAGGGATGATGGGAATTGTAGTCCCAAAACAGCTGGAGGGCCGAGTTTGGCCATCACTGCCTTAGTGTCTTACAGTACAGATATTGCCGTGAATGCAAAACTGACTAAAACCCACAGGCGGTTTCAGGGAGTCAAATTTTAAAAGCGGGTTGGAAGACCAGACGGGAGCGTGGTTTCTCCTGAGAGAGCTGGCTCTGAGGCCCAGGAGAGACACCCAGGGGTGTGTGCCAAGAATAGAGTATAACCCCCCCCCCACTGGCTTCCTTACCGACACCATGGGCACCAGCCTTGCAGGCGTAATGCAGCAGCGTCATGTCTGTCAGCCCATCGCGGTCGTTGACGTGGCAGCCTCGCTTCAAGATCTGCGGGATGCAAGTCACCAAGAAGGGTGTCAGTCAGAGGTGTAAACGGATCCATCTCCCCTGCACCATGTGATGGCCTGGGACTCAAACTCGGACTCGGAACCAGAGGAGTCTCAGTCCGCACCAGATCCTTTGCCTCAGGCATCATCTGAACCAACTCTGGGGCCTGATCCTGAAGAGTCCCAGTCTGTACAGGTGCCCCTGCAGCAAACCCCAGCTGGGCCGAGTCAGGGGCTCCAGATGCGGGGATGACCTCCTTGCCTCCAGCTGAGCCATCACTTACAGCTGCTCCACTACCGGTTGGGTCAGGGGAGGCTGAGGCGGCCCCTGGGTCTAGTAACCCACCGACGTCTCCTGAGCTGCAGAGACTGAGGTCTGAGAGAAGGAGAGACCTGAGTACTCACAGGAGGAGTGCTCGCCTTCGGGCGAGACAGGGAGGTGGGTCGCTGGGGGATCAGGACCGGCCGCTACCCCGAAAAAGATAAAAGGCTGTTGGACCCCGTCCCAGGTTGCGGGAGCAACGTTGCTGTTGGCCAGAACCTGCCTGAGATCCTGTGCCTGTCCTTGCCTGGTTCCCTGCCTCGTGTCCTGCCTTGGCCCTGTCGGATTGACTCCCAGCGGAACATTCGGATTCTGGACCGGTCCTGGACCGCGTTTCATGGGTTACCCCCGGGCCCAGCACACACCACCCACATCAGTTGATCTGCTGAGCACACAAGGCTGGGCGTGGCCAAGGATAAGCTGGAAGGGGCGTCAGAAGTCATCAAGCGCAACCCGCCCCCTGCCAGCAACAAGAACCCCCACCTAAATCTGGAGCTGATCTGCAAGCGCATCTAAAAGTGGGGCAGAGCATCTTTTCCAGCCTGAAAGCCACATTCCCTGAGAGATGACTTTCCTGGGGTCGTGTGCCTGGGATCAGATGGGTGAGGGCAGAATCAAAGGGTATGTGGCTAGAGGCAAGAGTTGGGCCGAGGAGTGGATCTGATGCTTAACTTTGTACAGGAAGCTGTACTCCAGCCACACAAAAGCCAGAGGCTTCTACATCTCCTTTCAGCCAAGGGAGAAGCATTCTCACAGTTCAAAGATCCATTCCATCCAGTCGAAAGCCTTATCAGAGGGCTGGTCACAGGGTCTGTGAAGGATGTGGCCAGGGGAGAGAAGGACAAGGGGGCAGGTGGTCTCAGCAGGGTCCCATAGGCCAAACAACAAGGACAGGGTGGCCATATTTGGCCCCTGGGGGGCTCCCCATCTGCGATCTAAAAAAAACTCAGGTCTCTTACACACATCCCCCAATGATATAACACCTACAGTCATACCTCGGGTTAAAGTCGCTTCAGGTTGAGCATTTTCAGGTTGCGCTCCACGGCAACCCAGAAGTAATGAAACAGGTTACTTCCGGGTTTCGCCGCTTGTGCATGCACAGATGCTCAAAATGATGTCATGCGCATGTGCAGAAGTGGAAATCGCGACCCACACATGCACAGATTGCATTCTGCTCAGGATGCGAACGGGGCTCCAGAGTCGATCCCATTCACATCCAGAGGTACCACTGTATTGCACATTATATTATGAGGAATGGGTGGGGGGTCTCTATGCTGCTCCCTTTCTGCTAACTGACCGTGGCTGGGATTTCCGGGCCTTCCCCTCTTCCCCTCTTGGCTCCTAGCTACAGACCTGCAGGAGAGGGGAGTGCCAGCGTTTGCGGAAACTACCCTACCCACACAACGGGGCCATTTTAGTGGTGGTCCCCTGGTTGTGGAATACGCTCCCTAGCAAGGAGCAGCACAGCAGGGCACACCCAGGTTCCAACGCCCCCCTCCTCCTCCCCCCCTCAGCCCACGATCCCCCAATCACAACGCCCCCATCACTCGCCTCACTGCCGATGATATCGATCTTGTGCTGCACTTGGGGTACCCACTGGCGGATGATGGCAAACAACTCCGGGACGGTGGTGATGGGGTCGTAGAGGATTTCTTGACACGCCGGGTCGTTTGGGTCGAAGAAAGTGAAAGCTGCAGAGGACGGGAGAGTGAAATGGCGGAAGGCCCGAGAAAATGAAAAACAAAAGTGGCTTTTCGAAAGATCGCCTCACTCTTACGGACCCAACCAGATGAGCCTCGAGGTCCTTTTCAACTCTACAATTCCATGAACACCACTTGCTGGAAATTGCAGGAGGGGAAAAGCTCTTGTGCTCAGATTGTGCTTGCGGGATTCCAATATGGGTATCTGCACGCATAGGCAAACTCCAGCCCTCCAGATGTTTGGGACTACAACTCCCAGCATCCCTAGCTAACAGGACCAGTGGTCAGGGATGATGGGAATTGTAGTCCCAAACATCTGGAGGGCCGGAGTTTGCCTATGCCTGGGTATCTGGTTGGCCCTTGTGAGAACAGAATGCTGGACTAGATGGGCCATTGGCCTGATCCAGACCCCTCTTATGTTCTTATCATCATAGAACTGGCCATGTTCTAGTTCAGACTTCCTCTACCTTGGCTCTCCAGAAGTTTTTGGCCTACAACTCCCATGATCCCAGTGGTCAGGGATGATGGGAATTGTAGTCTCAAAACATCTGGAGGGCCGAGGTTGAGGAAGCCTGTTCTAGTTCCTCCACTTTCATACTTTCTTAAGCCTTTTTTTTTTTTTTTACTAAATAACCACATTATATTCACTACTAAGCTTCTGGAGAATTAAAGAGCCCACAATCTGCTCTTTCAAATCTTTCCTAAGCTTGTACTATAAGCATAATCATAGAGGTGTGTATTTCACAAATAAAATCCTGTTACCCTGTCTCTCCTCCCACTCAAAAAAAGAGACACTGATCCCAGGTTTTTAATAACTAAAAGTTGTGCCTCTCTCCCTCTCACCTTCTCTCAGACAAAAAAGAAAAAGAAAAAAGAAGTTTCTTATTTATGCACAGTCAATTTATGGGAAGAGCAGCCTGCAAGGAGAGATTCTGCATATCACTACATTCAGTGACTCATCGCTTCTGCTTGTATTCCTGAGTCACCACCAAAGGGATATTATTTTAGAAACAGGTCATCTGCCAGTTTGGCTCTCTCTGCCAACGTCAGCCAAGTCCAGTTCCTTATTATGCACATATTGAAAGACTTTGGGTATTCATTAGGTCTGCAGGCTTGGAGCCAGAGGAAGCTCCACCCCCATCGTTCTGCCCGGACACGGAGGTCCAGCTCCGAGGGCCTTCTGACGGCTCCCTCACTGCGAGAAGCGAAGGTACCGAGAACCAGACAGAGGGCCTTCTCGGTAGTGGCACCCACCCTGTGGAAAGCCCTCCCACCAGATGTCAAGGAAATAAGCAGCTATCCTATTTTTAAAAGACATCTGAAGGCAATCCTGTTTAGGGAAGTTTTTAATATTTAAAGCTGTATTGTTTTTAACACTCAATTGGGAGCCGCCCAGAGTGGCTGGGGAAACTCAGCCAGATGGGTGGGGTATAAATAATAAATTTTTATTATAAATTATTGTAATACCTTGACAGGAATGCTATTTCACAGAACAGGGGCAGCTAAATTAAAAGCCCCCCTCCGCGTTATGGCAGAGCGGGCTTCTGAGATATTGGCTGGGGCTGATGGGAATCGGTAGCCCACAATTATCAGGAGGGCCTTGGCTACCCCTGCAATTCATCTCTGCATGATAAACCAACTATAAATACAACCTGCCGGGACGTTCCTTTGTGCTAAGCTCACTGAAATGAACAGGAGCTGCAGGAGAAGAGCAGGTCCAATTTCCATCAAGGCCCTTCTTGACCGGATGAATGCACTGCAGTCTATTAATCACCTGCCCTTTTGCTGATTAACCAATTCAATTTAATCAGCACACTATTCCCAAACTCGATAAAGCCGTTTCCTCAAAGTGAACTCTTCCTTCAGTACTGGAGCACAGGATAATTCACGGTTTAATCAACAAACACTATGATACACAGTGTTAGAAAACAAGGCCTCATATATATGTGTGTGTGTGTATATCTATATTTCCTAGGGCAATAACACCTCATAACCAAACAATTTAAATACAAACTCCCCAAAACTGTGAAGCTGATTTGCAGCCCCATTGATTAAAATATGCCTTCCCTGATTACATATGGATTCTGTCCCTTAATCAAACTGAAGATTTAGTTGGATGCGGCTGCAGCCTTAACCATGTCTGTAGGGACTGGCTGCTAGTGACCCGCTGGGCCAAATCCACAGTATTAATGCTAGCAAATAAAGTCCTAAATTGCTCGAGACCCAAAGATTGCCTTCTTAATACCCACAGCAGGTGAGGCCTTGGCGGTGGTGGTGCTGTTGGGGGTCTCCTGTTTGCCGCTGCCCCATGACAGGGGCTTTTCAGTGGTGGCTCCCTGGTTGTGGCATGCCCTCCCTAGCAAGGTGTGTTTGTCTCTGTCGCTAAATTTATATACCTCCATCCAAGGATCGCAGGGCGGTGTGCAGTATAAAAACGTAACAAAATAACAAACGAAACCATAACACACAAACACAGTTTAAAAGGCCAGAGGTTGTTTAAGGCCCGGGAGAAGAGCAGTGATTTCACCTGGCACCTAACAGGAGTGTTTTCTATAGGAGAGCATCCCACAAATGGGGAGCCACCACAAAAAAGGCCCTGTTCTCATGTTTCTGCGCTTCAGACCTCCAGAAGAAAGACCTCAGATCACAGGGTTGGGACTGGTTCATATGGGGGAGACATATTGGGGGGAGATAGTCCTTGAGGTGTTGCGGTCCTGAGCTGTTTAAGGCTTTATAGATCAAAACCAGCACTGTTAATGGGGCCTGGAAATTAATTGGCAGCCCCTGCAGTCAGGCTAGGATTGGTGTAATATGTTCAGACCTTCTTGCCCCGGTGAGCAACCTGCCCACCAATTTCTGCACCCGCTGAAGTTTCTGAACCGTCTTCAGAGGCAGCCCCACGTATAATATGCTGCAGTAATCTATCCTAGATGTTACCAGAGCATAAACGACAGAAGTTCAGCTACCCCTGTCCAGAATGGGGCTGAAGCAGATGGAAGGCACTCTTGTCATTATTAACTTGAAAACATTCCTGTTTATTCAGGCATTTTGGGGGCTGAAGAATTCTGCTCCCGACAGCCCTGGCAGGATGAAATAATGTTTCAAACAACATTTCCCAACCGTAATTTAGTTAAGTTTTTGCATCTGAGGCGCTTGTCACCCTGGGCTCCTTTGGGACGATGCAAATTCAACCCATCGATCAACCAGGACGATACGGGCAGCTAAGGGGGTCAGCGAGGGCTTTGCATGGGCGCAATGTATTGCGAGGGACCTGCCCAGGGCTGGATTTAGGTTTGATGAGACCCAAGCTCCTGAAGGTAATGGGGCCCTTGATATGTCCAGCTGTCCTTTGCCCACAACAAATTGTTGCTATTTTTTGTGTTGAATATATGCTATATGGTAATTTTTGGACTTCATAGGTATCTCAAGCCCTTTGCACATGTTTCCATGCAGGCAGTCCATGCAGAATGTAGGCACTCTATATATAGAAATGAGCAAACCAGGGATATTTGAGGGAGCAGGCGAGCAGGTGGGCCGCATGACTTACAGAGTGGTGCATGCTCTGGTTATCTCCCGCTTGGACTACTGCCATGCGCTCTATGTGGGGCTACCTTTGGAGGTGACCCAGAAACTACAACTAATCCAGCATGCAGCAGCTAGACTGGGGACTGGTGGTGGCTGCCAAGACCATATAACACCGGTCTTGAAAGACCTACATTGGCTCCCAGTACATTTCTGAGCACAATTCAAAGTGTTGGTGCTGACCTTGAAAGCCCCAAACAGCCCCGTATACCTGAAGGAGCGTCTCCACCCCCATCGTTCTGCCCGGACACTGAGGTCCAGCTCCAAAGGCCATCTGGCAGTTCCTTTGCGAGAAGCAAAGCTACAGGGAACCAGGCAGAGGGCCTTCTCAGTGGTGGCACCCTCCCTGTGGAACGCCTTCCCACCAGGTGTCAAAGAGATAAACAACTACCTGACATTTAGAGGACATCTGAAGGCAGCCCTGTTCAGGGAACTTTTTAATGTGTGACATTTTAATGTAATTTTAATCTTTGTTGGAAGCCACCCAGAGTGGCTGGAGAAACCCAACCGGATGGGTGGGGTACAAATAAAAAATTATTATTATTATCATTATTATTATTATTACATCCTAGGAGCCAACACAACACAAAACACTATTGCTGTACGTAGGTTTTATTTCATTGGTTTTTTATCTTATATTTTGGAAATGTACATCCAGTTTTCCTTTAATTTTTGGGGGGCCCCCAAGAGAGTGGCGCCTCTAGCTTGTTTAGCTTATACGTAAATCCGGCGCTGGACCTGCCTCTGTGTCACATTTGAAGCGCCTCTTGTTCTCGTCCCTTGCAGTCAAGAGGAAAGCCACAATGGCCCTTGCCGTCTCCAGGGCAACCTCCCAAAAGCCTCCACAACTGCTCCCTTGTCTCTGCCGGACTGAAGGAGCCCTCGATCGTGCCCAGGGCTTCCAATTCCCCTTCTCCTCTCCCTCGCCCCAGACCTCCTCAACTCACTCGTTTTTATGGCTTTTCTCCACGGGCAGCGCCAAAAACGCAATACAAAAAAAGCCTGTTTTGAGCTGAGGTCTGGCAGGCGTCAGAGGGACCAGGCCAAACTGCGCACCCCACAACCGTTGCGTATTTGTATCTGGCCGTCCCCGAATGCTTGAATTATTTGCTTCTCACCAGGGTTCGGCCTCAGAACCCGCCACACACACACCTGCCCCAAGCACATGCCATGATGATCCTTGCCAACACGCCAGGGCTGGTTTTAGGGTCCAGCGTTCCAGGAAACCACTTGGGGGCCACCCTCTCATCTAGAAACAGGACAAACAGCTGATTTTGGCAGCTTAGACCCCGAACTCCATACAGGAACAACAGATTATTGTTTTCAATTTGTGGGGGACAGGGCCAGATTGAGGTTTGATGTGGCCCTGAGCTCCTGAAGGGAATGGGGCCCTTTCTATGTCCAGCTGTCCTGTGTCCACAACAAATTGACGCTGTTTTTTGTGTTGAATAGATGCTAGATGGTAATTGATGGACCTCGTAGGTATCTCAAGCCATTTGCACATGTGGCCACACACACACACACATTTAACGGTTTACAACTGTACATAAAACCACAAAATAAAAACCATGGAAAAGTTAAAATCAGAAATCCACTAAGTATTATGGAAAGTTGTCATCTTCATTGCCTCCATGGGGGTGGCAGAATAGGAAAGTTTCCAGCAGATGTTTAAAAGGCATTTACAGAAGGTGCCTGATTCTAGTGGCAGAGAGTTCCACAGGACTGGGCGGATGTCACTAAAGGCTCAGTTCCTTATGGTTGTCAAATGAGCCTCACCAGCTCAGGGAATGGCCAGCGATGCTCCTTCAGATGATCTCGGTGACTGAACTGGGATAGAAGGGGTTCAGGACGTTCCCTGTGATATCCTGGATCCATGTTGTTCAGGGCTTTGTAAATTAAGACAAGGACTCTGAACTTGGTTTTGTGGGCAGCCACTATGGGGCCAGATTTAGGTTTGATGCGGCCCTCAGCTCCTGAAGGTAATGGGGCCCTTTCTATGTCCAGCTGTCCTGTGTCCACAACAAATTGACGCTGTTTTTTGTGTTGAATATATGCTAGACGGTAATTGATGGGCCTCATAGGTATCTCAAGCCATTTGTACATGTTGTCCTGCAACCAGTCCATGCAGAATGTGGGCACCCTGTATATAGAAAGGAGCAAACCAGGGATATTTTGGGGAGCAGGTGGGGCCCAGGACTTACACCATAAGAGCTGACACAACACAAAACACGGTTGCTGGATGTAGGTTTTATTTTATTTGCTTTTTTTTTATTTGCTCCACAGCGACCCAGAAGTAACGGAACATGTTACTTCCGGGTTTCGCCACTCGCGCATGTGCAGACAGTCAAAATGATGTCACGCGCATGCGCAGAAGCGGCGAATCGCGACCCATAGACACAGGTTGTGTTCGCTTCAGGATGTGAACGGGGCTCCGGAACGGATCCCATTCGCATCCAGAGGTACCACTGTATTTTGGAAATGTGTATCCAGTTTTTTCCCCTTTAATTTTTTTGGGGGGCCCCCAAGAGAGTGGGGCCCTACGCTAGAGTTTGTTTAGCTTATACGTAAATCCGGCACTGGTGGGGAAATTTATGCTTATTAAGCATCTGTGCCCACTTGGCTATTTTTGCTTTTAACAAGAAGAGGGAGAGTGTTTGGATGAAAAGAGTTTTGGGGATGCTGTGTACAGATACGTTTATTTCCGCTCACGTCCTGGAACGTTCTGGAGCTGCTCATGGAACCTTCCAGACTTTCCCAAATTAAGTTCCTTAAATACGCGCTTAAACTTTACTTCTTCTATGTTTTTTGACTTACTATAAATTTTATTTTATATTAACATTATCCTACTTATAGTCTCAGTCAAGACCTGCCAACAGACTGATCTTTTGACCATGTTCTTTTACATATATATCCCACTCTCTGATAAATTTTTCACCTGTAATGGCTCTTAAAAGGTAAAGGTACCCCTGCCCGTACGGGCCAGTCTTGACAGACTCTGGGGTTGTGCGCCCATCTCACTCAAGAGGCCGGGGGCCAACGCTGTCCGCAGACACTTCCGGGTCACGTGGCCAGCGTGACAAAGCTGCATCTGGTGAGCCAGCGCAGCACACGGAACGCCGTTTACCTTCCTGCCAGGTAAGCGGTCCCTATTTATCTACTTGCACCCGAGGGTGCTTTCGAACTGCTAGGTTGGCAGGCGCTGGGACCGAGCAGCGGGAACGCACCCCGCCGCGGGGATTCGAACTGCCGACCTTTCGATCGGCAAGCCCTAGGCGCTGAGGCTTTTACCCACAGCATTCCCATTGTAACGGCTCTTAACCTTGCTCTTAATCTCACCAGTTTGGCACACTTTCTTATCCTGTTTTGCCAATCTAGTTTAGATGGGATATCCTCTTCCCTTCCAGCCTTTTGCGATTAGAATTCTGGCAGCGACTGTAACATACATAAAGACTCTCCTGAACTTTTTTGGGGATTTCATTACCCATAATTCCTTACAGGAAGGCTTCAGGTTTTTTTTTAGGGAAGGAGCATTTGAACATTTTTTTGCCTGTTTCTCTCATGTTGCAGATAAACACGTGGTTGGCGGGACTGCATATATTCTATGGTAAATAAAAGCCTAGAATTTTGCACATTAGGAGCAACCGGAATAAACAATCTCTTTGTCCTCTCCTGCTTTGTTTTGCACTCGGTTTCCTTTTAACCAATTTTTAGCAGGCAAGCAAACAAAAATTGTAACCAGGGCCCTGCACTTTCGAACTTGACAAGGATGGTTAAATAATAATAATATCCTGATAAATCTTTTTCCTGCCCACCCCCATCTCAACAGGTTGTGCCACAGTGTCCTGGGGCCCTTCCAGACAACCCGTTTGATCAGCATTCACCCTGATTTATTTTCAGAGAGATTAGATGCCGTTGGCCATTTCGTGAACATTCATTTTTGATTTGTTGGCAAGGAGGTTAATATGACTTTGCATTGAAGCGAGTGCTATCCCTCACTTTCCTTATCACACACAAAAAGAGCCTGGTCTCTGGGAGAAAGAAGGATTGTATTTCTGTTTATTTTATTCTATCCATGACGATTATTGTGATTTATTATTGATATGATATGATGAGGGGAAGGAAAAACTTGCGCCTCCATAATCTCTGCTTTCATTTCTTTCTTTTTTTAAAAGCAATTTTTAACCCTTGCAGATTCAAAGAGAGGGATTAAAAAGCAGGGATGGGATGCCTGTGAATTCCCATCAGCTCCATCCAACATGGCCAACTGTCACGCATAATGTAAAGAAAAAAAACCCTGGATGTATAGTTCCAAAATAAAAGATAAAAAACAAATAAAATAAAACCTACATACATCAACCGTGTTTTGCGTTGTGTAGGCTCCTAGGTTGCAAGTCACGGTCCCCGCCTGCTAGCCTGCTCCCTAAAATATCACCAATTTGCTCATTTCTATACATAGGGTGCCGACATTCTGCTATTTATCACTATTAGTTGTTGTTGTTGTTGTTTAAGTCGTTTAGTCGTGTCCGCCTCTTCGTGACCCCCTGGACCAGAGCACGCCAGGCACTCCTGTCTTCCACTGCCTCCCGCAGTTTGGTCAGACTCATGTTTGCAGCTTCGAGAACACTATTAGTAGTTTGCATCATATATGTACACCTCTTATTATTTCATGTTCTAGCAAGTTTCTAGAGACTAGATTATGAGTCTTTGTAAACTGTGTTTCTAAGGGAACTTTTGTTCTTGCCAAATGCAAATGTGTTTGCATTATTAAGTTTGTTATGAATCAAAAATAATTTTAAGTTAGATCTTAATAATTATTCCACTGTTAATCTACTTCTTCCTCACTGTATTTCACTATTAATAAACTTCTTCTTAGCTGTATTTCAGCTCAACAATTACTTTGATAAAATACATCTTTTGCGATGTGCAAATGGCTTGAGATACCTATGAGGTCCATCAATGACCATCTAGCATCTATTCAACACAAAAAAACACCGACCATTTGTTGTGGACAAAGGACAGCTGGACATAGAAAGGGCCACATTACCTTCAGGAGCTGAGGGCCACATCAAACCTAAATCTGGCCCTGATCCCATGCAACCACTTAATTTGTGACCCGTTGACCGCCCAGCTCCTGCCTTATCAAAATATGCACAGATTTTGTGCATCTTTCCAACTTTGGAACAATGGAATTCAAGGCAAATGATGGACTTCAAGGAAGGGACTCACCATAATCTTTGGGGAGTGGGGCTGGGGCAGAAGGGTGGACCATCGCTTTCTTCCTCCGCTCCAGGACAGGGCTCTGGAATTCCAGCGGCTGGTGGTCCTCCTCCGAAGGGAGGTCCGTCGAGTCGTCTTTGGTCATGGCTCCTGGAAGATTTTTCCCTCTGCTAAAGAGGAGAAGCAGAGGAGAATAGGAATGGAGCTGAACAGCAGAATTTGAAAATTCCAGATATACGGTCCTACCTTAGGCCAACCTTGAGATCTTCACACTGTGCAAACTTGGCTTTTAGATAGTCGTAAAGGTAAAGGGACCCCTCACCATTAGGTCAGTCGTGACCAACTCTGGGGTTGCAGCGCTCATCTTACTTTACTGACCGAGGGAGCCAGCATACAGCTTCTGGGTCATGTGGCCAGCAGGACTAAGCCGCTTCTGGCGAACCAGAGCAGCGCATGAAAACGCCATTTACCTTCCCGCCGGAGTGGTACCTATTTATCTACTTGCACTTTGACGTGCTTTCGAACTGCTAGGTTGGCAGGCGCTGGGACCGAGCAACGGGAGCTCACCCCGTCGCGGGGATTCGAACCGCCGACCTTCTGATCGGCAAGCCCTAGGCTCTGTGGTTTAACCCACAGCGCCACCTGCATCCCTTTAGATAGTTGTAGAGAATATTTAAATATTAGAATAGCTTTGGAAGTGGATATAGGCTGTAGGGTTAGAAGCAGAAAACAGTGTATTTTAAAATAGTATCATTTGTAAGTAATAAAATGTGAAGATTTTTATGGTTAAAGAAAGCGTGATAAAAAAGGTTAGAAATTATGATATATGTAACTGCTAAAGATGAGGTAAAATGAAAATCAGATGGGGGGGGGGACTTGAGGAAGCTCACCTAACAATGTTTAGAAAAATAAGGATATGACAAGAATTTGTTCGTATTGTTTATTTTCCTGTTTGTGTTCTTTATTTGTGTTATAAAATGAATAAAATTTTTGAAATAAATTAATAAATAAATAGTCGTAGAGGATGGGGTTGTGGGTTCGAGTCCCACCCTGGGTAAAAGACTCCTGCCTTGCAGGGGGTTGGAATGGATGACCTTTGGGGTCCCCTCCACCTCCACAGTTATTCTATTGATTCTATGAAAAGCATTATCAGGCAGACACCTTCTGGAAAGGGTGCGAGCATTGCTTTTTTACTGGGGGTACGCGTACCCCTCAACATTTTGTGAATGTTTGGCCTCATTGAGAGGCAGTATTTCAATATGAGTAGGAAAATGAGAGTACACCCTAAATATTTTTTTTGGGGGGGAAGCACTGGTTGCAAGTATTAATAATAATAATAATAATAATAATAATAATAATAATTATTATTTTATTTGTACCCCACTGCCCCTGGCCAGAGCTGGGCTCAGGGCGGCTAACACCAATAAAATTACAGTAAAAACATAATGCGGGGGGAAAACAATTTAAAATACAGGTTAAAATGCAATTTAAAATGCAGCCTCATTTTAAAAGTAGCCCATAGATCAAAACTATAAGGGGTAGCTGATAAATCAAGACCATAAAGGGAGGGAAACATAAGGGTTAGATTGAGTCCAAACCAAAGGCCAGGCGGAACAGCTCTGTTTTGCAGGCCCTGCGGAAAGATGTCAAGTCCCGCAGGGCCCTGGTCTCTTGGGACAGAGCATTCCACCAAGTCGGGGCCAGTACTGAAAAGGCCCTGGCCTTAGTTGAGACCAATCTAACCACCTTGCGACTTGGGACCTCCAAAATGTTGTCATTTGTGGACCTTAAGGTCTTCCGCGGGGCATACCATTTATTTAGCAGTGCGGCGACAGATAGGACCTGTGAGCCATTCCAGATTTGAGATGATAAAGAACAGGAGAGAGGCCTGCCCCATAACCCCTGCGCTGTCGCAGCAAAACAGCACCGCAAACACTATTTTGATCCAGAACTATAAAAAGTCCCGCGGGAGCTTCAAGTCTTTTGTGGCATAAGCTTTCACAGGCTGAACTCCTCAGGTGCACGGTTGGGTTTATCCCGCAAAAGCTTGTGCCACAATAGAGCGGACAGTAACAGATTAATGCGGCTATACCTCTGAAATTCATTGTGCACTTCGGAACACTGTGCTGGAAGACTCAACCCATTACTATGACGGTCATATCGAGGCTCTAAGCACATCTTCAATGCAATCATTAAAGGGAGACACAAACTTGCTACACATGAGCAAGTTGTGTACAAACGTAGACTTGCCATGGACAAATTTAATGATATTTGGAATTGATTTTTATATATACAGTATATTACAGTATATTGCAGTATATTACAGTATGTATAGATAGATAGATATAGATGCTTTCGTAGATTTTCACGGGTACAGGAATGCAGGTTTTGGTGTCCTCGGGTGTCTTCCCGTGTAAAAGTTGGGGTGTCTAGGCGACGTTTCGACGAGGTCTCACTCGTCATCTTCAGGCTGGTGCTTTCGGCTTCTTGTTACTGGAACAGAGCAGGATCTCAGTGTTTGAGTTCCTATAAATACTGTTTATAGGAACAGTATTTAACAGTACCACACCCCCTCAACAGTATTTATAGGAACTAAACATAGATAACAAACCGAAAGCACCACCTGAAATGCAGAACCTCGTCGAAACTCGCCATAGACACCTATTTACACGAATACACTCGGACATGATAGATATAGATATATATATATAGATATATATATGGAATTGATTTTTCTATAAATTTACCATATTAGATTAAGGTTGCGTTAAACTACAATTAAAAATCCCCCCCCCTTTTTTATTGTTCTGACACAATACTTTTTTCTGTTATGTTTTCTTCCATGGTTACTATTTCTTCTTTTTGTGTCTTATCTTACTCTGTGCCTTGTACTTTTGTATTTTTTTTATTTTTCAATAACATAATATTTTTTGAAAAAAAATCAGGCTCTACGCAGGCTCTTGTCTTCTTAACAACTGAGGATTTTGTAAAATTCATGTTCCTCTTCCTTCAAAAGGCACATTGGTGTTATTGATGTTAATCAGGATAACGATGATGTGCTCAAAATCTGTTTCAGGTGCTTAGTCACAATTTAGAAACGAGATTGTCCCTGCCTGCTGGTTTACAGTCTAAGCACTTTTAAAACACATTCGGAGCACGTTATTTGCCTCAAAGAATTCTGGGCCCTATAGTTTAACCCCCACAGAGTTAAAGCTCCTAGCAAGCCTTAACGAACTACAGTGCCCAGAATTCTTTGAGGGAAAGGTTATTTGAATGTGCTTTAAAGTTATAGCATGTACACAGCCTAAGACTGGCCAAATTTTCAGTTTAAGGGGCTGCTTGATTTGGCAGCTCTCATCTAGAGATATAAAACTGCGTCCCCAAATACTGACTAGGATATACCATACGAAACGTAATATCACATCCTATTACAGCACAGCTTTCAGGAGATACCGCGATCTCTGGTTCCATATGGAGTGCCCAATGGGCACTTTGAAATCCCTAAAATTGACTGCTCTCTTGCAAAACTGCTATTCCCAAGCCTCCTTTGGAACATTAAAAAAAACCACAACTCATATCCAGAGGTAGAAATATGAGCAAGTCTTCCTTTCTGAGCACAAAGAGCTGTCGGGAAGGATCAATGGACGGCGTAGGAAAGAACGTCAATCATTTTTCGGAGCATCCAGATGGGGGCTTGATATTGCAAACAGATCGTTCAGATATCACAGATGCTTCTTTGGCAACAGGTTTTGTTTTAACTTATCAAGTATTCCCCAGAAAGGGTAAATCCTGATTAAATTTGTGTGGGCCGGTGGGGGGGGGGAGGTTATGGGCTGGCATTTAGATGCCAAGGATGCTGTGCAGACTCTGCAAAATTGTCCACATATGAGGAGCATCCATCCCACAATAAACACATGCCCAGAAGCACCCTTTATTTGCCAAGGATTTGTTTTTTTAAAAAAATCCCTCTCTTTAAGGGTTTTTAGAGGAAGTTTGGCTGCATGTGGCTTGTGTGTCTGGGTTTCACAGATTAAAACAGAGACATGTTTGTGTACTGGTGATTCTCAATCAACTCCCCTTCCACATTTATTTATTTGTTTGACTTAATGATTACCTATATACCTTTCCTTCAAGGAGCTCACAGTACCTACATACACGGTCCTTCTCCTCCCCATTTTATCCTCACACAAACCCCCTGTGAGGTAGTATAGGCTGAGACACAGTTTGCGGCCCAAGGATCAGCCTTCGTGGCTTAACAAGGATTCGAATCCAGGCCTGCCAGTTCCTCGTCTGAAACTCTAACCATTACACAACGCTTCCCCACACCCAGCTGGCCTGGGTTTCTTCATTTACTATGCAAGAGACCCAGCCCCATGCCAAAGCAAAATATACAACTAAGCTCAAAGAAACTGTTTAAAATAGCATCCTGAGAATGTGTTGGGACAGTGTTTAGCTGCAGCATGGTTGTATAATTGATTGTGCAACACACTTACTAGGGAGTAAGCCCTGCTGGAGACAGCGGAGCCTACTTCTGAGTAAGCATGCAAGGGATTAACGTAGGAACACTGCCTTTTATTTCTCCATCTAGCTAGAACCTGCGGCCTTCAGAGGCTGTCAAAGATATTCAGGGATGGTTCGCCCGTCTTGACAGGCAGTTCTAGGGGGTGGGGACAGAAGGGAAATGGCCGTGTTGTTTTTAGGCAAGCAAATATCTGGAAGGAAGAGGGATGCCAGGAGGCGGCCTAGAAAGCCGCTGGGGGGAGAGAGGGTGGCAAATACAGGAGGGAAATGGGGTGCTTTGGGTGGGGACCCCAATGGAAGGTGCTGTTTACAAGGAGTGGAAGATGGGTGTGAGCGAGGCAGAGGGCAGACCAGAGGGATTATGGGGGATATGGCAATATGTCAGTTGCAGATGCCCGTCGAATAGTGGTAGTAATAATAATAGTAATAAATAATAATAATAATAGGGTGTGGCCTCTACCCCAGGTGATGGAAACGGGTGTGATTCTGGAGCCACAAATAGGTGTGTTGTGTGTTGTGGAGAAGGGCAGGGTGCTGGAATACGGAGGGTGGGGTGTCAGGATGGGTCTACAGCGCTGGATGCGATCCACTGCGAGGTGCAACTGGGAATGGAGATGGGGCGCGATGGGAAATACCGGAAAGGGAGGAGGGTTGGGCAGATTAGAGATGGGGGGGTTCAGGTGTGCATTTCTGGGAAGGAGGGTTGGATACAGGGATGCGTTGGGGGGGGTCTAAGGAGAACAGGTAGCCGTGAGGATGAGGGGCGGAGCTTGTGTTTTTTTTGGGGGGGGAAGGATGGAGATGGGGAGCATCTGGCCTTGGTGGCGCAGGTGCGGGGTTTGCATCTTTGAAGGTCTGGATGGAGGGGCCGGGGCCGAGATCTCCCCCCGCCCAGAGATGGCTGCCTGCCTCTCCCTCCGCTGTGGGGAGGGAGGGATGGATGGATAGGGGTCCCCCCCAGCCCCCCATCACCTACCTTGTGGGAGGCTGGCGTCCCCTCCGAGGGGGCCTTTGCTGCGCGCCCTCCGGCCTCTGGGGCGACGGGGATGGAGACGGGGATGGAGACGCGCGCAGGGCGGAATGGAGGCAGCAGCAGCAAGGCTCAGGCGCCGCCCCCCGCGCGCAGCATCAGCACCAGACGGAGGGATGCTCGGCCCGCCTCCTTGGCGGAGGGGGAGGGGGGGAAACGGGAAAGTCCCGGGGTCGGATCCCTGCACCGCTGCAAGCTCGGGCAACCTCCCAGGGTCGCCAACCTCCCAGGGCTGGTTTATTTTGTTGTCTTTTTTAATCATCTTTATTGAATTAAAATACAAATATATATATATATAGTCCACTAACCCAGAAATCTTGCCAACAAAGGTCATAGAATCATAGAGTTGGAATAGACCCCAAGGGCCATGGAGTCCAACCCCCTGCCAAGCAGGAAACACCATCAGAGCACTCCTGACATATGGTTGTCAAGCCTCTGCTTCAAGACCTCCAAAGGAGGAGACTCCACCACACTCCTTGGCAGCAAATTCCACTGTCGAACAGCTCTTACTGTCAGGAAGTTCTTCCTAATGTTTAGGTGGAATCTTCTTTCTTGTAGTTTGGATCCATTGCTCCGTGTCCGCTTCTCTGGAGCAGCAGAAAACAACCTTTCTCCCTCCTCTATGTGACATCCTTTTATATATTTGAACATGGCTATCATATCACCCCTTAACCTCCTCTTCTCCAGGCTAAACATGCCCAGCTCCCTTAGCCGTTCCTCATAAGGCATCATTTTAAGGTCCGTATAGTAAAAGCCATGGTTTTCCCAGTAGTGATGTATGGAAGTGAGAGCTTGACCATCAAGAAATGGATGCTTTTGAATTCTGGTGCTGGAGGAGACTCTTGAGAGTCCCATGGACTGCAAGAAGATCAAACCTCTCCATTCTGAAGGAAATCAGCCCTGAGTGCTCACTGGAAGGACAGATCCTGAAGCTGAGGCTCCAAGACTTTGGCCACCTCATGAGAAGAGAAGACTCCCTGGAAAAGACCCTGATGTTGGGAAAGATGGAGGGCACAAGGAGAAGGGGACGACCGAGGACGAGATGGCGGGACAGTGTTCTTGAAGCTACCAGCATGAGCTTGACCAAACTGCGGGAGGCAGTGGAAGACAGGAGTGCCTGGCGTGCTCTGGTCCAGGGGGTAACAAAGAGGCGGACACGACTAAACGACTAAACAACAACAACAACCCAGAAATAGTGCTTCAGGTTAAGAACTTTGTTTTTTTTGAATTAAAATACAAATATATATACATAAAGATAAAAAAAGAAAAGATTAAGACAAAAAAGAAAGAGGGGGGAAACACACACCTACAAAACAAGAATTTGCATTATTGTACAATCGTTCATTAGGGACATGGGTAGCGCTGTGGGTTAAACCACAGAGCCTAGGACTTGCTGATCAGAAGGTCGGTGGTTTGAATCCCCCCGACGGGGTGAGATCCTGTTGCTCAGTCCTAGCTCCTGCCAACCTAGCAGTTCGAAAGCACAAAGTGCAAGTAGATAAATAGGTACCACTTCAGTGGGAAGGGAAACGGCATTTCCGTGCACTGCTCTGGTTCGCCAGAAGCGGCTTAGTCATGCTGGGCCACATGACCCGGAAGCTGTACACCGGCTCCCTCGGCCAATAAAGCGAGATGAGCACCGCAACCCCAGAGTTGTCCACAACTGGACCTAATGGTCAGGGGTCCCTTTACCTTTACAATTGTTCATTAATAATAATAATAATAATTTTTATTTATACCCCGCCCTCCCCGGCCAGAGCCGGGCTCAGGGCGGCTAACACCTGTAAAATTACAGTAAAATCATAATATGGGGGGAAACACACCAATTTAAAATACAGGTTAAAATGAAATTTAAAATGCAGCCTCATTTTAAAATTAGCCCATAGATCAAAACCATAAGGGGAGGGAAACATAAGGGTCAGACTGAGTCCAAACCAAAGGCCAGGCGGAACAGCTCTGTCTTGCAGGCCCTGCGGAAAGATGTCAAGTCCCGCAGGGCCCTGGTCTCTTGTGACAGAGCATTCCACCAAGTCGGGGCCAGTACTGAAAAGGCCCTGGCCTTAGTTGAGACCAATCTAACCACTGTGCAACCTGGGACCTCCAAAATGTTGTTATTTGCAGACCGTAAGGTCCTCCACGGGGCATACCAGGAGAGGCGGGCCCGTGGGTACGTGGGTCCTAGACTGCATTGAATTTCTAAATAAAAAACTTCCAATTCTTCCCATTGTACTTACATTGTAATTTACATTTAACGCACAGCCTTCTATTACCCTAATTTGTTTTCGTGTACTCTAACCAATTAACATTTGCACATTGTATTTTACAAGGATGTGTTGTAAGGATGCACACAGTGTTCTGGAGCGCTCCAACGTGACATCCGGTTCTCACTTCATACTGGGCTGTAGTACTGGGGCTTGTGGGTTTAACTGTCTGCATTTTAATATACTTTTTTAAAAAATAAATTGTTTCATTCCATAGGAAACCAATTCTACCTTAGAATCATCCTCATTTATTTCTAGCCTTGTATTATCTGTATTTCTTTTTATTTTTGCAGACCGGCTTGTATGCTGATTCTGGAGGAAAAGTGGGGATTATATCAGGGCCGGATTTTGGTTTGATGAGGCCCTAAACTACTGAAGGTAATGGGGCCCTTTGTATGTCCAATTGTCCTTTGCCAAGAACAAATTGTCACTGTTTTTTGTGTTGAATATATGCTGTATGGTAATTTATGGACCTAATAGGGATCTAAAGCCATTTGCCAATGTTGCTATATGAAGGTCTTGTTTTATTTTTTATCTTGTATTTTGGAAATGTACATCCAGTTTTTTCCCCCTTTAATTTTTTTGGGGGCCCCCAAGAGAGTGGGCCCTAAACTATAGCTTGCTTAGCTTATACATAAATCCGGCACTGGATTATATATATGAATAATATTCATGTGCCCATGTTCTCCAGTGGTACAGCTATGGCTGAACCTCGGGGTTACTGTCCAAGGTCCCCAAATTACCACCGACAGCCTACAGATCAGGGGTCAGCAAACGTTTTCAGCAGGGGGCCAGTCCACTGTTCCACAGACCTTGTGGGGGACCAGACTATATTTTTGGGGGGGAAATGAACGAATTCCTATGCCCCACAAATAACCCAGAGATGCATTCTAAATAAAAGGACACATTCTACTCATGTAAAAACACACAGATTCCCAGACCGTCTGCGGGCCAGATTTAGAAGGCGATTGGGCCGGATCTGGCCCCCGGGCCTTAGTTGTCTGCCCATGCTACAGATGTTGAGAGCAGTGGCAAAGTGGCCCCATCTGAAGACTCTGCCCAAACGGGAGCCCGTTTCCCCTCCAGCTGGGACGACAGTCAAGGTTTTGCCAGGAATTCAGTTGGCAGCGATGGAGCCATTACCACAAATCAACTTCAGAAGCCTCTACTCAAAGTTTCCAACGTTTTTACGCTTGCCGTATCTATAAAATGGTATGCCGGGAATTAAAATGGGAATGGCATGGAGAAACAGATACGAAAGATGTTGAGTGTGCAGACGTTCAGGGATCTATCAGGCTCTTTGAGTAGCCAAAAAGGGAACAATTAAATGCCAAACTACCCTAAGAGGGCTTCCTTGCTTGCAGTGTGTGAACGTAAGTGAAATAATCACAACCCAACAGCGGTTTGCAGAGGAAGCAGCGAGAGGCAGGGCTTCCTGCCCATTAGAACAGCCTCTTCACTAACCTGAGGCCCTCTCCAGATAGAATCGTAGAATTGAGGAGCTGGAAGGGACCCCCAGAGGCTATCTAGGCCAACCCCGCTCATTTAAAAAGCGTCCGGCTTGTTTTAAAGTGAAGGCAGGTTCCCTGAGTGTCAGCATGATATAGTGGTCAGCGTGCTGGATCAGGACCCGGGAGAGCTGGACTCAAATCCCCCCCCCAGCCATGAAGCTCAGTGGGTGACCTTGGGCAGAGACGCTCACAGTCTAACCTCGCAGGATTGTTTTGGGGGTTAATTGCAGAAGAGGACAGCCATGCAAGCCACCCAGTGCTCCTTGGGGGAAAGAAGGGATATAAATAAAACATAAATAAAATAAAATCCAGGCATAGCATTCTGTACTCTCCCAAAGAATTCTAACATCCAACACAACTTGGGCCACCAATTCCAACCTTTCTTTGGGATTTTTTTTGGGGGGGGGGTATCCAAGGACAGGCATTCAATTTTTCCAAGTTCTAACACAGCCAAAGCTTCCACTTACAGAAGGATTCTCAACCGTTGCCCCGTTTTTCCAATATTCCATTTATTAGGGTAATTTTTTTTGTATTACAGCACTGTTATCACCCCCAGTGAAGTTCTTCCCACCGTCAGTTTCTGCCCCTCACCAAGATCTACAATCACATTGTCGGGTTTATTTTTCAGCCTTTCCTCCTACTCCTGGATTAACTTTCAGTTACAGAGACCCGTGTGTTGTTTTTAAAAAAGCAAAACCTTAATAACATTTTTTAAAAAGGATTTACCATAACACCCACTCACTCACGAACTCAAAACGACTCTTTATTTGGCTGGCTATGGGACAAAAATACTGTATGACAAGAAACCCTAAGACGGTAGTTGCGAGAGGACATCCTCAAAGAAAAGATGAAAGGAGTCTAGATAGAAGACAGAGGGGACCCAAGGAGAAGGAGACATTCCTGTAAAGCCTTCCACTATCATCCCTGACGACATGAGAGTGACTTAGGGAAGCAACATCCGCTAATGTGAGAATCTGCCTCTGAGCACTGGTTGTGGGGCAGGGGGACTATTTACCTTCAAGCCCCACTGGCAGCCTGGCAAGTCGCCGTGGGAAGCAGACGAAGGACTAGAGGGGATCTTCCATCTGAACCAGCAAGGATGCAGAATGCATTCAGCGTAGCAATGGGTCCTTAGCAGGAAACATCAGCCCTAGCCAAAGCTTTTCCCCACCCTGCTGGCAGCATCACGTGAGGGGGAGAACGGGATGGGGCCATGGGGGTAGCGCCCTCCATCACGTTCCCTGCAGCTGGCACTATTGCCTTCCACGTGCTGGAAGGCTCCCTGTGGATTCTAGAATCCTGATCTTCCAGGGTTCTAGATCTCCGGAAAAAGGGGGCGGATTTACATAAGCAGAACAGGCTCTCTACTGCAGATGTTTGGCTCTTCCACCTTGTGGGGAGGCAATGGGGGTGGAGATCCTCAACCGCCTCGCCCATGCGAGGAATTTAAATACCCGAGTGGGGCTCAAGAATAGGCAGACCTCCGTGGTTGTGCTGTAAGTTACGGAGGCTTTGTTCTCAAACGCAGGCCTTCAACGTTTTGAAGCGCACCATGCTGGCACTTCCCTGAAGTTTGCAAGATTAAGACGGTTGAGACAGGCTGCTCCCTACAATCTCCAGACCGAGCCTTCGCCTTCAGTCAGACGTGGCCTGTTTGAACTACTCAACTGAACAGAATTGCTTTTCAAGAGATCGCAAGGAGCTGCAATAGGTCGACGCAAGCGCCGGATCTGAAATGATTCCGTCACTACGCAATCTGCCAAGCAGCTGAAAAGATGAAAATGAGTCTCTTGGAATGCTCAAAACACTTTCGCAGCTCAGCTCTCTGTGGATGGCGCCATGTTCTCATGTACTGATCTGGTTTCAATCTCGCTTTTGTAGCAGGCGCACATGTGGGATTGCCATTCATCACGGCCTCTTGTTAACAGCTTCCACTACATGTTCTCCACAAAGGGTGTGTGTGAGAGATTCCTTTCTGCTCCTCTCTCAACCCCCTCCTTGTATGGATACCACCTGCTCCCAGGCAGTGGGTGGCCTTATGATCCCACAAGTGCCCAGGTATGAAAGGTCTATGGGGACAAGTAGCAAATACTTTTGCCTTCAGATTAGTGTGGAGAGTGCAGAGATACCAGCCGTCTGTGCGCTAAGTTCTGCTGGAAGCAGGAAGAGAGAGGGGGCAATTCTCTCTCACACACAGAGAGAAGAGAAAGAGAAAGAGAAAGAGAGAGAGAGAGAGAGAGAGAGATGCCCTGAAGCTGAGCCCTTTAGAAAGGCACCTAGGAGGGCCCAACATCAAAGTGCGGCAATTTCAGGTGCCCAAAAAGCAGTACATCAGTTCAGCCGCCAAGATGGGCCTGTCCGCCCTTGCCTTGCTAGCAAAGCAAGCTGGCGAGGACAGTCTGGCTCACACCAAGCAGCGGTTATCACGACAAATGAGGCAGCAGCGGCGGCAGCTTCGAGGTTCAGGCGCAGAAGAGAAGGCAAACACACACGCACACACTCAGTGGCTCAATTCCCCCCACCCAGACAATTTTTATGTACAATTATTTCAGGCAACTTTCCCGCAAAATAAGGTGCCGTCGCAATAAGGCCATCGGGTTAGGCAGCTGAGATCCGAAGAGGCCCGGTGGCGCAAGGCCTGAGATTCTCGCAGCCGAAAGACGTAGGCGCCAGGACCCTCCCTGACGGGTGCCTTTGGCCAAATGGAACGCAACGAGGGTTGGCTCCCGACTGCCCTCTGCCGCCTCCAAGATTACTGCTCCTCCACGTGGATGATGGTCTCGTTCCCTTCTTCTGGGAGCTGGGGCACGGCGTAGACCAGCGCCTGGTCATTGTCCTGGCAGATGATGGCCACAGCAGCGCCGGCTTCAGGCACAAGAGTGCTGGACTGTAGGCAGGCCTGAGTGAGGGGGAGAACAGAGTGGGAGAGGTTAAGAGGGTCCCCGAAAGAAGCTTCTGGAATATAGTATATGGCGAGCTTAAAAAAATGTTTAACTTTATGAAGAATACAGAAGCTTTTCTACTAGGGATAGCGGACACAGGTATAGCAAGAGAAGATCAGAAAATATCCCTCTATGCCACAGGAGCGGCAAGGATCCTAATTGCTAAAAACTGGGAAAAAAATTGTGCCAACAAAAAAGGAATGGCAAGACAAATTGTTAAGAGTATATTGAACTGGCTAGATTAACAGAGGCAATGAGAGACCACACTAGACAAGAGTTTTGAAAAGCAGGGGGAAAATGCAGAGAATACTTCACAAAACAGGGCCCTAAAATACATACCGGGACTTGTTTCGATTATTGTGTGCAGGAGACTTTGTGGATATTTAAGTTATAATTAGAAAAATCTTAATAATTATTCATAAAGGAAACAGCTTATAAGAAGTAAATAAGGAGGCCCGATACAGGATAAAGGAAGTCTTTTATTTGTTTGTATTGTTGTATGTTATGCTTATTGAATGTTATGTTCACGTTTAATGTGGGTGGATTTCTGTATTGGGGGGTGGGGAGGTTATGTTATGTTGTAAATAAAATTTCCAATAAAAAAAAAAAAGAGGTTCCCTGACACCTAGTTGGTTTATTCATTTAGGAAAATATCTGCATATCACTGTGTCACTAGATAAATATTCATTTAAGCTGTTTACAGCAATAAAACTGTCAGACACAGCAGTGCTTCTGCAATCAGTTGCTGACCACAAGAGGGGAAAGGGCTCTCGCACTCGGGTCCTGCCTGCGGGCTTCCCATAATAGGCTTCTGATCGTGAATAACAGCTGCAGAACCTTTAGCTCAAGGTTGGGCAGGGGAACAGGAGGACCATTCAAGACATGCCCCCCTCACCAAGGAAAGAACCCACCAAAACCCATGGAAGAGAGACTACCTTTATTATGGTACTGGTATGTCGGAACGGGAAGGGGGGGGTGAGCCTCCTTTGTTTCTTTTTGATATATTGCGTATTTGCTACTTTACTTGGCAAATCCCCCTGGAAAGTCTGAAAGTTTGACTTTTAAAATGAGGCTTCATTTTAAATTGCACTTTAACCTGTATTTTAAATTGTTTTTTTCTTTTTCTTATTATGTTTTTACTGAAATTCTATTGATGTTAGCCACCCTGAGCCCAGCTCCACCCAGGGAATAAATATTATTATTATTATTATTATTATTATTATTATTATTATTATTACCAATTGATTATGTACACAAGCGAGATGGTACTGTACTGATATAATTTTGATCTAATTATTAACTGTGTGGAAAAGATATGAATTTGCAATTAATTTTGATGGACTGTTAAGAGCGGAAGATAGGAACTGAGGCTTCTAGCCAAAGTGCAGGCTTATCTGTTCTGGTATGAGGTGAAACAAAGAGGCTTGGACATCTGCCTGGAACAATGGGCAGGAAGCCAGATTTCCTCCATTTTGGGACGTGTCGCATTGGATAATACAGGCATGGAGAAGTGAAAGTGAAAGACATGGAAGAAAATATACACCCACACAGAAACATACTGTTTTGATATAACTCGCTTGCGGGACGAACTCAGAGGCTGTGAAAACGAACGAAGGATTAACATCGGATTGATTTATGAGAACTGCATGGACTAATTAAGAAAGCAGCGCAAATGTGAGGTGATGGCAATCCTCCAGCCTCAGGGCGTAGGAAGTGAAACAAAGATTTATGATTTGGCTTCATATTTGGAATGTTTTATTATTTTATAATTCAGAATGTTTTTAATGTGGCCTTTATTGGATTAAACGGCCTGGGTCCTGTATACCTGAAGGAGTGTCTCCACCCCCATCGTTCAGCCCGGACAATAAGGTCCAGCCCTGAGGGCCTTCTGGCAGTTCCCTCCTTGCGAGAAGCGAAGTTACAGGGAACCAGGCAGAGGGCCTTCTCGGTGGTGGCGCCCGCCCTGTGGAACGGTCTCCCAGCAGATGTCAAGGAAATAAACAACTATCTGACTTTTAGAAGACATCTGAAGGCAGCCCTGTATAAGGAAGTTTTTGATGTTTGATGTATTTACTGTGTTTTTAATATTCTATTGGGAGTTGCCCAAAGTGGCGGGGAAACTCAGCCAGATGGGCGGGGTATAAATAATTTTTTATTTTTATTTTTATTTTTATTTTTATTATTATTATTATTATTACTACTACTACTATTAAATTGGAAAACTTATGTGTGTGTGTTTTAAAAAAAAACCCTGCCCCAAAACCCATTACTTACCTTCCTCGATTATTTCAAGGTTCTTCCCTTTTACAGTGGTACCTCGCAAGATGAATGCCTCGCAAGACAAAAAACTCGCTAGACGAAAGGGTTTTTGGTTTTTTGAGCTGCTTCGCAAGACGATTTTCCCTATGGGCTTGCTTCACAAGACGGAAACGGCTTGCAAGTTTGTTTCCTTTTTCTTAACACCGTTAATACAGTTGCGACTTGACTTCGAGGAGCAACTCATAGCACGCGGTGTGGTAGCCTTTTTTGAGGTTTTTGAAGACTTTGGTGATTTTTGAAGCTTTTCCAAAACTTTCCCGACACCGTGCTTCGCAAGACGAAAAGAATCGCAAGACGACAAAACTCGCGGAATGAATTAATTTCGTCTTGCGAGGCACCACTGTATATATATTCCCAACCGCCCCCTGTTCTCATGAGGCCTAGAAGCTTCCTGCTTAAAGAGGAAAACGCAGAAGCTGAGAAATCCCGGCGGACCTGATCTCCGACCCGCGCTCGCCTCTCTGCGTTTCCCAGCTGCGGCCCAAGGAGACCAGCCGCCCTGCAAAGCCAGCTTACCATTTCCAGCAGCTTCAGCTTCTCCTCGGACACCAGGTTCTCCTTCCGCAGCTGCTCCACCACCCCTTCCATGGCCTCCAGCTTTGCGCAGTGCCGGCGGTGCCTCTGCTGGAGAACCTTCACCTTCTTCTGAAGGCCCATCACCACCTCCACGAGCTCCGAGGTCGCCCCTCCTGCTTGTGGTAGCGGTGCTCCTCCAGCTGCTCCTCCAAGGACTCGGCCGAGCTCAGCTCCTCCAGCTTCTCCTCTTCCGCCGGGGGGGCCTTCCGAGGCGCCTGGTTGGAGACGATGGGGACGGTGGAGACAATGGGGAGGCTCAGGGCGGAGGACAGCACCGTCTCTGGGGGGGTCACGCCGGAAGAGGCGGCGGCCGTGATGGGCGCCGTCGGGATGGTCTCGAAGTACGCCACCACCTCGGCGGCCGGCTCCTGCAGGGAGCGCAGGGCGGCGGCGGCGGAGGGGTAAGTCTCCAGAAACGGCTCGATGGAGACATTCTCGATGATGAGCGCCCCTTGCTCCGTCGCCATGGCTGGGTCGGTCATCAGGGCCTGCAGCGGCGGCTGGTTGGCAGCCGCCGCCACCTCGCAGGGCACGGCCACCTCTGCAGAAAAGGGCTCAGAGGCCCCCCTGGACGAGCCCGGCGTAGCTTCTAGGGTCGCCGGCGGCAGCGAGGCCAAGAAGTCAACGACCTGTTGCTCCACCCGGTCCGGGAGAGGCTGGCTGGCATCAACCGGGGAAGACACAGTCAGCGTCACGGCCTTGAGGGGCTCCACGATTTGGACCAAAGGCAGCAGGTTCACAGCCCCGCCCAAGGGCCCTGAGAGGGCAGGGAAGTCTGAGGCGGAGGACTGGGTCTCCACATAGATCGGGGCAGCTGCCACGCTGGGGTCAATGGCGATGGCAAGTGTTTCCAGGGAGTTTGGCTCAGGGCAGCTTATGGCTTGGGGTGCCGGCATGCTCCTCTCCCCTTGGAATTCAATGATGAGCTTCTTAGCTGGGACATCGGAGGAAGTCCTGGCCGGGTTTTCCCTCTTCTGCAAAAGCGAAAGCAGACAAATGAGCAGCTGTCCTTGCAAGATAATAAATAATAATACCCCGCCCCTCCCGGTTCAAAAAAACGGGCTCAGGGCAGCTAACAACAAATTTAAAACACTTAATGGATGCAACAAAAACAGCATAAAATACAGTATAAAACATGAATAACAATAAATTCAGAATTCAAAAATCAATTTAGGGGGGAAATCCATCCAATAAACATTAGATGGTCACCAGGGCTAGCTGGCTGAATTAGTCCTATTAGGGCCTGCAAGGAGACCAGGGGAGAATTAGCTGTGGGATCCCAGAGCGGGGAATCTTCATAAAAAGGGGAGGGGGAGGGAAGGGAGGGAGGGAGGTGTGCAGGGCTACCGATTCCCACAAGGTGAGCTAGACAAGAGGAGGCCCTGAACCCCACACTGCGTTCCTTCTGTTACCGGAAAAATCCGAGGGCTCCCTTGGACAAAAAGTAAAGACACCAACCAGAGTAAATTGGAGCAAAACAGCAGCCTGTAGGCTTGGCCTTTATTGAACTGTTGCAACAGGGTGTTCCCCTCATTTGCAGGAGAGAGGAAAGACACAGAAAAATGGTGTGCAAGGCCTTATAAAGACTTTTGAAATTCCCACCCTGTAGATCAAGCCCACCCCCAGAAACATCATACATACATCACAGAAAGGAGGGGTTGAGGGAGGGGTGGTGGTGGTAACCTGAGTGTCCTGTCACCTGGCTGGTTCCCTTCTCCCCCTCCCCATGAGTCATTTTCAGAAGACAAAAGGTAGTTGCAGTTTCCTGCCCCCTGAGGGGGAATCCAATCACTGTTGTTTTGTTATAGTCTGTGTTGAGTGTGTTGAATCCACTCGTGTATGCAGTCCATTGTGTTGTTGATGGTCAGACCATCAGGGTTGGCATAGCAACTGGGCAGGGCTCCTGTGGATGTACTGGGATGTTCAAGGGATTATGGCTGGCCTGTATCAAACCTTCCCCATTTTGTAGTCCTTCCTTCATGGAGTAAAATAAAAGTGGAACAGTGCAAATCCGATGTATGGTTGATATTTTCTATGAATTCATAACAGAAGCATAGTGTATGTAGTGTGTGAGTGTGTGTGAAGTTTGTACAAACTGAATGATTGGGGGGGGGGTGTTTCCTGCTACACTTCCCCTTGTTTTTAAAGTGCCTGATATTTCCTAGGAGCTGTGCAAAGATGGTAAGAACACCCCACAGCCTTTGCTCACAGGTTTAGTCTAAGAGGCAAGACACAGATTGAAAAATAGATAAGAGAACAGGGGAAGAAGCACATTCAAGCACTAACCACAAAAAGTCTTGTGGTGCCTTAAAATAGACTAAACAGATTTATTGCGGCTTAAGACAGATACAAGACGAACAACAACAACAATAAAAAAAAACCCCAACGTGTTGGGCACACAAGACTCTCTGATGCAACAGAGCACTGCAACCAACGCGAATGGCTTTAAGAGAAGATTGATGGAGGAGGACAGGCCTAGTTCTGGCTACTAGGCATTATGGCTCTGCTGATCCACCACAGCTGGGAGGCAACAATGCTTCGGAAACAACAGGAGGGGGACATGCTCTTGTGCTTGAAATCCTGCTTGCATTTGGTTGGCCGCTGTGAGAACAGGATGCCGGGCTACAGGGGCCATCGGCCTGGTCCAGAAGGCTCTTATGTTCTTTGGAAATTCAAGGACTAGCTCAGGCATCCCCAAACTCAACCCTTCAGCTGTTTTGGGACTACAATTCCCATCATCCCTGACCACTGGTCCTGTTAGCTAGGGAGGATGGGAATTGTAGTCCCAAAACAGCTGGAGGGCAGAGTTTGAGGAAGCCTGCACTAGCTCTACGTAAAGCTACATCAACGCCTCATGCCCTGAATAGAATGGTTTCTGAGAAACCAAAGGGCGACTTATTCATGCAATTTCTTATCTGTCCTTTACCCAGGGGTAGGTTACGGTGATAAAATATATAATTGGCCCCAGCAGAGCCAATGGGGGGGGGGTCTCCCAGCCTTTCCCCTTCCTCTGCTGCATACAGGTGGGAGGGCTGCTA